AAGAGATGGAGATAGGCATGAGTGAATGAGTGTGTGAGGAAGAGAGTAAGAAAGAAAGAGATAAGGAAAATGGAGAAAAGCTTACTGGAATGAATTAAAATTGGGGACAAAAGCGGATGAGAGGAACTCAGACTGCGTGTGTGTGTGCGTGCGCGCGCGTGTGTGTGTGTGTGTGGATGTTATATGAGTAAGGTGTGTGCATCTGTACTTGTATGAGGAAAGAGAAATTGTCAGAGAAGGTGTGGAGATAGGGGCGGAGGGGGAAAGGCGCTGCATTTCCCAGCATGCAGCTGGTGCAGTGTTGCCCTCTGTGTTGCCCCTGGCCAACACCTGCCTCCATTTCACTCCCACCGCCCTCCTCTTGCTGAGGCGCAGAGGTGAACTCTGGGCCCCCTGACTAATGGAATGGGCCCTTTCCTCCAACCATTAGAGGATTGGTGTCCCTTTTTGTGCCCCTGGGTGCCCTTCGGTACAGGAAAGGGGAAGGATGGTGGCACGTTTGCCTTTTTTCTTTTACCACACACGCACACGCCCGCACTCTCTCACACGCACACACACACCTGGTCATAACATAACAGCCTGGAGTAATCCAGCCAGAGTAAGGCTTGACATAGCTTAGCATCTGACTGAGGCTATTTCTGAGAGGATATTAGAAATTCTGAATTGGGAGCAGTGCAATGAGGTTTCAAAGAAGGAGCTCTCCGAATGTGTACGACAGCGGCCCCGGTTGATCATGAAGCGTTTGTGTGATTTCATTTAGCTGGTAAATCCAGTGCTCTACCTCAATTACATCTGCTTTACTTGGATGGAAAACACACCTCCCGTGTACAGAAGGGAGAAAGGGAGAGGAGGGGAGAGAAGAGGAGGGAGGAAGCAACGCACAGAGCGGATTGGGGATTGAATCTTTCGATGAACTGATAGCACGTCCGCAGACAGCGAGCCAAGCTGTGCAGCGGTAATGTTATGCTAATGATATGGTAATGATATGGTAATCTGCCAGCAGTATTCTGCCTCACTGGAGAGAAGAGGAATCTGGGAGGCCTTTCACCATTGGTTGGAGACCAGGGACTTCCTGGTGTCAGAGTTCATGAAAAAAAAAAGAGAAAAAACACGAGCATGCGCGCACATACACAATTCTTGAAGGAGAGATCTTCTCAGCTGAAATAAAAACAGAGCAGCTCGTGGACCTCATCCGGCTCTAATCCGATTTGTAAATACACAAGTAAGCAAGAAAAATTACCTGTTAACACTACAGTAGTACCATGTGATATAACTTAAAACCAGGTCTGCTGCACGGTGCACCGTACGTGAGTCTGCAAGGCTGCTGAGACTGTCATTGTATTTTTTTGATAAATCAGTGCGTTACATCAAGTATCCGTGTGTTGTTCTGTGCTGGCATAAAGTAAGACACAGAATCACCTATTTTACACAGAGATGAGTTTCTTTTTTCTTTGCCATTGTGTGTGAAACTCTACACCTGTAATGGCTGCCATTACCTGCCTAGTCTGAGAGTCTCTTTCTCTCTGGCTCCTAATGATTGCATTACACTGCCAGTCTTGGTGAGAGATTAGAGTTACCATTGTATGACAGTAATCTCTGAATCCATGTCAGCACTGCCGCACGGCCATAATTACAAACAAGAGCTACCTGCCTGCACACACAAACACCTCTTATGTTTTTTTTTTTTTTATCTCTCTCTCTCTTTTTTTTTTTTTTAAATGTTGCTGCATTTCACCGCACTCGAATCTTATTGGAAATGAGTGGGCATACACTCTGATTTCAAGAACTGTTGACAAATGATCAGCCAGCTTTGAATATTTCTTAATGAGGCGGTGTAAGATATTTGAAAGACGAATGTGGATCTGTGCACTCTTATCTCTGTGACTTATTTTAAAACTGTAGAAGACTGACAGGAAAGTCTTCAGTGTGTTTGCGACCGAAGGCGCACCGGCAAAAAAAGCAAGCGCTATGCATCACAGCAAATCTGTACATGCGTCGCAAAGACACTATCTATTAGGTATTTTCTTTATTTCCTTTGTATTTTACAGTTTCCAAAATGAATATGTCAAGTCTGCACAATGGAGAGACGTGGTGACATTTTCTTGGATCCTGTACACTAAATCAAAGAGACCAACAATATGTTGAGCGCCAGCATGGAGACATTTGATTCCCATTCCACTCGTGCGGCATTACCGCTGGAATGCCAGCAGACATCACAATCCTCCCAAGATGGTGTTGGGCTTGTCAGACGATTCATTCCACTTCAATGTCTTTTATAAAAAATTAAATCTACTGTGAAGCGCCTGCCTCTTCTTGATGTTGTGATATTTGCAAAAGGTTTGACTTAACAAAGGCAATTTAGTGTCAGTGACATTTAGCATCAGCCTCTGGCGACAGACAGGTAAAGGAAGCCAGTCAGCAGATTGGACCTGGGGGGATTGTGAAAGTGGGGGTTGTCTGAGGCTTTTCTCGGGATATGGTGGTGTTAGGTTGGACACCTTATTAACACAGCGACACACTAACAGCATGCCGCAGTGAAGCATTTCAAAAACAGATCCCAGCATCTGTCGACTGATCCAATGATGCTTTAGGAGTGACGCACCATTTCAAAACAATAAAACCTGCACACAAACCTACAAAAGCACAGTTTTGTTCAATATCACTGTTTGCTGTGCGTTACAAATGAAATGCTGTTCTTGAAAATAGGCGATGCATGCATTTGCTTTTTTCTTCAACATTTAATGTGGTCACTGCGGCGGGGGATTGTCATTGGTTTATAGAAAGCAGAAAACAATGCAGGCAGAGGGATATTATTGTGTGCATGCATAAGGGACAATGGAAGAGAGACAGGCGAAGACAGGGACGGGGGTGGACTGTCCAATACACTCCTGATAAAGGTCAAAGACATGTTTTATTCATGAGCCAGGCAACAGCAGCCGCAGCAGCGAGGCCAAGGTTGAAATGAGCTTGCCCACCCCTCTCCCTACACACAACCTCCCACCAGGCAAGCAGACACTCCCTTTAGCTCTTATCAGTAATGTCAAAATACAAACACACATACACACACCTCAACTATTGCTTATCAATATTCAAATTGTTCCTTTGTGAAATCATTGTTGTGATCATAGAGTAACACACAGTCTGAAAACTTAATTATTAAAGAGTTGGTATTTTTTTGGAAACTATCTCTCATTACAGTTTTAGAATGCAATCCACTCTCTGCTGACTATTTAAAGCCAGTCTGACATTTACTCTCGTCTGGCCTCTCTCGCTCAGTCACTCTCTCTTTTTCTCTTCTTATCATCTACTGTAAACATCCTCTTTGGCCTCCTCACCTCTGCAGTGATGTCAGTGCTGTGAACACAGAGCTTTGAGCAGTTACAAGAGAAGTTTTACTTCAACACAGGCAGACCGGAAATCTCTTTCTTTCTTTTTCTAAGCGGGTGCAGAGTTGAAACTTGAGGGAGACTTTTCTCTCTCTATCAAAATCCAGCGTACCGTTAAAGGGATTTTGTAGCTGCTACTCAAAAGCTACTATTAGGAAAACCATTTTTGGCACAATTTTGGTGACAAAGCAGTACATTTATCCCTTTGCTCACTCACATGTGAGTAGTGTTTTCGACTGGATAAATCTTATCCTTTTGCCTTTTGGTGGTTAAATATAACAATTATGGTGAATCTAGACACTGAGTTACAATAAAGAAACAGTCAGTATTATTGCTCATCACCTCAGTCTCTTTAGTAGATCATATCAAGGCTGCCAGAGTGTATTTTATCCTGTTTCAGCTGTAAGGTTAATTCACCGGATATAAAATCCTTAAATTTCTGGAAAATGCAGTTAAGAGCTTTTATATTGTAGGACTCTCTCCCCAAAGGTCCGCAAAAAAAAACAAAAAAAAAAAACTAATGCATTCAGTGTTGAGCTATCATTAATTAAAACAGGACTTTTATATGCTAATATTTGTTGATTAACCTCACTTTGTTTCTAGTATGTAAATCTGTGTCGAAATAAGCTCTTGCCTGGTTACACTTTTACAATCAAAATAAGTCATTTGTTTATAGATATCTGTGTTAATTGGTTTATCTTTGCATTTTGGAAAGTGGGATTTAATACAAGAGGAGCTTTCAAAATCCTCAATACAACAGAGCACGTCAGAGATGGTTGTCGATTCATAAGAGCTCTCACATTTTGAATCTCTCTGAGTGTGAATCTTTCATAAAAGAGAATCAAAAGGAGTTCATTTCAAAATATCTCATGCCCTTGAACTGCCTCTTTGAACCTGCTCCTGAAAAAAAAAAAAAGAACTACAGTACTCCACCTAACCAAGACCAGCTCAGAGCCTTTATCATTCATTGCATTTTTAGAGGGAGCTGACACACGAACAGACTCAACAACCAAAGTAACCTTTAAAGTATTGATGTGGATAAATCAGATCTAGTCGTCCAACAAAATGAGAGATTTCAGCACGACAGATTAAAAACCAGGTAAATGGGTAAAGACTCCATCATCTCCAAAGACATTCAGCTGTGGCCCACGTAAAGGATTTCTCGTAAGGTGTGAATAAAGTTGCAGTTTCTATACAAGTGTGAGTGTGTGTGTGTGTCCCTCTGGGTGCAAATATGTCTATTCAAGTGTGTGTGTGTGTGTGGGGAGGGGGGGGGTAGCGTCTGTAGCATGTTTGATCAGATATGAAATATTCAGAAATGCTACTGTAATTTGATCAAAGTCAGATAGCCTTCGGTAGGAAACGGAAGTCAGCACTTTGGCAGCTCTTACAGATAGAAGTGGCCCCAGTAACAGGATTAAGTCAATGTAAGGGGGAAGGCCCATATAGGTAGAGACAACAGGGATTTAAGTCAGCACTGACCTGGTGTATAAAGTCCAGTTCATGCTGCTTGGCCAGAGCTCTGGCGGCTTTGGTGCCTCCGTCCATTTGCACCGCATAGAAGACATGGGGGTTGGTCCCACAATGCCCCTCTGTGGTCAGGAGTGTCCTCTGCAGCAGGCAGCTGAGCACCAGCACAACTGCTCTGAACATGGAGCCTTGAAGGAGATGCAGAGGAAAAATGCTTAGAGATACTGACATTAGAAGAGTATGTTGTTTTAATGTTAGTTGGTATTTTTCATGTTGATCCTCTTTGCCCTGTGAAAAAAAATGTTGCTTTAGTCAATTTTTATGGAAAAATTAAGATCATTACCCTTATGAAAATCCTCTACAACATGAATGCTGCTATCCATCACACAGTAAAGTACATATACATATAATTTATTGTAAATAATCTGCTAACCAGATTCTTCATTAACCAATTTTGAACTTTCTTTTTCAACTGAAAGTCAGAAATAATAACCATGTCCACCTGGATGTATTCTCACAGCTTGTTCCATTCAACAGCCTCAAACCCAAATACAGCCATTCTTTTTAAATATACAGTGATCACAAGCTTTAAAGTAGTTCTTTGTCAAAGCAGGAACTATCAAATGTCTGGCTTGGAGGAGACTGTAACTACTGTTATAATCAAAATATGTCTTTTATCCTGAAAGGCACGCATTTTTTCCCCTTTGTAAACTGATATTAAACAGTGTTAATATCCCCGCTGACTCGACGTGTCTCCGCTGGTTCTAAAGCCTGAAACTGATAATATAAATATCTTTATTAAAAGAGAGAAAAAAAAACACAAACACCTACAGTTTAAATATTTCCACTCCAAATACCATCTAACTACACAAATGAGTTTATACAGTGTGGGATCCAGCATCTCACTGCAAAGTATTGAACATTGGCAATTGTGAAACAATTTGCCCACAGCCACCTCCTCTGTACTTTTGCATGAAATCCACAGTGGCTGCCACCTACAGCATGTGAACCACCCACCTGTAGCCACAGAGAATGAAACGTCCAAGAGAAATCTTTCACCCAGTGCGATGAAAGCTAGAACTCTGGCATCAGGAGCCCCAAGCGAGACAACACACTCTCTCCAGTTCCCAACCCACACGTTTAATCTCCTGGCCTTGATGCAAATGCTTCTGAGAGCAGAAAAACATCGGCACTCTCATTGTGTGAACTAACTTCCCTCTTTAAACAGAACAGGAACTTTATCAGTCTTGTCTTGATGCCTGTACTTTCCTGTGAGCGATGATAGAACAAAAAAAAAGTTGTCACCTCCCTCTTCTTTGGAAGTCCTCAAAAAGAAGAGGACCTCACACTGACTGTACACTCTATTAATGCAAACATTAACTTATGCTCACACAACCTTCCCACATATTTTGAGACGGTCTTAATCACTGACCACAGATCCACCAACTTAAAAAATATACTGGTTACTGCTGAATAAAAACTGTTTAATTCAGCTTCTGTTGGTGTTTGGATTGCTCTTAAGGGAAAAAAAAGATACTGGTGTGAAATTTTAATGTGAATAACTTGGCTTTGGTATGTTTTTCACTGCCTTTTTACAAGCTAAACAGGCAAGTGGTCAAATTATAAAACAGGCAATAGAGTTGATAATGAATATGACCATTCATTTCAGCCCTGCGTCGAATCAAGGTAAATGTTGACTCTGCTTTTGTTGTACTTTCTGGCTCAAGCAGGACACTTTTTCAAAAATACACCCACTACCACGGTAAAACACTGACCAAGTAGATAAAGATCTCTCACAATACATATAATTCTGCTTGTATGTTTATCTGACTTTCCTTCAAAAGTATAGGGCCTCCTCCTGCAGCATTTTCCCCCCAAACAACAAACAGCAGCTGACCACCGTTTAAAGTCTACAGCATCATTCTGCTCCAATCTCTCAAGCCACTGATTGAAATCGATAACCTCACTTGGGGCTCGAGCCCTAGTCAATCCCACTGAGGTGCAGGGCCGGCAGCTTACACCCCACCCAGTGAGTAACGGGCCTCTGGCAGAGATGAAGCAGACAGGGGAGAGAGGGAGGGAGAAAGGGAGAGCACGGGAGACTGGAATACAGGAGGAGCACATTGAACAGTGTCAGGGCCCCAGGGCCTACTGGGACGCTGATAAAGTACCTGGACATTTTTATAGACAAACTACTTATTTCCGTCCTCATATCACTTGGGAAGACTGATAACTTTATATTCCTCTCAGGCAGAGGAATGAAAGGAGGGGGGCCCTTTCAGGAGTTTAATTGATCAAACTGTAGCCACAAGGGCTTTTTTCTGGAGATAAAAGGGACTAGCACTCTCCCCAGTACAATACAGAGATCTTTTAGAAAGCAGACCCAATGAAAAAAGGGAATGTAAGTCATTATGCAAAGTCATTATGGACCCCTGACTATAGTCCTTAAAGAGGGGAATTAATGCTAAAGTTGTATCGTACAAAATTCCAGAGGTCAAACCACCGGTCACAGGGTGAGATTATTTCACAATATCCAGATTATTACTTAAGCTAAATCTTTAGATGGTTGTTTGGAGTTAAATTTAAATACCATGACTATTTTTAAGTGTGACGACATTGTTTTGCGTTTCATTACTGAACACAGGGCACTTGCTTGGGAATGGCATATCTGAGCACACAGATCTACATTTTCCTGTAAGCAAAGGATCAAAATTAGAAGTGAATAGATGTTGATGTGACACCAAAACCAAAAATTATGTTATCAAGGTCAGATAAGCCTTTTTGTTTATCCCAGCTGTTGGGTCACACCGAATCCTGTATTATTCAGTATTAATAGTGCTTTCACACATATAGCTACAGATCACCCATGCCATTACTCTTATGCACCTCCACACCAGTACAGAAGATGGCTTTATACTGCGCTTTGATTAAAGGACAAACTGCCCTTCCCTTCTCTAGCAACAAGCACACTGTGTCCATGATTTCCAAAACGAATGTCAAATTTAGATTAATCATGCCACAGGAAAGTTTTCCACATTCCCCTCATCCATCTCCTCCTTGGACTAAGTCCTCCTTGGACTAAGGGTGTCTGCATTTCTGGACCTGGTTTATGCACTTCCTCTTTGCATGGTAGGGCTTCAACTTGTATTAGCAGCAAAGTTTGTTTGCACATGGTTTTTAGAGGTGTGATGAAGAGACAAAGTGTCTACCAAGGGCGGAGAGATTTCTCCACATTCTTTGAATCTTTGATAATATAATACAGAGACCACAAGATTCTTTGCAGTTTCATTGCCACTTCATAGTGTGATGAACCTCTCCACATTTTTCCCTCTAAAATGTGGCCTCTCGTGCCCAGTAATGTAACTGATCTCTTGTCAGTTGAGGCTTATTAACTGTGAGATATTAAACCATTTCTTTTCTTTTAGCTGTTCACCACTTTTCCAGACTTTTATTGACATCACATTGAAAATACACGTTACCTTACAAGTCAATCAACCAGTTCCATAGTTTAATTTTGATGAAATTCAGTGCTATTTTCAATTACATAGGGGATTGAAATTTGTGCAAATGATCAAATTAACATCAAATTTTTTGGGGAACAAGGTTGTATCAGTGCACTTGTAAATGATATACTCCAAATATAGCAGCAGCATAGAAGTGGCTATTTTTAGCTTTTCGTCTGTGTTTTTTACCATTAAGTTCAGCAGAAGAGAATCAAAAAATTGGAAGTAACCTGAAACAAAATGTTGTATCCTTTTCGAAAAGCGGTGGAAAAAAGAAAGACAACAGCAGAAAACAGATGCTTCTTATTTCAGCAAATTAAAAACTCCCTTAACATTTGTTGTATATGGATGCAGTTGGACTGTGATTTAAGATTTCTATGACAAAAGAGGGAATGAAAGACAAACCAACAAAGACTATGAGAAATAAGGTGAGCAGTCTCCTGGCAGAGAGCTCTTAGCCTCACTGCAGGCAGTTTGAGCCTCTGGGCTCAAAGAGATCTATACAGCTGAAACTGTATCAAAGGAGCCCACTAGCTCTATCATGTGAAATAAGCAAACTAACTACCGAGACTTAAGCGTGAATTGTGAATCATGAATTATGATATATATGTTTACTAAACGAAGGGCTTGTGTCATGTTATCTATGTCTCACCTTTTAGGGCAGGTCAATTTACATATTGAGAGTTAGATTTATTTATTTATTTGTTAATTTTTGACTTAAGAGTTTTTTTTAATAGTCATCCAATCAGGAGGGAAACGTTAAGAGAAGGTATGTGTAGTCTGAAAACAGTCTGCAGCTAAGGGCAGCTAGCTAAATGGACTATGCATAGCTTATAGCAGCATGTTTCCATGCAAGTCAAACCACAGACTGTACCAAACTCTGTCAATCCAAAAGGAAAATTAAAGAAATTCAGGAACTGTTCCTTGAGATGATCCTTTCTCTCTTAAAGTCTTGAATAACTTAAAAGTATAAATAATTGTAGAGCATTATTTCATTATACCTTTGGCTGTCTGATTCATTTTCTGCCTGTTAGTTGCAGGGATTCATAAAGGGTACAAAAGTGCAGTTTCAACAATGGCTGCATCCCTATCAGTTGTGCCAAACCCTGAATTTTTTCATGCATATTTGCTCATTTTAACTCATTTCTGTTGTGGTGCAACATTTCAACAGATGGGGCTACACAAGAAGTGTCTGGGTAGTTAGCCCTACTGTGCAGCAGGCAACAGTGCTCCTCTACACACTAATAAACTTTCGCATAAATCAACAAAAGGCTGCGGAGTGATCACAAAGACAAAGCAGAGGAGCCCTCAAAGGTTCATATCTGCATCAAGTACTTCACCTTAAAGAGTGTCTGTTTTTTTTCCCGTCTAAATCTAACCTGGTCCAGTGTATACAAGTCTGGAAACGAGACTCAGCTGATGGTGGGGGGGAGGGGTGAATCAGGTTCAAATCTCACTCCCTCCACGTAATACAGCCAAGAATGGGCTGAATGGGTTTGTAGCGTAGGAACAATAAAAGGCATTTACCTTTCCCATCCAGGCGAAAAAGCCTCCACAGAGACAGACTGTTTCCTTTGGAAAGCGGAGCGGAGTGACGACGCCTCGTTAAGAAAATAATCTCTCGACGTGTCCATTTTTACTGTCTGCACCGGCTCTTGTGATAAAACGTGCAAATTAAGTGCATGCAAAACGCCGCACCTATCGCCCATCTCCTTCCTTCCACAAGTCAAATCTGCAGAATTAACGACCTGTAAATCGACAAAAGCAACGTATCCACGGCGTGTGGCGGAAGAGGGGATTTTGTAAAGATGTGAGAATGTATTAGAATGCAAGAATGGTGTGATGGCGAGAGGGACTGTTGGGGGAGACGGATCTGCATATGGAAATTAGGGTTAGCGTGGATAAAATTCTACTTAACTGCTGCATTTTTTGTATAATTTGGGCGGGTCCCTGCAGTGAAACTGGGGGGAAGACGGAGTGACTGGGACACAGGCTGGGAACGACTCATGAAGCAGGTGCTCGGGTTCACTTCTTATATTGCAACACGTGTGTTTTTGACAAGATGTTAACAAAAAGTAGCCGACGCAAAAAAAAAAGACACATTACATCTATCCGCTTCTTTGTGTAAAGCCTCCACACTAGCGAGCACATTATTAGTAAACCTTAACCCAAACGCCATTTTCATACAGAATTAGTAACTTTTAAGTGTCCTCTGGATTACAATAGCAGGCTGTCACAGAGGTACGGGACATACAGAGACCGTCTCTCGAGACAGAGGTGTTAAAAGAGCCCAAGAGCTCTGCCGGTCAAGAATACACATAACGCACACGACTCAAGAAAAGACTTCAATGGCGAAGTCATTCACAACTTTCACTGATAATACCTCTTGCTCTGCAACAAAGCGAGACCACGCCCACGTGGAAACTTCCAACCAATCATCGAAAGGCTAAGCTGCGCATGCGCCCTGTGGACGCGCGGGAGACCCAGAGAACACAAACAACAGAAATGTCAGCCGTGTTATTGTACGCCTTTTGACACCGTCAAAAAAGCGTAACTCCAAGGTTTGTCAGTTGTGTATTGTTTTTTTCCTTGCTGCTCTCGATGGTGTGTTACATTTCGTCGTGAAACCCCAGTATGTTACCTTTCTGATGCGAGTGAGCCTTCAACACAGGATACAGCCGGGAAGAGTTTATGACATGAGCAGGTTAGTGTCGACTTACTGTGTAATACATACAACCACACAGGCATCATTTTCTGCATTGTGAAGTAGGTATCAATGTGGACAGTAGGGGAGACTGGGGTAAGATGAGCCATTTTTCATATTTCAGATAACTACATCAAGGCAATCATAGTTTTTTCTCCAACTAGTGTATCTGCATATATTTCAAGATGTTGTGCATCCCTGCAAACCAACAGAATGAGTGTAAACATAACTGTCTTGATAATATAGCATGCCGAAAAAAGTGGTTCCCTATGGTCAACTTACCCCGTGTATGTTTGGGGTAAATTGACCATAGGAGCGGGGTAAGTTGAGCTGTATCTCTACAGCCTCCCCACTCTCCACCCCAGCCCTCCTTCACCTTCTTTCTCCCTAAATAACAGTCACTTCTTCACATTCATGTGTATTTTTATCTAATATACACTATTCCACTGGTACAATAATTCTTTTTATTATTATTGGATATAACTGCTAAAAAGCTGTTTTGTAAAAAAGTCATTTTAACATGAGAATGACTTTAAGTGATTCAGAACATTCACAGATGTATTTTTGAAAAGAAAAAGTAACACATATCAACAATCTGAACTGAAATTCTGATCCTCTCATCAGACTCCTTTACTTTCTTAGTTACCCCAGAACTACTATGATGACTTTATTAATCCTCTAAGCTAAAATGGTGGAATTGTATGCTAGGTTTTTAACCTCATGTTGTAGCCATAGACTGTACAATGGACAACTTGGTTCCACCTCCCGCCTGTTTATGGATTTGAATCCACAAAGCTCTTGGTATTTCCGGGATTTTTCCTCATTTCCTGAAACCAACGCTGTGCAGTAGCGATGCGCGCATTCGGGCGTGCAGTCGCTGAGAGTCGCTGAGCGTCATCACAGTGACCCGTTGACTCTCCTGCCAAGAAATGTTTTTTGGAAATAGATGTCTAACCCCTTCACCCATGTGCTCCTAACCTTCACAGTCCCCATGAATTGATGCCCATCTCCTAAATATTTGGTCACATGATCAATTTCTTTTACCATTTCCAAGCAACAGGGGGTGGCTCGACTCACCCCACTCTCCCCTACTCAAAATTTTGGTGGTAGTTCAACCAAAGAAAGCCTGTCCTGTTGCAGAATAATTCCAGCTCTTCTTCTATTAAAGTTATTAACTTGACTTTCGTGTGTCTTACTACTTAACAGCATTTTGAGCTGGATCATATAGGCTACTGTATATTGAAATGAGTTGATATATAGCCAGCTTAACTTAAAACTCTGAATTCTGTACCTTAACACATTGTTGTTGTATTTTTTTAAGTAGATACTGACTCTGCACCACCAACATGGCAGAAGACTTCAGCCAGTCCCTTACCCCACCGGTATCCCCCTTTGCGGCAGACAGTCTCTGTGAGCTGACTCCTGCCCACCCGCCGTGCTTCTGCTGCTCTGACACAAAGGAAGACCCCACAGGAGCGCTCTCAACAGAGGGATATGCTGCCAGAGGCTCCTTGAAACGGTACAGTTACTGTTATTATGCCATACTACAAAAAGTGTTTTATAACCTCTGTCTTTCTATCGATTTTGTTCCCACCAAATGGTCAAAATAACAGTTTACACCGTAATCTGTGAGTTATCCCGAGTAACTGTTTATTTTCAGTTCTTTCAAAGGCAAGTTTTTGATTTTCCGAGTACATTTGCTGTCTCCTTGCCAAAGAACTTAAGAGAAACTCACCTCAAAAACCTTAACAGTCTGTCATGTGACCTTCAATCTTCTAGGCTGCTCCTGCGGCTTGACCCTGCCCCTGCTGAGTATGAGACAGACACTGTAGAGATTTTTGGCTTCCCTTGGGTAACAGAAACAGCTCTGGTAGAATCTACAACACTCCTTTTTGGTCTCTTGAGGTAAGTGATGATGAAAAAGAAATCTCAATCACATCTGTTAGAAGACTACATGTGATTGGAAGAACATAGTTCTTGTGCTGATACACAAAACAAGCCAAATTAAAAACTTTTACTGGTATTGAGACATTGTAAACTGGAACAGAGCGTTTTCCACTTAATAACTGGGTCTGGAACACAATGCTGTGGTTATTTCATTCACATGTTAATGTTCTGTTTGTGTTTCCTTTTTTTTTTCCAGACAAAAGATTTACAGACTGGAGACCTTGGTGCAGGCTGGGTCAAATGACTTTGGTAAGTTCTGGAAATGAGTAATCTGCCGATTTATGATCAGATCTTTTCTATTTATGTCTCAACATTTTATTCCGCTCAGGAAGCCATTTAAGCCAGTTACGTTCACAGATACAAAGGGATTAAAAAAAAATTTGAATAAAACAAATGTGACATAAAATCTTTAAGTGTAGGACATTCCCCTCACTAATTTGGTCTGTGATAATTAAGAAACTGCAAAGAGACCCAGACGTGGTTTAACCCCTATATCGAAACTAGGTCTTCTGTGCCCTAAAGGTTATTCACACAAATCCTTTGTTTGTTTGTTTTTTTCTTTTGTTTTTCTTTTCGGGATATTTTCATAAGTGTCCACAGACAAATGACACGGATGTATCAGTGAGATGCTGAAGTGAGCATGCATGAATAAGCTGTGGGCAACAGTTCCAACATTGAATTACTCATACATAAATTGTTGGGTTTAATTCTGGTGTTGAGTCATTTGCATCTTTTACATAATATTAGGAATCATGCTCACATCATCCCTCCTGTGTTGCAGGTCAAGCAGGCAGCCTCCACTATGAAGCAGAGGACCTGAGACTGCAGTGTATTTCATTTCTTCAGTATGTCAAAGTTTTCCTGCACAGGCAAGTCTACACATTCAACCATGGGAACATAAGAGCCGCTGATTGAAGTGTTTTTAACTGTCTATGATGATGATGGTGTGTGTGTTCAGATACTTGTGATGTGCAGGTTAACATGAGTGGTCTCTTGAACATATTCAGGTACCTGGAACCTTCCAGCTCCTCAAATGCAGATCAGCCACACCCCTATGAGGAGCTGGAGGCTCAGCTCCCCTCTGCGCTCCTGGAGGAGCTGTTTGGGATTACTCTTCTCATAGGACGACTTAAAGATCTGCCTGCCAACATCCAGAGTGCCTTCACTATATCTAATCAGGGAAAGGTGTGTGTCATACCAAGGGACCAGAGGTGATCTACAATAGATCATTTTGAAACAAGTGCAGCAATATTACGAAAGACTTCAATGTAATTAAGCTCTGTCTGTATTTTATTTTGAAAGGCTGTGAGGAGTCGTTCAAATTGACATTTTTTCCAAACCTAAATATTCTCGTTGCTTAGAGTTTTTCCTGCTTTAAGATTTCTGTTCATTTTATATCGTTTGCACTGAACTTGGTGGTCTGTCTTCCTTCTGCAGATTTTTCCCCCTTCTTGGCATTTGCTACACCTTCATCTTGACATTCACTGGTTTGTTTTAGAGATCCTCCACATCCTTGGTCACAAGATGCAAGGTAAGATTAATAGAAATAAGATTTCAGAGAGATGACTCTGTGATTTGGAGATGTGCTGATTGAATCCTGATGATTAGAATACAATCTCCTAAAACGTTGTCAAACCAGCACATTTGGGGATAATCTTCTGACTTGAAGCTCATTGTGAGTCATTATCATAAAAAAAAAAACAAGCTTTTTGCAATTCTACCTTTTCTTCTCTCCAGGCCAAGTTGTTTACGCCCACCAGTTTGTGAACCTTACAGGAGAGAACCTGACTGATACAAGTCTGTTTGAAGAGCAGCTGTGCGGTCTGTTGTGTGACCTCACTGGTCTGGCCATGGGCAAATACAGCAAGGTAGGCAGCAGCTGGCCGCAGCTCATAACACTTTTGCTTTTGAGATGCACCTGTGATATTTCGAGGTTATTTTTTAAAGCTTAAATAAAGTGCAGTTACTGAATCCTGTATATTCATCAATACAGAAAGTTCTAGATAAAAGACTGGGGCCATGGATTACAAATTCTGTATGCAAATTTGGCCTCTGAGAAGTCAAAAGATTTAGTTAAAGTATTTTTCGGCAAGAGTGGAAGTTATTTCATGAAAATAATATTATTAAAGGGTTATTCTAGCGTAAAATTAAGTTAGGGTCAAACACACCGGAACACCGAGTTAGACACCCCCTCAAGAGATAAATGTTGCAGTGCAGCAGATCATTTTATCATAATAATCATTTTGCACTGCAGACGTGGTAGTTCTTCTGCCTTAGCGTCTCAGTCTGATTGCATTTCCCTGAAGAAATGATCACAAATGTTTTTCCTTGTGCTGCGAAACTCTGTTGCACTCGGTGATCGACTTTTCAGGGCTTCCACAAAAACAAGCAGTTGCTGGAAGAGAGTGGGTGAGTTGTGTTTGGTCTCTTAAAGATGTCGCTAAAAAGATATACTGTAGCAGTTGGTCACAACATTCATCTCTCGAGGGGGTGTCAAACTCAGCGTTACAGTGTGTTTGACCATTACTTAAATTAACGCCGGAATATCCCTTTAAGTACAAACCCTAAAGAAATGAAAGAAAGTTTATATATGCAACAAAACAGAGTTTGTATATTATAGTACTTTAAAGTTACAGGACAATTTAAGGTGCTTTAAGAAGACATGCTTTATCATGTGGTTTCCAGGTGAGGCCTACAGAGGCACTCAGCACCCATCACTTCCTGTGCCCCTGCACCAAAGAGCTGTGGGTCCTCCTCATGCACCTTTTGGAACAAAGAAAAAAAGTGCTCCACACTCAGGTAAGACCATTTAAACACATACTCCATTTAATCCAGCACAACAAAGTAGACTAAAACAACCAAGTCTCTGTGCTTCCCTGCAGTCTTTCTGGTCCTACATGAACTTGTTGTTAAGGCCGCTGGTTTCAGGAAAGCCAGCAGCAGAGCAGTTCAGCGGCCTCCCCACGCACTGCAAGGACCCTTTAGGATTCACGTGGTGGCTGGTCACTCATTTAGCAATGCTAGGGCAGTACAATCGCAACGGCACACTCCTGAGGAGCAAAGAGGAGGTAAGAGACACGCCCAAAGACGTGCTGCTTTTACCCTGGAAGAGTTAGGAGTGTGCTGGGACTTAAACTTAAACTGATTCATTAGAGCTCATATTTAGAGACATCCATTCACCACAACATGGATATTTGAGTACTCTTTTACACCCAAGTTTTAACCATGATAGTTCTATTTTGACTCAGTTTTTAATGGATGTAAATACATCAAATTTATCATGATAACTTCAGCCTCTGACAGTCTTTAATGAAAGTCTTTAATAGTTGATAATGTAGACATTCTTAACTGTGGTTGGTTTTAGTTGTTACATTATAAGATTTAAACATGTTTAACTTTGTTTTATGTTTTTGTGTTTATCTGTACTCAGAATAGTCTGGGAGATAATTGGACTTTGACGGAGGAGCTGCTCAAGTTAACCTGTAACACCACGGTCAGCATCTTTTCCTGCCACACATACATTTTAAATCCTTGAAAACGCCTGGAAAAAAAAAAAGGAAAGTAGTGTTTTAAACAGAATGTGTAAGGTGTATGTGTGTGTGTGTGTTTGAAACAGCAGAGAGGTCTAGCAGAGGAACAGGTCAGGATGCATGCCCACTGCTGTCTCAGTCTGTGTCTGCTGTGGGAACCGAGCACCAGTGCTGTCTCCACCCTCTGGGACTACCACAGCAAGAATCTGGTGAGAGAAACTTCAGAGGAAACACTTGAAAGATCTGATGGAGCAGCAGAGATGATTCAAGTTCATGTTACCTTATCCTCCAGTATGAGTACAACAATCAGACCACTTCACTTCAATCCAAGGTTATACTAGTTTTGGATTTGTCATTATAGTTTAGTTTTAGTTAGTTTTGACATGTTTTTCCGTTACAGTTTAGTTTTGATTAGTTAAAGAGCGGGCATTCTAGTTTTTATTTAGTTTTTTATCTTAGTTTTAGTTTAGTTTAATTTTTTTCTTACAGTATTTGTGAGGTGCAGGATTCAAAAAGGCCAGAGTAAGTATTTTGTAATACTGTTTATTTTCAAGCCCAACATAGTGCTCACTGCTCAGTCAATGCGGATACTGTATTGTTGGCTGCTGCCTTAAACACAAGAAAATAATATAAACTTCATATAAAAAATATAAACATACATTTCTTCCAAGTTATTCCAACAACACAAGCTCCGTCGCAGCACAGCGCACAGCCAGTCAGTCTAGTAAACAAGCACGTCCCAGTTCGTCGCTATGATCGGGCCGTACAGCGCTGACAACTGCCGAAAACTGTCGTTAAATTGGTTGGGAAAATGAATCGGATTAATTTAAATCCTAAAGGCTAATAAATATTGTCAAAAACGATAACGAAGGACATTTTGTCTGTAATTTTAGTTTTGTGAACACGAGATTCAGTTTTAGTTTATCGTTTTTCTTTTCTTTTCTAGTTTTTACTAGTTTGAGTGAACTGCAATGTATTTAAATTTTAGTTTTCGTTTTTAGTTTCATTTTAGTTAACTATTATAACCTTGGTTCGATCACCGTGATCGAACTGAATTTGTCACAATCATTAATCACGATCATATAATCGCCCAGTCCTAAGTCATTATATGTTACAATACATTCTTGCCTGTAGTTTACAATGAAGTTATACTTATCTTATCCATCAACCCTCTGAGCATTTTTTGGTCTAAAAGAGGTCTAATAGACATCTAAATGTAGCCTATAGACGACTGGTCTAAAATCAGGCTACCACAGGTCTTAAAATAAAAGTTTTTTAGACAACTAAATTTAGACCAAGTCTAAACCTGGGCTATATCTTTACTACACTGTATTTTGCTCAACGACTATGATTATTATTTTAGTTAAGTACTTGTGGATCAGTTTTGCAACTCACAGTTGCTTTTTGAGATAAATAGTTATCGAATTATGGGTTAAAGTGCAACCGTCTAAATTCAGTCTAAAAATAAACAGAATCTAGACGTTTGAAATTAGGTCTAAAAAAAAAAAAAACGTCTAATAGCCGTCTATTGCTCAGTGGGAACATACTGCAGCAGTAGTTGCAGATGTCTCCCTCTGGGTTCTCCTCAGAAACCTCATGTAGTGACATCGTCCTCTATCCTTCCTCTCAGAATTCCTCGTTCACAGTTCCATGGCTTGGTGTGTCTGGTGTTGGCTCGTTGTACAAGTCACCCATGGCTTTGTTGGAGCAGGCCCGCTGCTGCTGCCGTCCCTCTGACCTTCACTCCTCAGGACACACCCAGCTCTATCGCTCAGCCAACTCCTTCCAAATCTTCCTCCGAGTGCTCGCCCTGTGCCTGGCCCAGGATAGAGCCGGCGGAGTCCCACAAAGACAAATCAAAGGAAGGTAAAGAAGAAGAAGAAAGGTCCTGGAGGCTTTGTAGATTTAGTTTCTTCAGCATTTAAAGTACATCTCACGGACAACAGTTGACTTCATAGACACGGTGTGCAGTTTTTAAGGGGAAGAGAAGATTAAAGAGAATACGTGGAGTAGAAGCTGTGAGGAGAGATTACTAATGAAGACCAGCCTTTGTTGGAATCCCCCCTTTCCCTTCATCTCCTAATATGTGATATGTGTTTTGTGTGTTGTTTGGATTTTTGTGTGTGTGTTGCAGTGAATACTTGCATGAAAACACAAACACCATGTGTTTTTTTACACACTAGCCCACATTTTGGTCTCGTTTGTGTGCCTGCCAGGTGCACTGGGTCTCCCGGTGCGTCTTTGATATTTACTCAGGCCCCCCAGTGGAGCAGGTGTCTCAGGAGTCAACCACCTGCTCTTCATGCACAGACCAGAGCCAAAGAACCTCCCACTGATGCGCACACACACACACACACACACACACACTCTGCACCTGCTCCCTGGAGCCGTGACATGAGTGTAAGAGTCCAGTAGATGGAGGACGAGTGTTTATCTGTGAAACAAAGTAGGAGAAAGGACAGAGCAGATCATAAGCTAATGTGCCCGCCTGAACACTTCGCTGGATCATCCTATATCCCAGACCGGCTGGGCGCCAGAGAGAGGCAGCCATAGATAAATCCGCCTAATGACTTCCCTCTGTCTGGAATGTGCTCAGTAGCGCTGCAGACATGGGGGCTAATTAGCTAACGAGCGTGGCGGTTAATTCGCCTTAACGAAGCTGTGTTGGTTTCCAGCACGGAGAGAAGGGGGAGCTTGGGTGGTGGGGAGTAGGGAGATGTGGGTGGTGGGGAGTCTGGCAACAGCCTGAATGGGCTGGGACAGGTCCAGATCCCTCCACCGCCCTTCACCACATCCGCCTCCTCCTCCTCCTCCTCCTCCTCCTCCTCCTCAGGAGGCACGAGGCGTGCCGACCGTATCACCACAACGCTTCGGCAGTGTTCCTACTCCTGGCCAGGCTCTGTGAGACACCCACGACCACAGCATTAATGGGATCTGCTGCAAGCATGTTGAACTCCAACACCGGGAGTAAGGAGCATCTGCTCACCCCAGGAAAAAAAAAAAAACTGTTCAGAATAAACAAACAGACCGACAGGTTGAATGAACGCAGGAAATCCCTACTGCTGCCTCTCAGCACGCTGCTTTTAACACAGTTACATATTACCCATTCAACAACTGAAGTCTTCCTCCCTCCACACTCGAACTGCACGCCTGGCCACCTTTCCTTTTACAGTCTTCTGTGGGTGTAACTAAGCTGATTTGGTGTTAACCTGGTCTTACTCAGTTCCTCTCTCCTTTTTCCTCCTCTCCATAATATCATTCATACTTCTTACACAGAGTTTGTCTTGGGATGCTCGCTGTTTGTGTTTTGACCCAAACAGCAGCTTTACTCACCTGTGTGGGCTGCATCTGTGTTTGGGAGTTAGGGTGTGAGAGGAGGGGGCTCCAGCCTTCTGTGTTTTCCTGCCAGGCAAGCAAACATCAAGCTGGATGTGTGGCAATGCAAGTGTGTGTGTGTGTGTGTGTGTGGTTTTATTGATCTCTCTCTGGTGTTGCAGTAAATTGGTTTGGCTGTAGAGAGAGGGACCGAGCGCCTACTGCTGTGTGTCTGAGTGTCTCTGACATTTAACATGATCTTTAAAGGCATTTCTCCACAGTGCCCGCAGGATCTAACAGCGTGCTGGGTGAGAGAACCACCCAGCACGCTGTTAGATCCTGCTTACTCCCTTTCTTGCTTATTCTTTCCCTCTCTCACTCTCACTCTCACGCACACACACAAACATTCCCACACACAGCCTCTCCCCTGGAGCTGAGAGGGTGATAGAGGTAGGTGGTCCACAGTGGGGATAGCTAGTTCAGTTAGTCAGCATTTAAAGTCTGAGGTCACAAAAGAGAAGAAAATCATACCGTGAATAAAAAGTTTGTCAACAGAAGTAACTAGGCACAAAAAAGATGAATCATTTAACCCTATTAAGTCATGCTGAAAAACACTTTTCTTTTCTGATTTCCAGGATTTATTCCAAGTTCTCCTCAAAAAAGATGCAGGACCTGTCAGAGGCCGGCCTCATGAACTTTCTCCTGCTGTTTCTGGTGGTTGCGAGGCAGGTAGAGCTGGAGGACGTGGCCAGCAGAGCCTCTGAGCTGCTCAGTTTCCTCCCCTCCAACTGTCCTCCCGGGCACCGCACCCTGGTCTGGAGGGGGCAGCTCTCACTACTGCTGCTGTTCCAGGTTTGTGCTTTTTAAAGATGGACCAATAATTGGCATGGCTGGTAATATTGCTGATATTCAGCATTTTTACTATAATCAGCGTCAGATGTTTTTTTCCACTTATCGCAGATAAAATAAGTTTATTTTAAAACGTGTCCGTTCAGCTCTGACACAGCAACCTCTCTCTGCCTGAAGTCATCGCTCTTGGCAGTTTAATGTCCCACCTACAGTCCTCACTGATTGGCTACACAGACAGCCAATCAAGACAGACGCCATCACACAGCTGAGCAGCTCTACTTTCTGAGTTACAATCCAACTGAGACTTAAATCTGATCAACTACAGTCCAGTGTTTACTTTTGTTATTTATTTAAATTTAGGGAACTATTTGATTTGTTTATTTATTTTAGCTACAGTTAGAGTTCATCAAAAATGCTGCTATAGGATCCTTGCAATTTTTTTTGTTGCTATGGCAATAAAACAATTGTTTGAACCTTTTCAACAAAGATTTTCATATTATTTTACAACAGTTGAAGGTCTTTTTTTTACAGATTTCCACAGTGTTTATAACAAACAAACAATCCACTGTGTTTAGTCTGATTCCAGGTGAGTTATCTAACATGTTGACACCAAAATATATATTTTACTGCAGATGAATATCTGTTCTAAATATTGGTTATCGGTTTGCTTGATTACTAAAAATCGATATTGGTATCGGTCGACCCTGAGTGCTCTTAAATGGTGTCCAGAAGTGTTTTTTGTGTGATTTTAAAAACAAATTCTTCAAGTAAGAGTTTATGATGTCCAAATTTCCACAGTTTTGTGATATATTCCCATCACCTGATCATTTTATTCTTTCATTTTTCAGGAGAGAGGTCTGGATGTGGGTGCACAGGCCAGTTGGTTGGCCTCCTCCTTTAATGAGACAGCCAAAGAGTTCTACAATAAGACTACGGAGGTCTCTCGCAGACTCGCTCTGTGGGGGCCCCTCGGCTCATACCTGGAGGGTGTCGCTGAAGTGTTCGAGACGAGCACCAATCTCAGCCTATCAGAAGAGAAGCTGCTCAATGAAGGATTCGATTGGTTGTTACCTGCGTGTCGTCTGTCAGAGCTGAACTCTGCCCTGGGCTTTCTGCAGACCGTCCTAGCCCAGCTCAGGTGAGACAGCTGGTGGACACACTCACTGGTTTTCTGGTTATCTTTAACTTTCCGTCTTTGGCTGATAGCTGTGCTCCCTCTGAGACTGGACATATTCAGACAAATGTTTTCTGACAAAGGCTAAGCTTCGCTTTTATTAAAATCTGATAAGTAACTACAACAGAGCAGAGTGATCTCCTCTGCTCTTCCCAGTCCATCACAGAGTCCACGTACTCCTCATACTGACAATAGGCGGATTGTCCTGTCACTAAGAATGAGAGTCTATAAAGACTCTGTGTTGAATTGAAGCCCCCGTTTGTCTCAGTAGACCTAGTGGCCCTCAGGTCACCCTCACCAGGTGCTGGTGGAGCTCTGAGTTGAGTTACAGGCTCAGGGGACCCTCCTGGACCCTCCTGTTATCAGGGGGACAGCGGCGGGGCTTCAGGCACGTAGAGAGACTACGGTCACTTGGGTGTGGGGACAGGTTCAGCTGTAGGACACCGGTTTTTGTTACACTTTCAACCTCCACTGAAGGTCAGAGATCCAGAGCTGAAACAGTGCCTGTTTATGTGAGGAGGTAGAGGCAGAGACACGAGGGGCGGTGAGTGGTTTATACTGATACTGAGAACTACTTGTTATCCCAGGAATGACCATGGGACTAGTTCAACTTTTTGAAACCTCAGTCATACTGATCTGTTATCTTTTCCGAGAAGGCTGCGCAGTATGCTTTCAATAACGTCTACCCTCCTTTGTGCTCACGTTTGTATTCAAAGACCCCAGAATGTGTCGTCTTCATGATCTCTAAATAGTCATCGTTGCGCAAAATGTACCCGTTACTTTAATCATGAAACCCATCATGAGCTTAATGGTTCTTTTAAAATAATCAGCAGAAGATTTTATCTCCTATCTTAGATAAAATCATTTAACCCACATTTAGAGCAAAAACTTCAAGAAAGACTGAAGTTGTGGATGTTTTTGGAGTTAGAGTAGCACATGCTAGAGTGAATAACTCAATGGCTTTAAACCCCTACAGATGATGGGGGAGGTTTATTCCCTGTGCAGCAGTGTTGGTGGTCAAACCTATCCCACAGAGTGGTTGTGAAGTCAATGCCCACTCTTAAATCATCTATGTGTTAAAAGGGAAACACTTCCATCCCTGCAAACGTTCTAGATGAACATTCTTAGCCGAGCTCTGAATACACCTGCAAAAGGTGATTATTGAGACACTCCAGGTCCCAAAGTGTTCGGTTTATAAACTTCTGCAGCAGTTTTCTAGCCTAGTTTTTTTTTTTACATTACTTATCATATTCACTGATTCACACTACATTCATTCATACATGGCTGGCAGAAGATACTGATGTAGAAGAGGACCACTTTTATTTATTAATCCCATTCATTTGAATTTGAGGTTCTGCTGGAGTCGTCTTTTGTGGTTCCTGGAAGGTTCCTGTGTAAGTGAAACGACCTAGAAGTGTTGAAGCGTCAACCATGACCGAACATGTTTAAATCATAGACTGTATATAGAATTGGCGCCGTCTGCCTCCTCGCTGGGTGAAGCCACTCCGAGAACAGCACCCTCTGGTGACAGGCTGCAGTATAGGTCATAAATCCTGCCTCCTCCAGCAATCCCTATGGAGCTGTGGACAAACTTTACAAATTTATTACACAGCATATAAATTTTTCTTCCCCCTGCTTGTGATGTTGACATGTAGTTATTGTAAAACTGGTTTGTGCTCAAGTCTCTTTTTTTCTGTGCAGCTCAGTTTTTTAAAGTTATTAGGGGGTTCATGTTTTCTATGATTGACACTTGATACAGCCTATGGGCGTACAAAGATTGCTTAGCTCACCCAGAGGATACGCTGTTTGAGCCGAGGGTCATCACAGCGACTCTCAGTAATTCTCTCGCCGGATGCGCACAATGCTACTGTGCAATGTTGGTTTCAGGAATTGGAGAAAAAGTCTGCTCTGAAGCGACACTTGTTTATCCAGGCTTTTGGTATCTAGTTATGTTTATTGTAGTGTGTTGTTAAGCGTTTTGGGTATCTTGAAAGGCGCTATACAAATGCAAGATATTATAATTTTATTATTATTATTATTATTATTAAATACTGAGAGCTTTTTGGCTTCAAATCCGTATACTGACAGAAGGCGGAACCCAGTTGTCCATAGTACATAGAGTCTGTGGTTTAAATCGTCCAGATGATAAGAAGAGGAGCATCAGTGACTTTGAGCCATCTTTGCCAATTCAACTATTCAATTATTTTCATTTAATCAGACCTAATGATCACGTTGATCAATAAGCAGAGTGGCAAATATTTGACTTCACCTTTGATAACTTAAGAGGTCATTACTTTTTAATCAATCAGTATTTCAGAGAGGATTCGTGCCCTGACTACCACAGAGTTCTAATCAGGACCGTTAATGTTAAACTCCTGCTCAGGTGATGTGGGATTTCTGCTGTTTTGACGACTTTACTGACACTTGCACACCAGATGAGTGCATGACTCCATCATAATCTGAAGCTGAATGAAAACACTGATATGTAAAAAAAAAAAATCCATCTGTAGTAAGTTCAGTTGTAGTTTTTTAACAGCAGATTCACGTCACATCAGTTACATTTGCTAAGTCGAAGTGCTGGTGGATTTTCCAAACTCCATTAGTGTCTTTTCCAGACTTCTTAAAAACACCTCTCCTTTACCCTGTGACATTTTCTACTGAGAAAAGGGGGATAGGAAAGGATACTGATCATTTTATCGTACGTTCCTAACATACTCCTTGTCTTGCCTGAGGACACTCATTCATGGGGTCAAATCGTAAACATTCAAATTGAGGGACGACTGACTCCACCACTGAGCAACAGCGCCAAAATGGAACAGTTGAAAAATACTTGGATCTGAGACTAAGAATGTCACTTACAGTAAAACAGGAGGAGCAGTTGAATGCTAAACACAGTACCCGAAAATGCTGGCACCGTTACCGGCGAGTACTGGAGTCCAGGCACTGATCCCATACCATGTAATTTATTGAATTAGTTGTAGTTTATTTACTGGTTAGCTCTCTTAGCTCTGATCTGTTTAAACTCCCCTCTTATTTAAAAATATAGTGGCTGCACTTTAATATTTTTTTTAAAGAATAATTATTCCTAGATTTATGTAGTTAAAATGCATTTGCTGTCTTTTATGCGGTTCTGTTTAGAAATAAATAGCTTGAATTTTCTGTATTTCTTTGTGTTTTAAAAACACAAGCCAGAGCCAGACCTTACCACAATGATGATCATATCACAGTCATGCAGGCCTGGTATGATACATATATATTTTTTATAACTTACTGGTTTTGGATCGGTACTCGGTATCGGCCGATACCCGCAGCACAAGTATCAGGAGGGAAAATTTGGTATGGGAACGTCTCTAGTTTCTACATTCGTCATCCTTCTGTGTTTGACTTCCCCATTACTGACTGTTTATACTTCCCAAACTTACTTAAATTGGCTAAAATATTCGAACCTCTAACGTCGAGCATCACTGAGCCCTCTTAGTGAATCATGTAGGTGTATGATTGCTTTAATACCCTTGAGTATACATTCAACCCTCTCCACCCTGCACACACAGAACTGCACCCCTGCCCACACACAAAAAGAGAAACATTAAACCTAAGTGTGCTCCTGTCTTGTTTCAATAGCAAACCTGTAACATGATGTCTTGTTAGCTTTGCTGATTCTCGTCTCTTCGTCTGAGATGTCAGGGTTGGAGGGCGCACATTTGCACATTAATGGCCGAAAGGAGAGAGAGAGAGAAAGAGAAAGGCGGAGAAAGAAAACTCCCAAAGCCCCTCTTGGTTATTGGGAGGTCCGCACTGACCCATTTAACCAAATAAAAAAGTACCATGTTCTCTCTCCGAATCCGTCCTGCCAAATTAAACGTAATTCTTTTGGCCTGGCAATTCTTGGTATCTCTTTGTGATTAATGCTTTTCCTGTGACACAATTAATGGGCAATTATGTAGCCTGGCAAATTTAGCCTGTGCATCATTATGTCTTCTGAGAGCTGTGTGGAATCTGCACACATTAAGAGAATTATTCTGCCAATGGCTGAAGCAGTGGAGGGTCCGAAACATTCACTCTTGATAGCCATCGCCATGGTGCCGAGGCAAAAAGCCAGTGCCGGGCATAATTCTGCAGCTTTATTCATTCCCATGACCCTCTGCTCTGGGTTAGTGGGAGTGTCACCAGTTGATGAGGTAAGCTGGCATTGGCACACAACACTTAATCTGTTTTTCACTACAAATAATTAATCCCCACAACCTTGCCTTAAAAGAGCCTCCCGGTGAAGTGTTTTGCTTTTGTAAGCATTAAGACCTTTTCCTTGATATTGAACCTTTTTTTTTTCCAAAGCCAAGGACAACTGCTGATGACTTATAGTACATTAAATAACAGTCGAACCTCATACTTTAGTTGGAGTGATACACAGACAGTATGTGGCACAAAGTGGAATCCTCTGCCTGTGTGTGTTTGCTGAATATTTTACATTAGAAGTGTGTTGGATACAGTGGCAAAGAGGGTTAAACATGGTCCCTAATAGTGTATGTGTTTGTGTGTGTGTGTGCGTGTGTGTTTGTGTGCACACATTGTAAGAAACCGCAGTGAGGAGGATTAAGTGGGGTCTCTGACGATGTCTTGTACAATGAGGGTTGATGGGTGTGAAAGGCCCATTCCGCAGTAGTAACGAGGCTAATGAATTCAGACTCTAATCGATTGTCTCAGCTCTCTCCGGATTAGATGCAACCTTGCTGGAAGGGAAGGCACCGCTGAGGTGTGTGCATGTATGTGTGTACCATCGCAGCAGACTAGACTGCATAGTTTAGGGTGAGATGAAGAAGAGGGGTGGTTGAGGAGGGGGGGTGTAGTTCCCTTTTTTCTCTCCTCCTTCCCCAGCACACCTCAACCTCCATTCCCCACACCCCCATGCAGGCGAATGAGGGGGACAGGAGGATCATCTCCAGTCTAAATGAGATTACAGCTCCTTCAGCTGCTTATCTGGGCTAATGCCAGCCACTGTGGGGCTGCTGTAGCGGCTGGGGCCAGGGCCATGGATGAGCCAGAAGAGCCAAAGTATAGTCTGTGTACAGGGGATCAGCATTAGGCTCGACTTTATGCCTATAATATCCTTCACTCCTTCCCCACCTCCACCGTGCTTTGCTCCTCTCTGCAGCGCACCGCCGCGCCCAGTAATCCCCCATGGGAGAAGAGAGGAAAAACACATAGAGAAGAAGTGAAAGAGAGAAATAGGGGAGCAAAAGGATTTTGGAAAGTAGAGGGCAGAGTTCTTGTTCAACAGAGAGGGCCTCATGTTTGGATTTTGCATCAATAGATTTGTTTATCAGCTTTCTTTGCAAAAAAAAAAAACGTGTCTGTGTCCTTTTCAGACGGGTCCATCAACGCAGTGTCCACTCAGCATCCACCTTGGCTTGGGCTCCTGCTAACACCAATGTGGGGAAAGAGCGCCACCTAGCGGTAGCAGCGAAACTCTGGGCACACTTCCTACCCTTCCTGCGCAGCCTACGCCTTTCCCAGACCCCTCCGGCACAGCTGGCAGATGCTGCTGCAGGTCAGTTACACCGACTGGGAGGGGAAGGAGACACTGAGACTGGGTTTGAGTTTAAGGCAAGGGTTCAACTGAAATAAATCTGTGATAAACCTCATTCATACGTCACGAAGAGAAAACTTAAATGACAGTTCAGGAGAGAAAAGAAGTTAGTATCTACAAAGAAGGAGAAAGTCACACCTCTTCAGTGCAGACTAGACTCAGGACACTTGTTGTCTAATGCTCTCATGTTGTCCTTAGGCTTCACCCTGTTGGCCTCGGATCTGCCCAGCTCTGCGCCCCAGGACCTTCAGCCCAACCCTGTCCACTCCATCATGCAATGTTTTGGCTGGGATGACATGGTTCACCCTCTCCTGGTGACTCGCTACCTGACTCATTTACTTCAAAACAGGTAGAGCTGACCTTTGAGTCCATGCCTCAATCTGAAAAAGTTACCTCTGATAGGAAAACATGAGGCAAGGATAATGATAACTTGTCGTCACTCTTCTTTTATGATCAACACCTCTAAAATCATAACTCTGATCAAATCCTGTGAGTATATCGTGTAGTTAAAAGTTAATAAATAAGACTAATAAGTGTCACTTGTTTTATCTGAATAGGTTTTAATGCAAAAATTGGAGTCATGCCTCAAAAGCACACTCAAAATGTTGTGTGTCTTTAACATTGGACTCAAGGGTATGAAACAACGTGACTGTTTCACCCTCAAAGGTCCTCTTCAGACGGTGCCAAGTGATATTAAAGTGCCACAGCTGAATACAAATCCACAACAAGGACACTGCTTGTATGTATTGTTTAGTGCTGGCCTGCCAAGCTTCAGTGCATTACTGTTTGACCCACCAGTGTGTAGGTCATTAAATGCAGTAATGATTTCATGCAAAGATGTATTTCAATCCCTCACCTTTGACCAAAATCTGAGCCTCAACGTTTAAATCTAGTTTGTCTTGTTTAAGTTTAACACACTTGTTCAGATATGAGTAGATTCATGGATTAATCTAACTGTTCAACAACCTGGCATAGATATCTACTCATACTGATGAAGTTCAATAAAACAGAGCATACGTATGTGAATCTGTCACTGGCCTAATGCGGTCAAATTCTAACATGTTTCTGATGAAATAATCGTCTGTTTCTGTCTTTTCCAGTGAGCTGCTGGCCTCAATAAGCAGTGGTTCGGCTGCTGTGTCCGGTTCTGCACAGAGCCTTTCAGTGAGGGCCTGGTTCCGCTGTGTAGTACAGCGGCACCTCCACAAGAACCAGGATGGTTCTGACAGCAAAGCAGGTGATAACACAAGTCACAATAAAGAGATAAATCTGTATGATTATTGTAAGTTTTCATATGCAGTGTGAGATCAGGGTTCCTGCACAAGTATGGAGATAAATTTGATCAATTTCCAGGTCTTAAAAAGTAAGAAAAATGAAAAATGAATTACGACTACTACTACAGTTCTAAAATACTCTTTTTTTAATAGAAAAGTAGGTATTTACAAAAATAATTCCAAATAGTAGGGTATGGAAATATAAATTCCAACTGTGTAGGAACCCTGTGAAATGTTTTTTTTCCTGCTTTAAGCTTGAGTCCAATTTAAGGAAAGAAGAATCACAATGAATAAAAAACAAAAAACAATGACTGATTTTTTGTGCCAACAGTTAATGTTAGTGAAGTTACAACATATAAGCACAAATCAATCAAACTAATGACTGAAAAGAAAAAGGGAATTTGGTGCGAAGGCTCAAAAACTCACATGGACTCCATGGACTGTTTACTAATGATTCCAGGTCAGGCCTTAGAGGAGCAGTTGTGTGAACTGACTCGACTGGTGCTGAGGCTTCCTGAGGTGGACAGTCTTCTACAGAGAGCAGGTCTACAGCCCACAGCCACCAGACTAGAACCCCTTTTAGCCCTGGAGATGTTCGTCAAGGTAACACTCTTTAGTCTTTAGTTGGTGTTAGCAAAAGTAAATAAAATAAAATACAAATATGCATACACGTCATATTAGTCGTTATATCTATATTAATGTGTTTGTGCCAGGCTGTTGGGAGTGTTTACAGTGGACTGCAGGTTTTGTCTGAGCGTTCAGCCATGGTGACCAGAGCCCTGGACTATGTTGGGGACATCTTGAAACATATCAAACCCTCTCTAGTCAGCAAGAACCAAGAGGGACTGCAGCTGGCCTACTGGGCTGTCGGTAGGTGCAACTTCAAACACCTTCGTTTTGAAGATCCAGTATAATTGTCCTCCTGCTGTTTGGTCTGTGTCATCAGATAAAAAGGAAGAAACCTTAACAGTAGTGTATCTCACTCTCTGCTCGTCTCTGTTTTTGTTCTGTTTGATTTAGGTTGCATAGTGAAGCACTGGAGCCCCCTGCTGGCCACATCTAAAGCTCAGCAGCTGCTGTTTCGCATTGTGGATGGACTGCTGCTTCCCCACAACCTCACAGTGCAGGACAAAGCTCTCAGGGACAGCCTGCCTCTGTATCTGCAGGTCAGGAAAACACATGAAATAAAACAAATCACAAATACTCTAATAATGTCATCTTGTGTCATGATCATTTCTTCCCACTCTTACACTCATTACTTATTCCCTCGTAGGGTCTGTCAGTCGCCTCCTGTGTGTCTCAGTCTCAGGGCGCCTACCTGAGGCAGCAGCTCCGGTCGGTTATTCGCAGATATCTGGACCATTTCCTCCCCGCTTCACCCTCTGTGGGCGTCATAGCCAACCACCCTGTGCTTCTGAGTGCGTGTGAAGCCAACCCAACCAGCCGGGGAGCATCGCTGAGGAGAACAATACTGGAGGTGCTCTGGTACGTCCCTACAACTGAGGGCTTGTTTGTCTGTCATGGACCCCAGCTGCTTGGTTTTCTTTGATGTTAAATTCATATCCAGGGTGTGGTTGGATGTCACTCTTGTCAACTACAGCAGCTCACTCTAGATCTGACTTGATTTAATCTACAAAGTATCTCACAGAGTTTTTCTTTTGTTTCATTATTGCATTTCTTCAGCTTCTGTATCCTCGCCAACTCAAAAGTTTTTTTTTCCCTTTTCCATTTTTACAGCGAAAGCTTCCTGCAGTTTAGAGGTCATGCTCCCCCGCCTCGGCTAGCATCAGTCCTGATGTTCCTCTTGGAGCTTCTGAGAAGAAACAGTGACTCAGACCCCGGCCTCCTCACTCTGCCCTTCCCCGCTCTGCTGCGCTGTGTGATGCTCGTCAATGAACCACAGGGTGAGCTCATGCTTGTGCATATGCAGACAACATAATCAGAATCGTGCAAAGTGTGGATCGTCCTCGCTACTTCACAGCATTATGCAACTGATGAGATAGGACCCTCTTTGGTTCGCCTTAATGCAGCTCTGATTTCTTCTTCTTCTTCAGGATATCTTTGTCTGGCAGTTCAACAGTCAATAGACAAAAAGCATTAAAAGTTAACAACAATCTTCCTAACCAAGGTTTTCTGACTATAATGAGTGGCTCATATGCAGTTTGGAGATAGTAAGCCCAGATTTAGGGGTTAAAGGCTGACCAATCCTTACAACCATATAATGTGCTTCCAGAGCTGCTAATGATGCCTTTCAGGAGATTCACCAAATGTGAGCTGAGAGGGAATAACAGGTCAGATAATAATGGGATGTAATAATGACTCCTTTCACATCTATGTTCTGTGTAAGACTGCACTGCATTTGATTACTAACAGGAAACGTTGATGTCCATTTATGTTCTCAGACTTGTGTATTCTCACTTTGACCAGGCCTGCATTTACTGAAACCTCCTTCCTAATTGATACACTAAATGCTGTTGTCACATTAGTATGGTGGAGGTTGTAGCCAAGCTTTTCTTGAAAACATACAATTTTCACCAATCTTCACCTGGAGTCAAATTATACAGAAGCTATAATTACCACCTTTGCCAGGGTGCAGCTTACATCTGTGTCTGTCAGGACTCACATCATATTTTTGTAGAGCAGATTTTAATGAAAGCTACCAGGTGTGTTCTTTAAACTCTATCACTACACTTGGTTTTATTCATTTATTTCCTATTAAAGGTGTAGTTTTGATTAGAGACCGATATGGATTTTTTGGGGACGATACCAATACCGATTTTTAGGGGGGAAAAATAATTTGATTAGCAATTAATCGGTGGATTTTTCATTTTTTTTAAATGAAATTATAAGATTAAAAAAATATATATATATAAATATAAATACTGTAGGCTACTGCTTTTCACGCCGACAGGAAGATTGACTAATCAACCTTGGACCAGAAAAGCGTTTTCAAAGATCCGTCACTCTGCTGTGAGGTAGTTAGTGGATGAAGATTGTCATGAGGTCACTGCGCCATCTACTGGATAAGTTGGGGAACTTTTCAAATGGCGGAACATTTTTGAAGTGAAACCGAATCTTATTCTCCGCATTTTATTTCTGAAAATATCAGCGAGTTTTGGCTGATTACCGATTACTCTCAAACAGGCTTAAATTGGCCGATAGTCTTGATTTCTGACGTAACCAGTCCTTTTGCCAGTAGTTTCCAACAATTTGCTGTGATAAATTAAAACACGTCAGCTTCCACCTCCTCTCTGTCAGGCTGCTAATGCTTACAGTCACATTGAATTTCCCTTCAGGGATCAATAAAGTTCTTCTTATTCTTATTCTTAGACCCTCCGCTTCCTATTCTCTTAGCTGGTAACACACATCTGTCTTCAACCCATGATGCACTGCTGTTTTAGTTTGCTTCCTGTATTTGTTCCTATTAAAAGTCCAGTTACATTCTCACCTGAAGTGAACCAGACCATGGTTCACTTTGAACTGGACCAAGTCCTGATTTTTTGGGGGACCATGGTCTGCTTGTTTGGTCCAACAGTAGTCCAGGCCGTGGTTTGGGGGAGTGTTCACACATTAAATTTTGGTTCGGATCAATCTGAAAAGTCCTAAAATCTGGACCAAATGACGTTAGTGTGAAAGCGACCGTAGACTGAGGGGTTGATCCTGCCAAATGTTGAAAACATTCCTCATATTGCTCTTGAGTCGTTTCATACAAAACAATGAAGCAGACAGACGGCTTGTAAATACACCAATCCTCAAGCCCACATAGATTCAAAACTCATTTTGGTAATCATGTTCCTGTCTGAGGGTGTCATTCACTGCCTTCTTTTCTGTGCAGTGAGGAAGCTGAGCACTGACGCCTTGCAGCTTATAGTGGAGCGTTGTGCTGTTGCATCTACAGAGGGACCATGTGACCAGATGATCACTGTCTTAAGGTACTTGAAGATGTGAGGCCATGAATATTTGTATCTATATTAGAGCAGCGTGGCATTGTTCAAATGATGCTCGAATCCTGTTACACGATCTTTTAAGCGCGGGGTTAAACTGTCTCCTTTGCTTTATCCGTACATCAAAGTCATTTTATCCTCGGTGTCTGTTTTATCCTGATGCTCCTAGGTCGTTCGCGGATGAGAATGAAGGCATCTACGACAGGCAGGTATACAGTGTCCTTGAGACAGTGGCTGTGTTAGATCCCTCTGTTGTTCAAGCTCTCATCCCCAACCTGTCTGCGAGTCTGAGAAACACCGAGCACAAGAGAGGGCTGGGCAGGAATACTGCCTTGAGGTGAGCGAACAGATGAATCACATCCCCAAAGCCACAAAGACACTATTCATCGCCTTAAACTATTTTTAAGTTGTCTAGACAATGAACAGGTGTTAGCGTACTGAACTGAAGATGCTTTGTAGTTGAATGCTTCTTAAGAATGTGTGTGTACTGACTTAGTACTCTGTCTCTCTGTGAACAAGGAGCGCCTATAGGAAGCTGCTGAGCCTCCTTGGGGAGTGTGGGCATGCAGAAATGACCAGTCTGGAAGCAGATTAGAAAAAGAAGAAAGTACCAAGTCTGGGACCTGTCACCGGATCCAAGAATTCCATGTTACTCCTAAAAAACTGTCTTTTTGATGCCAAATGTCTTGATCACAAAATCCTCCTATGAAGGTGCCATGTGTCTTTCCTTATTTATGAATGTCGATACTTGGTCTGCTGGTGTAGTAAGCAGGAAAGGCATCAAGGGTTAAAGCAAAAAGTCTGATATCTTTCTGTGTGCACTGAATTTCACAGAATGTATGTAATGTACAGAAAATATAGGAGGTGCAACCTTGCAATTTAGCGGATTCATTTTCAATAAAAATGTGAAAATGCTTGTAGCACTCTCTGTACCCTGTTCTTATTCTCTCTCTGGAGAGAAGAGTGAGCATGAAGTACTGACTATCTGTGCTTATACCGTCAGGTGCTGGATCTGTCTCTACTGGGTTGGCACTCTAAATTACAGATTTGATGACAGTCGTGGGTGAGCCCGAAGAGTTTGGTAGCACCAAAAAAAAAGAGAGAGAGAAGAAGAAGAGTACTGTTTGTTCTACTTCTCCCTCTCCCCTTCCCAAGTCACAGCAATCTCCAGCAATCCGGCTTTGGTTTGCACCTAATCACATGAAGTCTCACTCCTGTGTCCCACAATCACCAAGTCCCATTTTCTGTCATTGCTAGTCATTTTCAAGTCTCATCAAACTGCGATGTAGCTCTGCTTGTGAGCAGGTTTTTGCTGCACATCCTTATTTTTCCACCTGCAGTACCAGAGGAAGAAAAGAAGCAGTGGTCTTCTCCTAAAATGTGTATCCAGTTATGTTTTAACTACTTTGTGTTCATCACAATCCACATCAAATGTATATTACAGTTTAATTTATGTAGCGCCTTTATTTTGAAAATGTTCATGTACTCTTACAGATGTTGTTTTTTAACGGATGGTGAAGTTCAGGGGTCATGTTGTTTTTTTTCTTCCTCAGGTCAAACTAAAACTATAGTATTTTGATAGTCATATTATCATACCACTGTAGAATACACTCAAATATCTTCTGAATGATGACAATGACCAGACATTCATATTGCACATAAACAGTCTTCGGTCCTGAGCGTTATAAAAGTCTCAAACAGGAAGTTAACTTACAGACATACAGTAAAGTGTCACTGCTGATGAGCGGGGGGGTCAAGTACATTTTGGACCTTATAGAACTTAAAATGATGACATGGTCGTTTTGTACTCTGATGAGCTTCAGTCTCGGGCACCTGATACTCACTGAACCAATTCGTAATTTCACAGAATGTGTTCTTGATCAAACAACAGGTCTTGAAAAACATGCCCACAATATTTCTCAGACTGATTTCAGAGTGATTGTAGAGCTTTGGTAGAAATGTTCTTCAGGGTTCGAGCTCCTACAGTCCTGCGAAAAGGACCGTTTTTGAACTTCAGTGGACAGCAATTAAGTGAAGTGTCTTCTTAACACTCCAGTGGATTGGTATTTTGTCTCTGTGTTCTTGGGGAATTGTATTCTCTCTCTGTTCCTGCTTGTTGTGTGTTCACTGGACATCATAGATGGTGCTTCTGTCGTCTGGGAAATACATCAGATATGCAGTGTTATTGAGACAGCTGCTTGTTCCTCAGTTTCCTAGAAGCTTGCAGGAAAACATGGCTTTTGTAGAGTAGGATCGTAGTTTATATTACGTTTGGGTCTCATAGAAATGGCGGCACACTTGTGTAACAGATTGCAGGTTCCCAAATGAATACTATGATCAGGAACTTTTTTTTTTTTTGACAGTCTCAGTGATGGTCCAAAGTGGAGCTGTTCCTGCTCCACTATCTGGTTTTGTGTTCATGGTTAAACAGCACCTATTCTGTGATGGGGTATTTGTAGAGTCTGTAGGTTCGGACAGGTGAAGTAAGGGGCAGGAAGGAAGCAAGTTGCTATTCCGTTGGAGGCAAATGGCAGCGTCGGCCCATAGAAAACCTCCTCCTTGCCTTCTGTGCTCAGATCCAACACCTGCAACGAAGAAAAACATCATTCCTCCCATACTTTCAATTAGGGGTGTCCTGATAGATGTTTGTTACTTCTGATATGATACCGATATTGTAGCCTTCAGTATTGTCCGATACTGACATTGATCTGATATTGGCACGAATTTGTGCATGACAAGTTTTGCAAAGCCTTTTTCAGACTTCAACTAAAAATACTGCCATACGGCCAACATCACTACTACTCCTTGCTACTTTAGTTAGTGCCTTAGTACACACTGTTGCTGTGATTACATGGGCTCTGCATGCTGGATCCGGGCGCTGCTGGATAGAGGTGCCAGAGCGGAGTCTGGAATGAACTGCTTGTATCGGAGATTTTAGATGCAGGCCGATATAATCCGATATTTGTTTTTTTGCTGACATTGAACCAATATCCGCTATCAGCATCATATCAGGACACCCCTACTTTCAATTTCATCAAAACTTTCTGGTTGGTTGGTTGATCCAAAGGCTGTCTCTACTAAGAATTTTTGCACGTCACAACCATAACCGTGTTCAGTCTAATAAACCTCACCTGAATACATGCCAGCGGCTCATTGGTCCAAATGGAGTATCCTCCAACCACATAGATCCTGTCATCATGGACAGCAACTCCGGACTCATTCTGACCTGGGAAGGACAGAGTCGACACGATGTTTTACCGTGCCAGGCAGAGGGCATTGTGTTGATATGACTTCTGTGTCCCCAAAGAGGCAGAGGGGGAGATAAATGGAGAGAGATTGGAGAAGGGCGGGAGTGAATGAGGAGCCAAGATTAGGCTCAGGTTCTCTTTCCTGTGACTTTGTCTTAAACTTTTACTGATATCACAGGAGGAGATGATCCTCGAACTAAGGAGAAAAGTCATCAGTCGAGAGGAGGGAGGAGGGAACAGTAAAGTCACTTTAACTTTACTGTTTTAAGACTCGTATGTACAACCCACTGAATGACATGACCACATGTTACAGTAAGATCCTAGATCCTGTCTCCTGCGCTCTCGGAGGAGGTACTTCATCCCACCTCCACCATCCTGGAGGACACACAGTACATGCAGTGTGCCCACGGGTCCAAAGCGGGGATGCATGTTTTTATTGTACATCATTCTACCGCCTACTCACAAACAGCAGAGAGGTATTCTATGTAATGTTTTTCTTTTTCTTTTAGTGAGAGGAAGGAAAGCAGGAGACTTTTCTCAACATGTGTTTCCACCGATCATATAATCCAAATGGGTTTAAACAGCGTTTGGATAAATGACCTGAACCCACTGGTTCAAAATTAAACACTCATGACTGTATTTGTTACTTCAGAGCTTGAGTTTGAAAAAGGAAAACTTCTGCATCAGTTCTGTGTGGGAGGGATTTGATCAAATTTCACTGAGAGTGGACTGGCAGCATGAGCAGCAGTGACCTTACAGTAGTCATCGCATTTTGGATTCAAATGTTGTTCAATTCTGTCTTGTGGGCTTGAGGATGTTATCTTCTTTGTTTCTTTCTTCTGTAAAAGCACCAAAACTCGAACAGTTCTCGGGTCTTGTGGTGAATTTCCCCTGATAGTAGCTTTAGAGGCGCAGCTCCCAAATTTAGAACGTCTTAAAAAAGTTCATTTTTTCCTGTAACTTGATTCAAAAAGTGAGGCTTCCATATACTCTAGATTCATCACACACAGGCTTTTTATTTTTCATTTCAATCTTGATGATCACAGCCCACAGAAATGCTAGGCCTGCACGATATATCGTTTGAGCATCGTCATCGTGATGTACATGTGTGTGATAGTCACATCGCAGAGCCTGCGATGTCAGAGGTGAATGAACTCAGTTAATTTCAAGGGTAGCTGACTGCGATACACTGCATGTGACTCTGCATGTGCTGTGCAGCGATCCACCAATCACCTTTGTTCTTTACTCAGTTGCCAATCAGACTCAGTTCTCAGTTGCCAATCAGACTACCCTGCCAGCTGTCAATCAAAATCAGAGAGGAGGTGCATGCAATTCTCGGAGGACATGCGTTTCTCAGCACAACCCCGGTAACAAAAACAACAACGATTGCAAACTGAGCAACACAGAGAGAAAACCACCGAAGATGAAGACTTGTTGCCAAAAAGAAAAGGAAAGTCAATTATCTGGAATTATTTCGGTTACAAGATGGATTATGTCGACCAAAACACGTCTTCTGTGTTCATCTGTTTCCACAATAACGTCCCAGAACAATAAAAGCTAAAAATATCTCTGAGACAGACAGAAGCCATTCTACAAACATTCATTAAAAGAGGTAAGATCAGTGCAGGTTAACTGTCCTCAAGACTTCAGCAGTGCAGCATAACATTAAGTGCTATTCAGGTCATCTGGTGAAAATTCCTGTATTTTTTAATATCGCAATAGCCTATATATCGCAGGGTTGAAAAAAATTGCAATGTTAGTTTTTTCCAATATCGTGCAGCTAGAGATCCACTATCTCAAAATATTGTGGAACAGTCCATTTTCTTGTCAGTCCTGAACGGAGCTCTAATCAGCAAATATACTCTGAACTGGCAAAGGTTTACTGAGCCTTTATTCTCTCACTCTAGTTTAGCAAACTCAACCACCATCGTGGGGCAGACTGCTGATTTGTTCGCAGGGTCTGTATGGAAGCAGATTCGCTGAAAGTTGACTGAAGAGAAAAGTGTGAGAGGAAAATATGACCAACAGAAGTGAGAGCAGCCCTGTTTTCAGATGAAAGTTAATTTTGCATCTCATTTGGAAATCAAGGTCCCTGAATCTGGAGGAAGATCAGAGAGGCCCAGAATCCAAGGTGCTTAAAATCCAGCGTGAGGCTTCCTCAGTCAGTGATGATTTGGATGCTCTATCATCTGCTGCTGTTTGTCTTTTACTGAGTTTTCGAGTCCAGAGTCAACGTAGCCTCAAGTCGACCAGGAGATTTTGGAGACCTTCATGCTTCCATCTGCTAAGACGCTTTAGAGAGATACAGGTTTCCTTTGTCTAACTCTGTGGTATTATCAAGAGAAAGATAAGCGAAACCAGAACCAGCAATACAGACCAGCTGAAGAGGCTATTAAAGAGACCTGGACCGCAGTAAGAACCCGGCAGAGCCACAGACTGACGGCCTCCATGATACATTGAACTGATGCAGTGATTCATGCAAACAGAGCCCAGACCGAGAACCGAGAGCAGAAATAAACCTCATCTTCAAGAAGGTTGGCAATAGTAGATTCACTCTGAAATAGTAGATTTTAGAATTTTGTGAGCTGTAATCATCAAGATTGTAACAAAAATAGTTTTACTTTTTGAATTAAATTATGGAAATAAATAAATTTATCGTGTGCAGATATGTGTCTTCTCTGGGGACATCGTAGTTTAGACTATGTTTTCAGTGTTTGTATCGTATAAATCTGCGTTTCTGTAGAGCAAACATTTAAAAGGATGGATACAGTCTAAAGGTTTGTCCAGATGTTCACAACAGAATAATTAATCATCTCCAGTATAAATTTGCAGAAGTATGATCACATGTGTGGTTTCTTTACTTTGCCCACCAGTGAGGAGGCTGAAGGAGCAGCGGGTCCACTGGTCCTGGTCCATGTTGTAGGAGTCGATGTGGCGCACCAGGATGCGGTCATTGTTGTAGTCCAGGTCGTTCCCGCCCAGCACGTAGAGCTGCCTCCTCACCGCGGCCATGACGTGGTAAACTCGTCTCTGTAACATGGGACTGCGGGCCAACCACTGGTCCTGAGAAGGAGGTGGAGGTGGTGGAGAATAGATTAGGAGAAGAACAGATGGAGTGAAGACAGGAGGTAGAAACGATATGATGCAGATGAGAAGGAGGTGAGATGTAGTAGGAAGAGGGAGGGAGAGAGAAACGGAGAGGGAGGGAAGGGAAGAAGGATGAATAAGAAGATTAATATTTAAGCATATCCATGCATGGGTAATTGATGTATGCTCAGTGCTAGATAAATAACGTGACACTGGAGCTCTGGTTTGTACTAATGACTTCCCTCCCTGTTTCTAATCATATGTTTCAGCCACTCCATTTTACACCGAGGATCCCAGCTCATTTCACTAAGTGTGTCGATGCTTATTTTGTGTCGGTGTGTGTGTGTTTGATTGAGGAAGAGAATGAGAGTGTGCATGTGTGAGTGCATGTGTGTGCGTGTGTGTCTGCTGGGAGCTGACGGGTGGCCATCTGTTGAGGGTAGAGTGGGTGGGGGGTTGCTGTTGCTCTGGCAGGTGAATGTAGATTCATGGTGAATACAAATGAGACCCTCTCCCTCTCTCTTTCACTCGCTTCTTCCGTCCCCTCACTTACACGCCGACGTGTCCAAACACGGACCCATATGGATATGCGCCTTACACATATACCCACCGCATACCTCCATACTATATACACTCAGCCCTCTTTAACAGCTGGCTCATATAGGAAAACAAACAGCAGCAGCACCTCACTACATTTTACTACAGTTATCTGTGAATGTGTGATACCTGCTAAGAAATGGTGTTAGAGTATAATTATCTTGTTTGCATTGAAAGACTGCATCATAACACATTGGTGTTTACCATATAGAGCATGTATCATTGATATCTCTGCTTTGTAGAAGTCAAGATTGAAGAATTACTTGAGGAGGGGGTTACGTAAAAGAGTTTTTTGACTGTTTTTTAAACTGCAAAATATGATTTACTGCAGTTTTTATCTTATAAAGTTAGCTTTAGTCTTTCAGATTTTTCTATTGTTCACAGTGTCATTGCTTTTCATTAATTTCCATATGGTATGAAAATCAATTAGAGGGCGCCTGACATCCGCCTGTTGTGTAATCCATCACAGTGAACATGCTGGTGGTTGTTGGTATTAATTTCCAGGGAAAAAAACAAGCCATTACTGTTACACTGATGCTCTTTAAGTATATTTCCTCAAAAGATATGTTTTCTTTCCCCTCATAACTTTAACAACGCCGGTATAAATATATACAATTATGTCAAGTCACTTTTTTGACACATTTGTCTCATAAGATTTAAAATATGAGTACAACTGAACAACCTCTTTGTTTAGAGAGGGAAAAAAAAAAGACCAAAAATTTGATCAATTCAGAGAAATAAAGCAGCAGAGGATAAATGACTCTGCCGGGCTGGACAAATGTGTTTGTTAAAGCGGTGATCAAATTAAAACAAGTAACAGTTGATTACAGTTTAAGGCGATTAAAGAGCATTTGGACTGATTTAGTGCATAACAGGTTACACACCTCAGGGAGCTAGTCTGGGTGTTCAGAGCTGAATAAGTGTAGGAGTTCTGGTGTGAATTCACCGACTCAAAAGGTGTAAACCTCGTGGGTCAAATTATAGAAACACTTGTGGCATTAAGAGCATCAGACTAACACGTTTGAGTACAACTTGATGACTGTGACACTTCGGCTTGTTTGCAATCCTTCAGCGTACACAACTGAACGATTTTAGACCGAGTCCTCCTCCTGGTTTGAGACCAGAAACTGAAAGTAACTGGTAATGTTTTAGCAACCTTTTTAGCTGTCTTGCATGTGGGATTGAATAATTCATCATTTCATTTGCTATGGTTACAGTACAACTAGATTTATCAGATCTTTTTATTAATAAGCAGCATCCAGTGTTTTCCGTCACAGCGACAAACGGACCATCAAAAAAGTGACATTGCAGATGAGCTTGTCAGAACCGGTTTAAAGATACAAAACATCAACTGAGCTGAGAAGTGGACTGTTCAGACTGTTTTTTTTGTTTGTTTTGTTTTTGTTTTGCTTTTTTTCACATGTTACACCAGCCAAACTACGAAGCCCTAGTACCATTTTTACGGCTGTTAAATCTGGTTTCTATTTCCTTTTTTTTTTTTAAGTTTCTGTGCTTGACCAAAAAAACCAAGACAAAATCCTCATATAGATCAACTCTGACAGTGAAACCATTTCCCATACTCCCACAGGGGAATCTGTGGCTGACTGGCAGAGCGGGTCATCTCTTAATTGAAGGTTGGCAGTTTGATCCCAGCTCCCGCTGCCACACGCTGAAGTGTCCTTGAACCACAAACTGCTCTCGCTTGTATAGACAGTAGTGTGTGAATTCATATGAATGGGGTTAGTTAATACTGATGGTCTCCAACAGCCTTTGCCACTGGTGTATGAATGAGAGTGTAAAAACCATGTGAGTGGTTTATAAGGAGCTATACAAGTCCATTTACCATTTGGACCGATATGCTCCCCCTCACATTTACAGATCTGTGCAAATTTATGACCAGTTTACAGTTACCTGTTGAGGGTCATACACCATGAGTCGATTCTGGTACTGAGCTGTGTTTGTCACCCCACCTGGAAAGCAAAGACACCACACTCTGACTTTTATCATTGAATATCATCGTAGAGATTAACGGTGAAATAAACAACACAGTCCTTTTTATTCTATCTCTGCATACCTGAAACCCAGAGCAGGTCATCCGCCACACAGCCGGCGTGGCAGGAGAGTGAGCGGTCAAAGGGTTGGACAAACATCCACTTGTTCCTCTTGGGACAGTATCGCTCCACAGATGGCAGCACCTGCCTCAACTCGTTCCTGCCGCCCACTGCATACAGGTACTGACCCAGAGCGCCCAGGACAAAGTGTTCTCTGCAGGCCTTCATGGGGGCAATCTCAGTCCAACAGTTGCCCCTGGGGTCATATCGACAAGCAGTCCTTACTGCACATGTCCTCCCAGTGGCATGCTCCACCTCCCCACCCACAACAAACAGGAAGTTTCCCATCACGGCAACGCAGTGGTGGCTGCGTCCAGTGGGCATGGGGGCCAGCTCGCTCCAGTTGGACCCACCCCCGACACGTACGTGATCCTGTGCAGCAGGGTTGAAGTAACGCAGCTCTCTGACCCTGCTAACCTCCCGCTTGCGCCCACCAGCTATGTAAAGGGTGAGGGACTGGAAACGAGGCCTTGTGCGCGCTGACTGGCAGAGAGGCTGTGCGAAGGTGGTGTGATGGTAGTCCAGGGCCTCCTCCACGAGTGCCGCAGTAGTAGGGCTGGATTGGACCAGAGGGTGACTATGAGCAAGGTGGTGTAGAGTGGCGACATCCATCAGGCCGTAGCGGACGTGTTGAAGTAGATCCTCGGTGTACTGGTAGCGGCAGTCGTGTTCCAGCCACAGAACCACCAACTGGAGGAAGATGAAGCAGGGACTGAATGAGTTTAATTTATGAGAAAATACACTGTGGAGACAATACCGTCTAAATCTGAGTAGACTGTCTTCAAATAGTTAAAACATTTTCATGATTTGTTGTGTTTTGAATGATACTCAAAGGATGGTGTCGTTTCTTAAAAAAAACTTTGGGAATCGACGAGAGGAAACCTGAAATGTGCATGAGGAAAGCAAATGCAAGTACGAGAAGTGTTTTCACTCTTTCTTCTGATCTGAGAAAAAAACAGACCTGCTAATCATAATTATTTTCGTAGACACCTGAAGGCTATTATGCCAGTACTGCATCCATACTTGCCAACAGACACACAAGTACTTATTAATCAGCAGCATTCAATATACAGACTGTAAATATCCACAGGCGCCCTCTTTTGTTTAATGCAGGCAGGCTGGGTTGCAGAGAAGGGATTTAATTGTACTTGAGAGCAGCGGAAGGTTATTTAGCTGCAACGAGGTGTGAATGTGGGCGAGATGACTGGAAATCTTTGATATCAAGAAAACAGATTATTAATGTAATCTGAACAGAGAGTGGCTGAAGTCTCAGTGGAGACTGGCTAAATGTGGGATAAATCTGGACAAAAGGGTAAAAACGCATTGACGTACCAGCATTATCGTTTGTTTATGACGTGTGTGGGCAAAATTTCTAGAGCTGAAGTGCTCTACTTTTATTTTTCCCTTCAGTCCACTCTGCAGGTGTGAGCACGCAACTAACATGCGAGTCAGGACTGTCTTTTTGTGGTATCTGTGCCACTCTCCTGTCTCCACCACCCTTTCTCTATTGCTCACCCCGCCTCCCTCCTCCTCATTGCTCTGAAGTGACAGTCAGTTTGCGCGTGCGTTTCCGGGCGAGCGTGTGTGTGAGCGCTCGCACCACAGCAGCTGACTGTGAAGGTCACGCTGCATCACACAACTTCCTCAGGGCACAGAATAAATCAACTCCTTCTCCCTCCTTCCTCGCACTGAAAGAGAAAGTGTGAGTGTGTGTGTGTGTGAGTTTCTGTGTGTCAACCAGCGAAAGAGTAGGAGAGAGGTTGAGGGAAAGAGATAGTGAGTGAGTGAGGTAAGGGGAGGGGTGAGGGAGCTACAGAAAGGCAGAGCAAAAGATGGCATGAAAGAGGAGCGAGAAAAAAAAGAAAACAAAGCCAGAGAAAATGTGATTTCCAGAGCGTGAGAGACTCTAAGAATACTCTGAGTGACAATGATTGACGGCCAAGCTATATCAGTTCGGTATTGGCGTGCACACCCCTCCACCCTTTCGGACGACAGCCCCCGCTTGCCGTTCGCTTCCGTCTGATGCCCAAATTAACCTTCTGGGCGAAGTGAAGGAGCCCAAAGCAGCCTAATCAGAGGCTGATTATGGCGGCGGCGGCTGGCTAAAGGGTCAGGGTAATTGTGCCATCAGAGGCCTGATTGTTTTCAATCAGACGGGCGGCCGAGTGACAGCTGGGGGATTGGGGCCCTGATGGAGCCGCGGTGGGCCTAATCAGAGAGGAGAAGGGGAGAAAGACAGAGGGGGAGAGAGTCTGTGGGGGAGGGGGGGCTGATTGGTGCAAATGAACAGTCAAAACAGTGAGTCCCCTCTCCACACTACTGCTTCACTCCACGAACCTGACAGTTTACCACGGTGACACGTTCACACACACCTTTATGTGGGCACACGGACAGATCATGTGTGCATTGACTGAGTTTATGTGTATGATTTATATATACAACAGTCTGCTACATAGATTTAACCTGTTGACACCATAGACTGTATATAGAATGGACAGAGTCTGCCTCCTTGCTGGGTGAAGCCACTCCGAGAGCAGCACCCTCTGGTGACGGGCTGCAGTATAGGTCATAAATCCCGCCTCCTCCAGCAATCCCTATGGAGCTATGGACAAACTTTAGAAATTTATTGAACAGAATATAATTTTTTTCCCCCCCTGCTTGCGGTGTTGACATGTAGTTGTAGTAAGACTGGTTTGTGCTCAAGTCCTCTTTTTTCTGTGCAGCTCCGTTTTTAAAAGTTATTAGGGGGTTCATGTTTTCTTTGATTGACACCTGGTACAGCCTATGGGCGTTCAGGAATTGCGTGGCTCACCCGGGGGATAAGCTGTTTGAGCTGAGCGTCATCACAGCGACACAATGCTACTGCACAGAGCTGGTTTCAGGAAATGAAGACAAATCCCTGAAATACCGAGAGCTATTTGGCTTCTACTCAGTTATACAGGCGGGAGGCAGAACCAAGTTGTCCACAGTATATACAGTGTATGGTTGACACTCAAAAACTGAGAAAAAGGTCTATTATTTTACTGTTCACCTAAACACAGTCGCTACAATGATCTCACATCTCAACACGGCATTAGTTTCCTCTACTTGTAAAGAAAATCCATTTATTATTTACTTAACTGGTTTATTTGACGGGGATAAATGCATCAGGCATTACTTCATAGTATAAACAAATGCATAAGGTATGCAGGTTTCAAGCCTCATTTGCAACCGTGTGTCTGGATAGATTCCCAAAAAAAATAAAATAAAATAAATCAATTTCAAATCAATTTTATATATATGTATATGTATATATATATATAAACTATAACCATTAAAAACATACTAGATCAGTGCATGCAATAAAAGGATCAGCAAGAATAGAGACAGTTACATCATGATCACCACTTCAGTGCACATAAGGTGTACATGTTCTGTGCATGTGACCATGATCACCATTCACACACACACGCACGCACGCACGCACGCACGCACGCACGCACGCACGCACGCACGCACGCACGCACGCACACACACACAGTTCATACTGCTAGTACCTTCCATATCTCCTCCTCGCTTAGGGAGGTGAGGCGGTCACTCTTCAGCACCTCCCTGAGGAGACGGTAGGGCAGCTGCAGGGCCTCGTCCTGCCGGCTCTGGCTCAGTTCAGACAGATGCTCCACCAGGAAGCCCACCACAGCCTCCTCCAGGGCAGGGAGATGGAACAGGTCAGCCACACGGTACAGCTCAAGGTAGTTCATACTGCTAAGCTCCTGCAGGGCAGATATGTGAACGCATATACGGTGGTGAGAACCATTGTTGTTGTGGTGCTGACATCCAATGAAGTTATCATTTTTTAAATTATTTTGTTTATTTTATATTTCATTAAAGGTCCGCTGACTTAATGTCAGGGTTAAAGCTTAATTCATGCTGGCCACTATTTTTGTGAGTACCACACATCGAACCTTGGATTTAACACTTTGGTGATACACACTTCTCCAGATATAGAGGATACTTCATACAAGGATACTTCACATGTACTTCACATATACTGTAGAAGAAAATTTTAGAGAAGGACTGAAAAAAAAAAAAAAAGACATAAAAAGCAAAAGACTGTAAGGTAAAAGGGAATTCGACTCTGCAGTAGTGGAATAAGACTGCCATCTTCTGGCAGTTCTTAGGCACAAACAATTCCCATTTACCCATTTAACAAAACATTAAGCCTGTTAAAATACAACATTCCCACAAATTAACTCTTTGTTGTTGTTGTTGTTTTTGCCATATTCTTCATCTATTTTAGTTTGTTAATGTTAATCACCATTAGGGGTATAAAGGAGTTAAATAAAAAGCATCATGACAATATCTATGTTGTAATGTTAGACTTAACATGAGTGACTTTTAAAAGTACACTGTTACAGTCACAGTCATCAGATTGATGCAGATAATGAACTCAGTGCAACACACAGTGAGAGTACAATTGATCATTTAATACTCAATAAACTTCACCCTGCACAGTGGATGATGCATCTGATTTCCAATCCATTCATGCAGCGGGTGTACTATCGGTCGAGCATTAAAATCCACAATTCATGCTGATCACCAGTCCGATAAAACATTCAGCTGATATGTTCTGAAAACAGAGACTGAAGCAGGTCACTTGATGAACTTAAAGGAAAAAAAACTGCTGGCTGGTTTTTGAGTCAAAGGACAAGAGGCTCTTAACAACCACCAGATGGCACATTTGAGCCGTGATTCGACTCCTGTGAACCATGATGATCTGAGTGGGAATGTAATTATAATGTCATTATAACGACTGATTTTAATTTCTCTGTTACTGTTGTGTTTGAATTGCAAACCTCAATTGCAAATGGAGGAATTATTGTGCTTGATTTGCATATCTTGGTTTGCAATGTTTGCAAAGATATTACATCAAATATTTGTTTTATTTGCAGCTCAGGAGTGAGGCTACCTGATATCTAAAGTTTAAGAGCTTTTGCAGCATTATTTGCTAATTTCTAAAGGTTTCCCCTTATAATATGAATACCAAATATGGTTTAAAATGTAGAAAAGAATATAATGGTTGTAAAAAAAGTAGTTAGTATTTAGTAACGTTGGAAAGAGTCCTGAGTACCTGGTAGAGGGTTTTCTATGTGATCATTTTACATTGTTATTAGCTTTATTGAACAACTTGTCCCAATACAATGCAATAATAGTATAGGGTAGCTCACATCTTGGGTCTCTTTTAATGTCATTTTTTTCCTACTTAGCTTTTTTCTTTAATTGAACTAAACTTGTATTTGAGTATTGTTTCTGTTTAATGGACCCTCCATGGTTTCCAGGAAAAACTCTTCCGTCAGCCCCCATAAAACAGGACAAAATGACCCCATGATTGAAATTACAACATTGCTTTTTTTTTAGAGTCAAACTGATCTCAAACTGTTTTCTTGTACAATGATGTTACTGTTGCATCTTTCAGCTCAAGTGTCATTTGTTTCCAGTGGCTTTTCACACAATTAGTTGTACTCAACCACAGACGGCTTTTTCTATCTCTTCTGGGTTTTTGAGGTCCCAGATTTAGTTTCTCACTGAAATAGTCCTGGGGAAAATCTGGTCACAGCAGCCTGTAAAAACTGTCCTGGTCGTGTTGTGTAATTTTTTTTTTGTTGTTGTTGGTTTGCCTAGAGGGGGAGTAGGAACGTCCCCCTGGTGAATGAACACACAGTATAAAGACGAACATTGTAAAAATGAAAGATCTGAAAGGGAAAATTCGTCTCCACTACTGGTGAGGAGATAGAGACTCTTTGTAAGTATTTTTGTCTTAAGTAAAGGGAAAGATTGTGATGTAATATTGAAACTCATCACAGTTACAACATTATTCCCCCTGTCCCTGATGTTCTGTGTAGACACAATCAAATCTCCAAATTGAGCTAACCTTTCCAAACTGCATTAAGTTACAGGATTCCTGTTATCCTGATGTGAACCCTGTTGTATAAAGTGGTTATTTATCTGTATCCTCTCACTGTGTCTCAAGCTCACTCATAAATGCTGTGAGGTGTGTGTGTGTCTCTGTGTGTGTGTACCTGAATGAGGTAGTGGGAGCAGAGGCTCAGCAGCTCCAGCAGCTGAAGGTGGCTTCCTGCAGACAGGACGTCCTGGATCACTGCTGGCTCCAGCAATATCTGTCCAGAGGGGACAAACAAGGTCAGCAGGTTTGATTTTGTCTAACAGTTGTTCTTCTTTGGCATCCTTTATGCAACAGTGAAGTTTCCCACTTTTACAGTCTGATTCTTCCAGTTTATAAGTATACTGGGACATGTTAACCCTTAAATATGTTACTTTAATCCCTTTTATCTAAACTGGTTTATTTACTTCCATCAATTTAGACATAAACTTTTCAGCAATCCTCACAACACTTGAAACAGCTCTGAGGAAAAGTAAGTGAAAGTGATGATGAGAAACACTGTTGATGAAGAGCTGTAAAGTGGTTTGTCAACTCTTTGTACCAGACTTTAACATCTTAACACTTACAGGATTGATTGTCACAAAGTTTCATGTGGATGTCCGTCCTTACACAGTTAAGTTAACAGAATACAGTAGAAACTCACCAGCTATTTGTCCAGAAAAGTCAAGGTCCAAGCAGAAAGTATATTTTTCCCCAATACAATATCTCAGCTAATGATGAATGGACAGCAAAAACAATTAACTGTTAAAGCTCCTTTGAATTATTTTACCTTACACTATTGGAAGACCAACATTTCATGTATAATAAGCATATTTATGGTGATGGGGCAGCACAGTGGTGTAGTGGTTAGCACTGTCGCCTCACAGCAAGAGGGTCCTGGGTTCAAATCAGGGTCAGGGCGTTTCTGTGTGTCTGCGTGGGTTTACTCCGGGTACTCTGGTTTCCTCCCACATCCCAAAAACATGCAGAAGTGGGCTTAGGTTAGTTGGTCACTTTCAAATTACCTGTAGGTGTGAATGTGAGTGTGGTTGGTTGTTTGTTTCTAAATGTCAGCCCTGCGATGAACTGGCGACTCGTCCAGGGTGTCTCCTGCCTTCACCCCCAGATGCTGGGATAGGCTTCAGCCCCCTGTGACCCCCAACGGGATGAGCGGTAGAAAATGGGATGGATTGATGATCACAGTAGTAACCATGTTTCTGTTTCCACCCTCTAGCTTCTCAAATACTAAGATTTAAACACTCTGAAGACAAAGTTGCTCAAGGCTCATTTGTGGAACATTATTCGTGTATATCAAGGCCCACCCACTGAGCAGTTACAGTTGCAATACCACAACATTTGCCAAGTTGGCCTCGTTCATCTCGATAAACATTACTCACTGAAATCTTATACCAACAGAAATCCACCAATGACGGCTCTCCAACGTCTTGACTGTGCTCACTCTACAGGTCCATCATAATCTTTTATATTTTACTGTATGTTTGTTTTTCTAATAGAACATGGTAAAAGTAACTGTGATCAAATAAAGTGAACCAAACAATGAACCACCTGGAGTCAATAAGGTTTTATTATTATTGAGGTGTTTCTATTAAAGCTACAGTGACTTCCTAACCTGGTAAACTCGGAGCCCTGAAAGTCGTCTGTTAACAGGTGAAAAAAGCAGTTGACAGCAAAAAGACGTCCTTGTTCAAGTCCAGGGTTGAAATAGATTAGCCTCCACTCCCACGGCTATTACATCATTGGATATTACCCAAGAGGTCACAGATGGGTGACCTGAAACTATCTCCATTATCACCCTCTCATCAAAGCAAGATAAGCAGTCAAATATTATAACACTCAGTCTTTCTAAATGCTTCCTGATGAGATAAAAGACCTGCGGCTGAAAGTATCTCCTGTAAATATCCTGCTGTTTCCTCAATTACAGCCGCCCATATTTGAAGAGCATAAAACTCTGTCGCATAGCCAGTTTCTCATACCAGGTTCCAAGGGAGCAGAGCCAGGTATGCTGAGCCTGAGGGAGGGTAGCCCACTGCCCCTCTGCGTTTCTGTTCGCACATTACTATCTGAACCGACTGGAGTGAAACATTCTGTTAATCATTGTAATTAAAGGATATGCAGACTAAACACGACTCATGTCACCGCTGGCAGAGTGGACCCACCTCACAATGAAGCGTGTCTGTTTTTAAAGAACAAAGCTTTAATAATCCATTCAGCAGTAGTGCCCTACATAGACAAAGAGGTGCCACTGCATCAGCGGTGAAGGTGAAAGCAAGGCCTCATCAGTCACTCCTCATTGTTGATACAGTGGTGGGTTGTACATGATCAAACAGCCCAAAAAAATCATCCTTATTACATCCTACATGCAGTATATGATTTTTTTTATAAGAAGAAAGGCAGCTTCAGTTTAATTTTCCAAACACATTTCAACAGAAACACTGATTTATTATTTCTGTGTGTTTGTGACTAATGTGAAAACCTTTGAGTCAGCAGTTGCTCCTAATCACATGCATTGCTGCATATAAATACACAAATTATTTGACTGCTGTAGTAATCGTGTAAACACTTCATTGGTAGTCATCAGGCAACTTGTTTATTACAGCACATTTTCCCTGTTACTAAAGCCACAGAAATCCCATCACACGTTGCTGGTTTGTAGTTTTCCTCCCTGGAATCAGCTGAATTTGCACATTCTCCTTTATAATAGATTTCCAGCTAGGCCCAATTAACCACCTGCATAATCTGTGGATTTACTATAAGACTGTACATAAGGCTGAAAGCTGCATATTTGATCAGGACATGTTCTTAACTCCCACATCCAACAAATCTCCAGAATTACCTGTTTTTTTTACCTGATATATAAGAAATCAACTTGTCTGAGAGTGATGCAGAAAAACTAGCATGCATGCACTGGCTTCCCATTAAATCTAGGACTTTAAAATCCTTCTTCTGACCCACAAAGCTCTCTATTGCCCCACCAGAACATTGCAGTTCCAATATGCAGGCCTACTCCTCATACCATAAGTCTCAGGTCCCTCTCTTCTGTAATCATCTACCGGTCGAGGTCCAGGGTATCTGACATCCTCTCTACTTTCTGACCATCTGTGGGCTCAAAATGTTCCTCATAGTTAGAGCTGGGGCAGGCCTGGGCCAGCTCTTGGTTATGCTGCTATAGGTTTAGACTGCTTTAATTTTCCATACATCAAACCTAAATCAGTCTATTGTCATTATGAGGCTGTTCCTGTAAACAGCACGCCTACCTGTTCCATTATCTCTGTAACGCTGTAACCATATGTCTTTACGTATTATTGCTGCCAATGTTGTTGTCCCTCTAGTGTCACACTCATGGTTATTTTATGATATATTTATGACATTTCATTCATTGATTCCATCTCTTGGTTATGACGATATACTTATAAAACATCTACAACAAAGATATGAGAGAGAAATATCTGAGGGATTTACTTGATGCCGTTGATTCCTTTGCTCTTGGTGTCACATCTCCTGATTAGTTAAGTTGTTTTTTTTTTCATCCCTCATGTTTCTTGTCTTGTGTTTCCTGTTTTATTTTGATACTCACTCTTGTCTCTTGTTTCAGGTTCATTGACTTCCTCCTCCTTGTGTAACCTGCTCCCCTGATTACCCTGATGTGTCTCACCTGTGTCTCGTTAACTCCACTCATTAACTCCACTATATTTAAACCCAGCTTTCCCTCCCCTTTGTGCCAGTTTATGTTGTCCTTAGTGTCATAGTTCCAGCATATATTTCTTGTGTTTGCCTCAGTGTTTTGACCTAATTTCAGTATTGATTGACTTCGCCTCTTGCCTGTTGATTTGGATACCTCTGCCTGTGCTTCTGTGGATCCAACTCTTTGATTAATGGGACTTTGATTTCGCCAGCCTGTGAGTTTGCATCTGGGTCTTCTTTTGGTTCAGTGTTACACTGGGAACTTGCCTGCTATTGTTGACCCCCCTGTTACAATGACAATGCCATTAAATGTATTAATAATATCAAAATTAGTGCTCATTCACACTGGTGTGCTACGATACCCGTAGTCTGTAGAATTAAAAAAAAATTAATAAATAAAAAAACACCAGTGACTTAATAAATCATGACCAAAACAACTTTGACAACATGAGGCATCACCTTGAAACCATAAAGTATTATAACAAATTATAAAACCCAAGCTTTAATATGTAGTGTATTTTCTTTGTGATTTTCCCTAGTGTTTCTGTTCTCTATTGTTCCTGTACCCCTGTAGTCCAGTCTTGAGTTTTCGGTTTGTGTTTGACCCTGTTTCCCTCTTGTTCTGTTTTCATTGTTTCCTGTTTTATTTTGTAGTAGTTGATTTCTTGTGTTTCTAGTCTTGTTTTACTTCCCTAGTTTTCCCTCCTTTGTAAATCCCCCATGAGTTTCACCTGTGTTTCGTTTGCCTCACCTGTTGCTCGTTACCCAGTGTGTGTATATAGTCTCTGCCTTCCCCTTTATCCTTGTTGGTTCATTGTATGTCGATGTGTGTGCATGTCTGCCTATTCCCCGTGATCTTTTATGCGCAAATCCTTCGTCTCCTGGTGGTTTTTTTTTTAAGTACGTTTTTGTTGCTTTTTATTTCATTCCTTTTTAATAGGTCCTTTTTTTTGGTCTGCATTTGGGTCCTTTCCCTTTTGTTCAACTCTGCCACGTGACATGCTTGTTACATATGAAAACTGGTTTGTTGTATCATTGGAGTTTCTAATATTTTACCTATTTTCTTGTCTTGTCCTTTCTTATATTTTTTGCTGGTGTCATTTTGGTTGTGTTGAGTTTTTACATTGCAGCTGTATCTTTGTTCTGCTTTGTCTGGAGTAAATCAAAAACTACACTGAAAGCAGCATGATTGTGCTCCTTGCTTACATTTTAAGGTTGTGTACTGTGCCCCGTAATAATGAATAATGAACTGTCAGATTATGTAAAGAACTAAAAATTGAAAGGACGTTATTACCTTTGCATGCACCTGTTCTAAACAATACTGCAGCTTTTAAGAGAAGAGTACAGAGGTAACAGCGAACAAGTGATCACAAAAAAATCCAACGTCTCTTTTTTTTTTTTTTTTTTAAACTCAATCAGTGACCTGGCAGCAATAAAGGCAACACCAAATCATAACGGCAATAACTGTAAGTGACTGCTCTTCATATCCTGCTCTCCTCTCCACTCCACAGGCCCACTGCAGTTAGAGCACTCCACCATCACACAGCACGGGCCAGTTTTATAACTCTGTGGCTGCTGAAGTGTAGGAGTGCGGTGAGCTCTTGTGTGAACCCACATTTACTGCAACGGTTACTCGCATGCCTTTTCCTGGAGGAGAAGACAACATCAGAGTCCAACCAGGATCTGATCTCTGTCGGCTCTATTTGCACGCTCTGAGGTCTGAAAACCTGATTGAATGGTCAGAGAAATGTCATGTTGGTGAAAGGAGAAAAATGTGTGGTAAACCTCCAGATAGAGCAATATACAGTAACCTTTGCCACAAGTAAAAATGTCCCTGTAGTTACTGACTGACCCCGGTCTGAGAGGGTTTTGTGGGCGCATGTCTCACCACTCACACTGCTGGGCAATAAGTTGTGGCTGAAGCATTTTTAGTAGGTCATTATTTACGGTTTGGGGATGAGCATGCTGCCCTCATCTCATCTGCTATCATCTCCTCTGAGCAGACAGGAGCTGAGCCAACCAAAGCAGAGCGGCTTGCGAGCCTGCTGTTGACCTACTTCCACTGCCCAACTGACTGACTCTTTTTCTCATTTCCACTGAGGAAATAAAATTAGGAGTAATTACAAAGTTCCTGGCCTCCCAGCATATTGAACGAGCCACTGGGCTGCTTATTGGTCCGAGCAGTGCCGGCGCTAACAAGGTCAAGGAGGGTTATTAGAAATGATCACACGCACTTTCACGATGATGGGAGGAGGGAAAAAAAAGGACAGTGACCCAGCTCTCATGATATTCTCACTGCGTTAGTGTAGAAACCGCACTCTTAACTACCACTTTCTTGAATTTGAATCCTGGTTCTTCTTCTCAGTGACAAATTTATGGACAAATCAAACACCTGCACACTCCTGTGTGACACCAACCAAAGGCATGCTGTTGAGATTAATTGAGATTAATCTGCAAATGCAATGTTTGGATGTGTTTTGTGACATATTTGGCCAGCTGTGACTGCTCTTCATGGGTACACTTTCGCAAACATTCCTCATTTATCGCTGCTTGAGTCATAGTTTCTGCTTCATTTGAGGACAGTGTGCTTCACTTTCACTCTTCCAGAACAAGTTAGATGACCTAATCCATGACAGATGTCCTCCATGCAAATCAGTTTAACCCAACATACTGCATTCTTGTAAACTGAACAGCCTCATAGCATACAGGCCCAGAGTTGTTTAAGTCAAATTTGACCTCAAATTTACACTAAAATAAATACACTACAATTACTTTACTTTCAAAATGTGTACTTTCATACAGCTGCTATAAATTTTACACATTAAGGTTGTTCTGGATTAAATTTGACCTGCATCTTTTGAACCATATTTTGGGTCCTCCAGCTGAGGTCAAACCAAGGAAAACTCTAGTCTTAGGGAATCTTGTAGTTATGAATCTGTGAGTATTTCACATGTCAATATCACAAGGACTGTTCCCATCACATGTGCCCAGATTACCACAGAAACAGACAGATGTTTGCCTTTAGAGGGTGATGATGAAGGAATCTTAAAGCCTTGAAAGAGTATAAGTAAACAGGAGCAATCATAAACGGTGCACATACAAGGTCAGAGGATCTCTTGAAACAGTCACAGGATCTGCTCCTGCGAGTGCAAGCACTTCTAATGTAGCAGAGTAATTAAACAGTAAAGTAGAACTAATTCTGATTTGTTCACCCATGATGAGAAAACAGACGATAATATGAAGAAAACAGAAAACACATCCACTGCTTTGAATGCAAAGCGTATAGTATGCAGCAAGATGTTAAATTCACGTTGAATTAGCATAGCTATAAATAAAGCGATAAGAACAGTGTTTAATTGTTGCAGTGGTTAAACGCGGTTACATAAAGACTCAGCGGTTCCATATCTTAAATCATAATGCTTGCTAACTTCTGTATGCAATTGTTCAATCAGCTTCTCCTCTGTAAGCCAAACAAATGCATCCATAAAACTTTAAAACGGTTAAGAAATTAAGAAAAAGACTCAAAACAGAGTAAAAATAATAAATAGTAATAGTGAAATAACATCAATGAGTTGATAAATACAATTAATAAAATAAAAATAAAAATAAACATTAAGAACTTGGGTTAAAATGAACAGTAGCAATAAGAGAAATAAGAAAAGGGCAATCAGTCAAAAGCCTGATTAAAAAGGTGAGTCTTGAGCCTCTTCTTAAAAACATCAACAGTCTCTGTGGCCCTGAGGCTCTCCGGCAGGCTGTTCCACAACCGGGGGCCAAAGAAACTGAGAGCTGTTTTTGTTTTAACCTTGAGAGCAGGGCATTACAATAATCTAAACGACAGGAGATCTGTGTTGGCCTGGGAGAGAAACGAGCGGACTCTGGCTGTATTCTCAGAGTGGTAAAAACCTACCTTTGCTATGTTTTTAATGAGTGGAATAAAACTGAGCTCAGAGTTGAAAATTACGCCCAGGTTTTTTTTTTTACAGATGTGGATACTTTAAAATCTTGTAGTTTTGGTAAAAGTGTCTCTCTCAGGTCTTCAGGACCAATGACTAAAACCTCTGTTCTTGTCCTGGTTGAGTTGTAGGAAACTGGCTGCCATCCAGGACTTAATGTCTAACATGCAGTTTAAAAGGGCATCAATTAGCCCGCTGTCATCAGGAGACATGGCCATGTACAGTTGAGTATCATCAGCATAACTGTAGAAGCTGAGGCTGTGCCTCCTGATGATGTCCCCCAGAGGAAGCATGTAAAGATTAAAAAGAGTTGGACCTAAAATTGACCCCTGGGAAAGGCCAAACACAATTTTGTGGGTTCGTGAGAAACATGTATCCATACTTACAAAGTGTTGAGATGAACCAGTTATATGGCAAACACTGTTTGCCTGATGAAGGTCTAGTACCGAAATGTTGCAAACAAATGATTGATTGCAAGTTGGACGGTGTGCAGGAATCCCTTTGCTGCATTTTCGTCTTTTTACTCCAACGCACTTGTCTTGTTTTATAGATGTGCGAAGTGATTCCTTTGTTTGAACCATTCAAAAACAGTGTCTTTTGAAAGGTTCAGGCTGTTCAAGTGCTGGTTTTATGCTTCTTTCACTTACACTTGCACATATCTTCATATTTCAGTCATTTATTTATTTTTTTCTGATAGTAAGTAATGAATAGATTGTGTTTTTTACTCTTTTTACTCTAACCGCTTCTCACCGTGATCACATGTCACAGTCACTCATTCAAACCACACTGACACACTGATGGCAGAAGCTGCTATGTTTGGAGCCCATCAGTATTAACTAATCCCATTCACACACCACTAGGCACAGCCAATGCGTGTTGTTTTGGGGCCAAGTGTCTCACCTAAGGACACCTTGGCATGTGGACAGTGGGACCTGGGATCAAACTCAGATTTTAACCTTTGAAACCTTGACCTCAGTTCATGTTGGGTAACATTTTAAATACATTGTATTGCAGTTGCAGGGACATGTAAGGTCAAAGGATTTTTTTAATCATTCGATTTCCTGCTCCTTTTGTGTCTTTTCAGACATTTCTTAGACTCACCTGTCCAGTGTAGGCGAAGTCCAACGCGTGCTTCAGTCCAACACTGGTCACTCCTTGTAGCGTCACTTCATCCGCCTCACTCTCCACCATGCACAAGCTGAACATAGCCTGGTGACACACATCACAGACATTTCATGTGACTTTTTCTGAATTAGGTTTTAAAAAATGAGCAGCCGGGTGTAAAAACTGGCCAATGATGGATTGATTTTACCCTTTCAGTCACTGTAGGTTGACCACGTTGTTGTGCAAGAAAAACAGCCTAAGAAATGGCTTTTGAATGTATGAATGAATCAAACCTGCCAGTAGCAACATCCAGAGCTTGTCTGTATTGATTTACCTGGCCTGGCCCCAGAGGTAGGCAAGAACAAATAGAGCTCTTGGTATTTTCTCTTTCTTGCACAGCCTCCCTGTCTTTCGTTCTCTCTGTAACACGCACACACAAAAACAAGGACACGTGTGCGCACAACGCTCATGTGAAATCAAACCAGCGGACACAGCGTCTGCAGTCTGGCCCTGTGTGAGTCCGGCTTGCTGCTTGCTAATCAAAGTTATTGACTGGTGTCACACTATGAGGGATGACAGAGGCATCGATCAGGGTCGTCAAGCAGAGCCGGGAAGAGTGGGAGTTGAGGTTCAAAAGAGGCCATGATGGAAGGGGTTTCAACTTATAGTTTCTGTGTTTTATCATTTTAAATTGACACAAACTAAGGTTGACTTCTGAAAAGCTATTTCATCCGTTATAGATCAAAACAGTCTAGTTTGAGGATACTGATCTCGCTAACTCGCAATCACTCATATCATTTTGATCCCAGTGTCAGAGTCACTCCACACTACCTCCACTCAGAGGCTGGTGTGTAACAACATTATCAGCTTTGAAAGCCCTCGAGCTGGCCGGTTAGCACAGCGCAGCGTCCTTATTTGTCACGAAAACAACATTAAATCTTCTCAGTTCTCATCCACTTCTTCCTGATTCATAGCATCCCTGAACTTTAACCAGGCTACCAATGCCCCTGGCCCCTCTACATTGTGAGAGAGAGATGTATGAGGGAGGCCGGGTCGACTTGAGGCCACAATGAATTTTAACCAAGGCATGCACATCTCTCTTCAGAGCACAGCCTTGTTGATTCACCATTGCGCTAATTAAAAATCCACTGGTCCACTGAGCACAGGAAGGCCTGTAGCTAAACCTAGGGTGTGACTGCGGCTAATCTATGGTCAGTGTGTGTGAGAGTGTAAAAAACAGAAATTAGAACAGACTCACAGGCGGAGCATGATAGGAAGAGCTTATATGAAAGAGGACACAGCATCGCTACACATGTTCTTTTGTGTTAGCATGTGTTTTCATTCGTGAGTTTCGCAGAGAACGCTCGGAGAGTGTGAGCAGGGCTGTGAGCCTCCAGGTTCAATGCTCCTGACCTTGGTGGAGGAGCCGAGGGAGAGCTTGTGATGATGGATGGCTCCTCTGACTTGGGATATAGATCCAGCGCTGAGACAAATTAAGCCACGGAGCCAGGTTCACTGCGGTCCTTTTACATGATGCTGCAGTGGGGCGCAGCTCTGCAGTTAGTCCAACCTGTCTGCAGAATTTATGTGAGTCCGCTTGTTCTGATCGTACAGAGGAAGTTTTATTACTCCCTGATAAAACCAGTCAGTGAGGTATTACTGTGTCTGAAGGATAATGTTGACTGAAGTCCTGTGGCTATATTCATCAACAACTGTGTTAAAATTAAAACTAATATACTCTGTTGAGACCTCACCGCCTTGATATTTGATTAAACAAATGTAATAAAGGTTCAGGATGTTACACAGAACTTTCTTATCTATCACATCTCAACCACAGTCAGAGACATCACCTGTTGTGTGGATTATATAAAGCTGTGCAAAAAATGGGACAGTATGAAAAAGTTCAGGTGAACTGTTCTTAACTTACTGACATCTAAACATTCAAACCAGCCAAAAAAATGACCTTTTTACTCTCATTCAGCTTAGTTCCTCAAACGTATTAAGACATATCAACAGCTCTAATGAGGTTGTTTTCTCATTTTAAAGCTCCTGTGAGGAACTTTTGGTTTGTGTCAATTAGGGCGCCCCCTGTTGACAAAGATGCTCTTATCTTGTCCTAAACATGCTCACTCTGTGTCTTCTGACAATAGAATCTCACCCTGCTGACTTCTGACAGCCAAATGTATGATTTATTGAAAACATTTAATGTGGAAATTGTCAAACCGGGGCTTTTTCTGCACCAACGCACCGGCTTTTAGCATAATTACACCACAAAACTCAGCAATCTTGTGGCTGATGGTCGAGTTCACTTCAATATGTATATAAATCTTGTCTATTTTACAATCGTCTTCACTCTAGACACTCTTTTTGGCTTTACATGTGAATTAGGTGAAACCCCTAGACTATATATACTATGGACAACTTGGTTCCGCCCTCCGTCATTACACGAATTAGAATCCAAAAAGCTCTCTGTATTTACAGGTTTTTTCTCCACCTTCTTAAACCACCACTTGTGCAGTAGCATCGTACGCATTCAGCGGGAGAGTCACTGTGATGACGCTCGACTCAAATAGCGTATCCCCTGGGTAAGCTATGCAATCTTTGTACGCCCATAGGCTGTATCAAGTGTCAATCATAGAAAACATGAACCCCCTAATAACTTTAAAAAAATGGAGCTGTACAGAAAAAAGAGGACTTGAGTTGAAACCAGTCCTACAGTAACTACATGTCAACATCGCAAGCAGGGGGAGAAAAATATTTATTCTGTGTAATTAATGTCTAAAATTTGTCCACAGCTCCATAGAGATTGCTGGAGGAGGTGGGATTTATGACCTATACTGCAGCCCGTCACCAGAGGGTGCAGTTCTCAGGGTGGCTCCACCCAGCGAGGAGGCAGACAGCGTCCATTACCGTATCTGATACATGGATATAGAGCATTCTCAAATATACTGTATATGAGCATTAACGTCATTTCTCATGATTGGACAGATTAGTATTAAACTTCAGCTTCTTCATACAAGCCTTTTGTTCAGTTAATGATATGTGCTCTGTGACTCTCTTTTCCATCTAATACTAAAAATAAAGTTTACAGCTCTGTGAGGAGTTCAGCTGGTTATGAAACAGACTGAAATTAAAGCAGATGCCTCCAGGTGATCTGCAAAGACAAACAAGACCATCAGTGGAGAGACTGATTATTTCCATATTATCATCTCTAATCCTCCTGGGCTCGGTTTTAGACAAAGTATTTGTAGAGTGAACAACATACTGTTGAAACATCTGTTCATATTTTCTACAGTAAGGATTAACACTGAGTGATATATTGGGCCTTTAAAAGAAAGCAGGGTGATATTTCTCCTTTATCTGCAGAGGTGCTAAAATTTAAAAACACCAAGTTCTTCACAGCAGCTTTCATGGCAACTTATTTTTACTGGTTACCGAGTTCTTTTTAAATAGTAGTCGACTAATTGGCGAGTTATTAGAAAGAAATATGCGTAATGAATGATACAAGTGCATACTGATAATTATCATTTTCAAACAGGATGAAAAAGTGAGAGTTACTTGTCTAAACAAAACACGCCCCTGGCTTCATGTGGGCCTTTCCCACATCTTTCAGGCATTAAAAATGATGATATAACAGTTGCCAATCTTGTCATTGATGATCTTGTTTGCTTTTGTAGATCATAAAAATGCATCAATATGAATTAAAGTCGATTTCATGCATGTGAAAAACTCACAGGAGCTTAAACAGCAGACAACTCTGATGAGACCGTGACAGAAAAGACACTTTGTTGGTGACATAATTTCATGACACCGCAATAAAAAATAGTGAGATATAATCAGTTGCGATTTATTAAAACAAGATTAACTCAATTTGGAAAAATAAATTTTGTCTGTAGATAAGAGCTGATAGTAAAAACAGAGTTCTCTGGAGCACATGTTGTTCGTTTAGCTTAATGTTTTTAGACAGTAATAGCTTTGGATATGAATTATGTCCTGACTGCAGACACGCAGGAAAAATTTCTCAGCATTACAAAAGACACTAGAGAGGAATTATGCGTGTGTGTGTCTGTGTGTGAGTGGGCGCTCTCACTGAGGGTGGTGTGGTTGCTGGTGTAAGCGAGTCAGCTGTATCCCCCCTGAACTGTCCAGACATCTTGGTAATGTGACAGCAAAGGGGGAAAAAAAGGCGGATGACATATTCAGGACAAGTTTCAGGTAAACAGCTCATGCTTGGTCAGGTATTTCATTACGATCACTTTCGTCTGCTGGGTTCGATAATGCGTTATAATCACTGCTTGGTGTGTGTCAGAGTGTGAACGGAAGAGACACAGAGGGAGAGAGTGATAGAGAGAGGGAGAGATAGAGCGGAGACATACTCGCTATTCACGACACAGAGCACCTTCATCTCCTCTGTAAATGAACTAAATGAATCCCAGCGGTGGCGTCAGATGACAAACGGATGATAATGTTGTTGAGCCCCTACGGTGGAGCAGGGAACAAGAGTGAGTTTTCTTGCTTACGGTAGCAGGCTGATCTAATAATCTGAGAGCTGGAAAACAGTGTTGCTTGGCTCAGCTGGGACATGAAAGCACAGCGTTTAAAAACGGAGCTGAAGAACAACAGAGGGTAACAAAAAGAGGAGAGGAGTGTGACTCGCCCACCCTCAACTCTCTGCAGGAGAATCAAAAATAACATTCATGCACAAAAACACATAAACTAACACACGGGAGGTCTAATCTCCAGGCAATTTGGGCATATTTAATCTGCCTCTCATTTTCAAGAGGGATTAATTTCTACTTCCTAATCTGCTCAGTGTCCCTAAATCAAATCTCATCTGTGCCCTTTTCCCTGTGTGGCCATCTCCTTTCTGGCTGCCTGAAAGTGTAACTAAGGTTGCTCGGTCCTGAGGCTTAGCTGGGATCTGACTGAAGCCTCTGCAAGAGACCGTGCATAAGCAAAGTGGAAAATAAACAAAAAAACAGGGGGCATCAGGACACAAGGGGAGGGACACAGCACTTTTAATCTAGGCCAAAGAGTTATCTGGGCTTCATATTGTTTGTCATATGTTACCAAGACTTATATATATATGTATATGTAATTTCTGCAGAGCCTAGCAGCATAGCAGAACACCCGAAAAAGCATGTAGACAATGAGTTATCTGACTCAAACAGATTTGGTGACAATTCAACAGCCTTCCAAGTGGTTGTGTAATAGATCATTGTCACCTCTCACATCGTCAGTAGGCTTCACTGTATGATTCATACCCGCCTGTCATAGCTGAAAAAAAAACTTGATACATGTGTATAGTCATAGTATATATACCACTTCAGCGTTTTCATATCAAACTGTGAGGATTTGCATTTATTCTTTTGAAGTCAAAGATTTATTTTTTAAAAACTGTGATATTCTCCAGGACTCACCCTAAAGTAGTCGCTGCATGCTGCCAGGACGGCTTTGTGGGCGTGAAACTTCTGCTCACCAGCGACCAGGGTGACATCACACAGCAGGCCATCTTTCCTCTGCTGGTTCAGAGCAGAGAGGACTGAGTCCTGGTGGGACTTTGACTGACAGAGCCTCTGTCCTGTCAGCATTTCCCTGCTGCTGCTGCACACACACAAACACACACAAAAGGAAACAAAGGGAAATATTGCCTGATGACAATCTTGTGATGACTGAGGAAAACACTTTGAAGGATTCGAACAAATTTAGGGATGGAGATCAGATGTTTGGCTGTCCTGTTTGGCTGCTCTAGCACAAAACACAAGCTGGCCATGGCAGTTTTAAATATGACATGAGAACAGCTGAGAAGGATAATACCAGTAACTAGCGTTTTATAAAATAAAAGTTCCACAAATATCTAATAATGGTTTTATTTTTAATTTTACTTGAAGTTCCTATAAGGAACTTTCTGCCTGTGTTGATTTCAGCACCCCCTATAGACAAAGGTCTCTATTTTCGTGCCCGCTGGCGGCACGGCAGAGGGTGGCGCACCCCACGCTACCTGGTATTTTCGTCTGGCAGAGTCCCACGCACAGCCAGTTTGGTATTTTCATAAACTGAGGTGCACCGAGGTCTGCCAAGCTAGAAGGAGCTGAGTTAGGGAGGGGGGATACTTACGCCGGGCTGCGCTGCTCACCAAAATACCAAATTGTCCTTGGGCACGCCTTATTGGCGCAGCGGACCTGACTTATGCCACGCCTGTGCCACGCCGCCAATAAAATCTCTATCTGTTGTCTTTTTACGGTGGAATTTATCACTGTTGCTATGATAAAAGTAACAAAGACTATTTCATTAGCATACCTCCCCCCTCACAGAAGTTACATGCACAAAAATGGAAATATTAGTTTTATTAAATTGTATCATAATTATTATGATTTTTCTGTTTGTTTGTTTCTTTTCCCACCTTCAATACCCTGTGCTTTGGGTGCTTAAAGGAGTGAACTACATTTCGTCTTGTATATTTAGTCTCAGTGGGATTGTCTGGAGGTTGTTTGTCTGTGTGTTGTTCTTTGTTTTCAACATGTGTAAAACTGTGCAATGTCGGTACAAAACTAGAAAAACGAAGTTTGGGAAAAAAATTTCAAATATAAAAATTATCCATCTTATCATTTGTCTTATTGTTCTTGTTTGGACACCATAGAGACACATCATTCATTTCACTCTGTTTCATTAAACGTATTATTTTTAATCAGTGTATTGGAAACAGCTGACACCAACACTCAAAAATTCTGCACAGAAACTTTAAACTTGTTTTGCCCATCAGTTTGTTTGTGCGCTCTGATTTTTTATGGTTGATGAGACAAACACATGACTACGCAACTTGTCTCAAAGATTTCATCTGACTGTTTGACTGATGTCTGAGTTTGTGCTGTGTATCCACGAAGCACAAAATATACCCTGTCTCTACGCCCCTCCTCGATTCCTCTGCGCGTGTACCCATCCATCAGCCTGCCTGCCGCCCTGTCCGTCCAAATCCATCTCTGTCCACTCAAGTCACAGCAGTCAGTCTAAATGCTGCTGTCTGCCAGGAGGTTTGCTCTGTCACCTTCATGCTGATGGGGTGTAAGACGGAGGAAATGGTGTGTGTGGGTGGGTGGGTATGTGTGCGCGCTGTGGGCCAGAGGTGCTAGAAATGATGACTCAGACTGTTGGTTGGTTGGTTGGTTGTTGGACTCAGCCAGAGGGAAGTGCCAGGGGAGAAAAGGACAAAATCACTGTGATGAAAAGTGAAGCGAATTCACAGGATTTCAGGACATTGTATCCCAAGCGGGGAGAATAAAGTCTTTGATGCATTTCATGGTTATAAATGAAAAGATAAAGATAAATGTAAGAGAGTTTGTACGTTTGATACGGCGGACTTGGATAAAAGTGTAGTGAACAAGTAGTGCACCTTTTCAAACTGCTTGTTTCATATATAGAAGCTCATTTCAATGCAGTAGTGTTAAAGTTGAACCGCTCCAGACTCTCCATGTTGTATTTTTTACTACATGACTCCAGTTCTTGAAAAAAATAAAAATAAGGTCCCCAAACTCGGACTATGATGACATAATTTCTCTCAGTCATGACAGTGGTCCTTAAGCGCCACAAAAGGCATTATGTGGCTGAAAAGTACTTTCAACAACTAGGTTTCTGCTTTAGAGCCACAGTGGATTACATCATCTTACAGCCTCTTTTTAAAGGATTATAGGGCACTATAGAGGTGAGAGCTGGGTAAAATCTTGTACATAGAGGCTTAAAAACACTCGCAAATTCTGAGATACAAAGGAAAACTGTTGTTATTAACTGATGGTATAATTTTAACAGCTAAATCTGACTTTAAAAGTATGTTAAATGTAGTTAAGTTATAACTCACTAATGTAGATTGGAAATCAATCCAAGTAAAACATGGGTAATGCTGTTTAGAAAGAAAGGTACAAGAAGAAGTACACAAAGACTGAGTTTTGAGCTATACAGTGTTTTCTCAGGGTTCGATTTGCTCCAATCAACTCAAGGAGACGTAGGTTTGGTCCCAGGGCCTGAACCAAGTTTGTTGTTCATTTATGTATAACAGTGTACTTTGTGTAATTTTCTTCTTACATTTAAGATCAAGATCGATTTGTTTTGCACTTTGACCCTGGATTGTATGAACTCACGGTGTCATGTAAGTCCATGTGGGCTGAGCATTATGTATGACACGATCAGAGCATAGAAACTTTGAAACGTCACAACTATGACAATAAAACACAAATGTTACTTCAGAGATGAAATGAATAATCAAACTAAAACAAGGTTACAAGCTATTGCACTGAACAACATGCTTCTTTCTCATGGCCCACATGGGCTTTTCAGTTTATTAACACACACACATAAAACTGCTGCAGTAATTTCTCATTTGAGTGTTATATCAACAGCTGTAATAAAAACAAATTTTCTTTTCAATAAAGCTGCACAAAAGTGTGACGTCAAGCTAATCAAAGAAGTTAAATGAGGTTTTGTTCACTTATGTGTATATTTATGAACCGTATTTGAGACCTTTGTGGAAATGCCCTGAAGTCTGGAGATTCAGGCTGTTTCAATTGTTTTGAGTTTTTGATCTTCTTGCATAATTTATTGAATTCTCAGTAAAAATTGATTATTACGAGTATGTTTAAACCAGTGTGTAATGGCCTGAATATAATACTTGTCTGACTTTGTTTAGTAGATATTAGCCTTTTATATTTACATGGCCTCCAGAGCAGCACAGAACAGAAAAACTATTAGGGGCTTTGTTTTTTTATCAACAATTTAATGAAATGCACTTGTTGAAAAAAGAAGAAGAAAAAGAAGAAGAAGAAACAAATGATTGTGCATAAAAGAATTTGTTTTGATAGACTTTTGATGGTATAATCTCAAGAAATAGAGGATCAAATACGTGTTGCCCCCAAAAGTCATTGTCAACTTTGACAACGTTCAACATTTCAATCCACAAAATATTTCTAAATATTCCAATGTCCCTTTCGTTGTAACACAAAAAGCCTTCTTCTTTGAGAGCATTTATGTCCCCTCACTATATTTGGAGTACTAACAACAGAGGAATTGGAGCCTGCACATTAAGAGCACCTCCATAAAGATCTTTTAAAGGTTATAATGAGTTTCTTGTCTCAGTCCTATACAGAAGAGGCTTTTTGTTCACATTTTCCAAATGAATACACAAACATCTCTTTTACTGCTACTTGAGGATTTGAATCTGTCTGTGCTACATGCTAAGTCTGCTCAACTTACCTGAGGCTGGGTTCAGAAGGCATGCCCCTGAACAAAGGAAGAGGAGACGGAGGAGAAGGTAGAGGGAAGGTGTGAAGTGGCTCCTGAAGACAGTCGTCTCCTCACTGGGTACATACATCAGCCTAATAGGACAGAGCAGCATGTCAGCTTTACTCAGTCCATCCCTTGGACCCAGCCACATTGTGACAGCCTTCTGCGCCAAGTGTGAAGGGATGCAACCACACACATCAGGCTTAACGCTGACTGCTCCCTTTTCACGGCTACACTGGCTTTGACTTTGACAATCCTAAAAGATGTTCTCTGCAGGCCCTTTTATGTGCAGCGCGGAGGCAGTGACAGCCAACGGCAGCTAGACTTCAGAGAAGAGACTCAACAAGCTCAGCAATTCTCCAAACAAGCAAGGAGTCCAAATTACACTAAGTCCCTCTGGTGTAGCTACAACCTTGACATAATGTGTGACACACCTGAATGTGATACCCCTGTCTCCTGTCTGATACTACCAAGCAGCACAAGAAGGGAACAAAGGTCAGCGAAGATGCAGGCTGAAATCCAAGCTGCTGTGAGTGATCTGCTTAAAATACTACACACTCACTGTACAGTCAGTTGTCTCTGGTGCTCTTGGGTGGCCAATTCATAGAGGGAAGCCTGTGTAAGGATGTGGTTCGCCCTAAGTGAAGGCAGGACTGAGTGCACTTCTAGCTGCTCTTGAATTAAGTCCCAGTGAGATCTAGTTATCGATCTCTTCCTGAGTGACCTTCAGATACATGGCCGCTATGACTGCTGCTTTTGGATGAGGGAGAAAGGGAGCTTATCCTGTACAGACCAGCCCCCAAGACTGGGAAACACATGCCGCTGCAGGTGTACTCCTCATCTAAATATACTCAGAACAATTTGGGTACAGGTCTGACCAATGAAACAATGAATGAATGGAGTTGAATCTGGAGTTGAATCAGTGCTGATGAGGAATTCTGATCAATTTTACTATTTATGGGTCTTTTGGGGTCACTATACCCTTTAGTTACAAATAAATCCTGAACACAGAAGGTCAGTATTTTCATATCCATCAACACTTTACCTAAGACAATACGTTCCCATCGCTCTGGCCTCAGAAAAGATTAAATATATCTGTAAGGAGGATATATTTAGGTTTATAATCGCATCAAGTAGGCCATTGTTCCCTATAAAACATTGCAATCCCCTGACTAAAAAAAAAACAGTTACAAGCTTTCTCTACCGCACAAAACGCTTTTTGGGTTCACTCACAAAGGCGCGCATAGACCTGGAGGGAGTAGGAGTAAGGTTGGAGTTGCCAGATCAGTAGTCACCATTAGTACATTAACTGTCACTTTCTAAAAAGCTCCCGGCTGTCAAAAGGTCTCCTAGCAACAGGCCAGCGCCTCGGTCCAGAAACTATGGGGACGGAGCCACCTCTTCCGTACCGAGCTGAATAATCCTGTTGCATCCATCACAGTGCGCACTGAGATAATCCACTCCTAATTCTTGTTAGAGCTATTTACAGTTTTGAAGGAATTTACTGTATTCACCTCTCCCCCTTTTCTAAATTTGTGACAAGCTCACGCACCTCATATGAATCGATTTGGATTCGGTCCAGTTCCCTCTGTCGGCGTCTCGGTGGCAGATTTCATCTGATGGTCCGAGGTGGATTGCTTGTGGTCTACATCCGCGACGACAGGAAAGAAGAGCGCAACGGCGAACAGATGCGCTCAGTTCACACGGACACTTTGTTGGTTACACTGTGGCACCTAAATTGTTACATTATAACTCCGCCTCTCCACCGTGGTCACATGAGTATAGACATTGAAGGGAAACAGCGCCTTCACGTGGATAATTGGGAAACAGCTGCTCATGTATTACTCACTGTATTATTGGACACCAGGAGTCCTCGTAGGACCCAGAGGGTGCACGGATAAGAGGACAAGTCTGGCAAATCCGTAACATCCTCTAGATAGATTAATGGAGCATAATATACTCCTAAATACCTACATACTAATCTGTTTTATGAGAGTAAAGGCACTTCCCGTTGATATGGATGAAAAAGTCAACCAAGTTCAACAATTATGGGGGGAAATGGGGGGTCTTTATAGATACACTAATGTGTCCCTTGGATCAAAACATGTTTTGAAAAAAAATCAGTGAAACTCCCTTTATATTCGCTGTGAGACTGCCTCAGTTCATTTGCAATTTCACTCATGATGCGTTCAAATGTTCCCTGTTGATCCGCCGCTTCATTGTCTGTGCATACAAGTGCATCTGAACTATAGACAGTATAAAGAATGGACGGAGTCTGCCTCCTTGCTGGGTGAAGCCACTCCGAGAACAGCACCCTCTGTTGATGGGCTGCAGTATAGCCTAGGTCCTCTTTTTTCTTTACGCTCCGTTTTTAAAAGTTATTAGGGGGTTCATGTTTTCGATGATTGACACCTGATACAGCCTATTAGCGTTCAGGGATTGTGTAGCTCACCTGTGGGATTTGCTGTTTGTGCCGAGCGTCATCACAGCGACTCTCGGCGACTCTCTCGCCGAACGCGCAGAACGCTACTGCACAGCGCTGGTTTCAGGAAATGAAGAAAAATCCCGAAAATACCGAGAGCTTCTTGGCTTCAAATCCGTATACAGGCGGGAGGCGGAACCAAGTTGTCCACAGTATATACAGTCTATGATCTGAACTAGGATGGGGCTGATGATTAATGTTTTTGCACACCGTTTTACTATATCTTTAAAGCTTTTTCACACAGTTAAAAATTGTACACTTATTTTTTACTTTCGAAAATAAAATGACTTCAAACACAACTCAAACTGCGCAGCATTAATTACGTTGAAGATTGGCCACTGGAGCAGTTTAATGCTATTTTCTATTAGGCTATTTTGTGTTAACTCGCATACATGTATCTATCACACCGTCGGCCTGTACAATCCATGATCCACAGCGCCAACATCTGAAATTCCCAGCTGTACCTGAAGGCAGCTTCACTACACAGCAGAACCTAACCTACAAAAAAAAAACGACTGTGGTTGAGCTTATCGCAGGAAACACGCTTCCAAAAATCCCCACGGAATTGCTCCAGCTAGTGTTCATGTAGTCAGCTGTTACACAAACACCCTGGTATTTGTGGTAAGTGTTTATGTTTCGTACTTTTCCGTCAAACTTTTTTTCTTCTTAAACTTTTTTTTCGGGCCCCGTGGCAGTGACTGAAGCAGGCATGTTTACTGTACTGTGTCTCGGCATTTGGGAACTAATTTTCGGGAAAACGGCTTTCCTGCCTTTGGCTTTCTTTTGTGAGAACTTCCCACCGAGAAACGAAGTTCTTTACTCGTTTAATTTAGGGAATATAGGATATAATTTGCCTTTGCCGACCTGTGGACGTTTACTCGTTACACAGACATTGTCTCTTTTCACGGCTTAAACCTTTGCTTGGTTAAGTTTTACCACCTTCTTCATCAGGCATACAATGTAGACTATGTGGAAAATAGTTGCTGATTACATAAAATACAGCCAAAAACATTAATGTTGTGAAATAAAGTAAAGTTTAACTTTGTGAAACACTCAAATAAGAGCATTTTATTTTGAAAATGACCAAAAAATACTTCCTTTTAAAGATAGTTACTTGCCTTATGTTGTTATACAACTTCATTAACAGATGTCCTATCAGTCTGTTTCAGCACACATTATTAGAAATACATCTGTGTCAAGCATTAAAGATTGTTAGTTGTACATGAAAACGTGTGTATCAGAAACTGTGATGAGTTTTAATGTGCATCAGTAACCTCAAACTCATTTCAGCCTGGATCTCTTGCACTCCCCACCCACTTTACACTGGCCTCAGGCACTGGGACTGATCACATTGGTCTCTATTCTGTTTCACTAACACCTCACTTCAAAACAAACCGCTCATATTAACGCATAGGACCTCATACGAACTGTAGGTGTGCCAAGAAACTATTGACTTGAATGTTTTTATTTGATTTGACTTTATAAATGCTGAGCTGTGACAGGCTGTAGTGCATGAGACTTCAGTGTTAGCACTACTGTGTACCTTTGCATTTAGGTTGTAAAAAAACATAACAATTCTCAAGATGGAAGGTTTCTATTGATGAAAAGGTTGCATCAAAATCTAACCTAAAAGGATAAATGTGTTTAATCACAATGCTTTGTTATCAGGAATGTGGGCTCGCTGTCCTCCCTGGTGAATGATGGGAAAGTTCTACCTGTTGCAGTGCCCGCTGGCTCCACTATGATGACTCCAGGAGAAATGACACATAGATGACAGCTGGAGACAGGGGAATTCAATGCTTTGGCCAAAAAGAAACCTGTTCTACTTGGATACACTCACTCACATTCCTTCCCAGTCACCCACTGCAATGCTGATGCCAGGACAACTGTGGGCCTGTCTGGCTTTGATATGGGTGGGAAGCTCCAGCGCCCACAGCTTGTTTACTTGCGAGCCCATCAAAGTGTATCGGTGCCTGGGAATGCCTTACAATATGACTTTCTTTCCCAACATGATGGAGCACTACGACCAGGATATAGCAGCCAGTCAGATGGAGGTGAGTCCTTATGGTGTTACAGACATTTCATCAACTGATACTGTTCTGAGCTAGTCTTAGTTGTGCTGTTAACACCACCACTAGTACTACCATTACAAATATTAATAAAAATGAAAGGAAGAAGAGTGATTGTGATTGGGGAACTCCAGGCGTGCCCATTAACTTATTACAACATGTGCTTGAAATACAGAAATAATAATGATAATGCATCAGATTTGATATAGCACTTTATCAGAGACCCTCAGAGCGCTTTACATTGGATACATCATTCATACACTCACACAGTCACACCCTGGTGGTGGTAAACTACCTTAGTAGTCACAGCTGCTCTGGGGCAGACTGACTGAAACATGGCTGCCAGTTTGCACCTACAGGCCTCTCTTACTACCACCACACGACACTCACATTTATACACCAGTGGAGGACACACACTTGGAGCAAAGTGGGTTAATTGCCCAAGGACACAACAGACAGATTAGTGATAGGGGGGAATTGAACTGCCAACCTTCTGGTTATTGGACGACCACTCTACCTCCTGAGCTACTGCCACCCAAATACAAGTACATCATCTTAAATTGACTCTACACTGCAGATTGTCTCATCGCACCCATATACCACAGTATTACTGAGGAAAACATTATACAAGAGACTCCAAATTTTCAGATTTAAGCTCTAAAATTGAAGAAAGTTGGTAGAACAGCAGCGTCCAGTAAGACAGGGGACTCTCAGATGGTGAGCTCTGTACACTGCAGTCACATGAAGGTCATTGGTTGCCTTTAGTTCAGCAAATTCTGCAGTAATGTGATTACCAAGTCTGACTCACGACAGCAGTAGCTGGACTCACAGTTTACAAACCTGCACCACCAGGTAACTATAGATAGCACGGATGTTTCTCTTCTTAGCTGTTGAGTCTCGCTCTTCTTCTGTTTACTTTGGTTCATAAAGTTGTCCTACTGTGTCTATTAAATGGCATGTATGTGTTTTTTTTTATTTGTTCAATCAAATAATCTGAACAGCTGATCACTGCACAGCAAGCAAAGAACCACATGTTTCCAAAAGTAGTGCTAAAACAAAGTGGCTTTTGAAGGCCAAGCAGACTCTGAAAGATTTCTAAATGTAGTGTATACCCTCACACTGACATCAGTGTTGGAGTTTGACTTAATAAAGTTAACTAAATCACAAGATAAAGTTAGCCCAGTCTCCAGTGGTTAATAGCCCAGCTTTCATGTCAGTTCTCAGGCTGAGCAGACCAGGATCTTTTATGGGTAAACTATTGTCAACTACGTCAAAAATCCCTGCTTCAAAAGTACAATCCAACCCTTTTTCTGTTGCGCTTAATTGCTGAACTTAAAAAGAGCACATTGATTCACATTGATTTGGGTTTCCATGGAGATTTGTAATGATGTCCCAGACAAAATACTGCTGTACTTTTGCTTGTCAATCAAAACTTTTTATCCAAGTCACTCACAGAGATATAATCTCTTTATTTAGTATGCTTTTAGTGGTTCCAGTCTTTGAATGTTGGTGTCTGTAGATACGTGTTAATATTTGTGTTATCTTAAACCTGTAATGCCAGTCATGAGTCGTTGCTCAGCTGCGAGCTCTAAACTCTCTCTATGTAAATGAGCACAGATGACTTCTTAAAGGAACAGTGTGGTCTGGCAGCTTTTAGATCCAGAGAAATGGAGGTAAAGCTTTCTGTAGGCTGTGACTTTGACACTGGCATACATCACTCCAAGGAAGCATCCTGTAGCTAGCACCGAATGGTGGTGACTCTGAGCTCACTTATAGTGTGTGCTTTGGACTAGTCTGTTAGTTGTTTAAACATTTAGGAAATTAGTTTCTTTGGAACATCCCCAGTCATCAGGATTATCCTCAAATTGAAGGCACTACTGGATTAGAGGCATGTTTTTTAGTTAGTTAGTAGTCACAGTTTGATTTTGGATAATAGTTTAAAGAAGCGTCCGGTATACAGAGTTATGAGATCCCAAAACTACTCAACTGCTTCTTGACTTGACTGTCTTGAAATCTTTCATCACTGCAACAGAGCCTGTGACACTAAAACACTAGATAAACAACTTTGTTTGCTTATATAAGGATGTCAAGAGGGAAAAGGCTCTGTGTCGTGTGGAGATATTGGCCCTTTATAGAATGTATGGAGTCAGTGTCAATGTGATCCATATTTTCAAACTCTCAATGGGAGAGGAATCAGTTAGCATGTAGTTTTAAATACAGCCTGCTTTTTCAAACTAGATCTAATCCACTTGTTTTTCTAACATGTCTTGAGACCAAGTGTTGCCTTGTGTCCCTCCTCAACATTGAACTAGAGCTCTCTGGCTGTTGCTTCTGTCCTGGCATTCCTGAAGGCCAGGGTTTGGGTTACACACATTTGGTGTCAGAGCATTGAAAATGAACAGTGATGTGTTGAAGGAGTCCTTTGTGTGGCATCTGGCAGAGGTAGCAGGCTTGCAGGTATCAGCTTTTCATTTCACAGCAAACTTTGCCACAGGCAACTTCATCGACTTTGTTGTGCAGGGCCTTTGATTTTCTGGAGGAGGGGAGGCGCGCGCACACACACACACACACACACACACACACACACACACTTCCACACAAAGCCTACCCAAGCATACCACAATGAGAGTATTCTATCTCTGTTAATCACTCACTCATGTCTACCCCCTGTACGCTGTCTTACCTCCGCGGCCTCGTCTCCCAGGTGACTGGATTACACTTTCTGGCCTTTATTCAGTCCTACATTCTGTGCATAGCTCTCTTTGAACGTGTGTTATTGTTTGTCCCCAAGCCTGATGCTGAATCCAAGCGGACTATTTCTGCATGTGCTTAGTCAGGCCTATCAGTGGGATTTTCCGGAGGAAGGTTAACCTTTTCCCGCCCTTGGTCCCAGATTCCTCCGGTTTGCCAACTTTGGAAGTGAAAAGACTAACGTTCAACAAAGTGAAGACTTACTGACGTCTTTTTCTGTTGAGGATTTTGCCCCCAAAGCGAAAATAAGCTTAACTTTCTCTGATCCAAGTTGAAGGTCTCTGTTATGAGGGCGGTTTTTACTGTAACTCTGGCGTCAGGCGCAAAAAGGTCAGATTGTTGAGCAATGGGAAGGGAATTGAGAAGGAGTGGAGGACCTCCGCGGGAGAGGAACAAGGACGCTCACTGTCGACCCAGGCCCGAGAGACACAGGCCTACAGCCAGACTGGATTTCAGAAAAAAAAGGAAGAGACCACTTTGAATAGTGGACTTTGTCAGAGTGTGTGCTGCAGTGTGTCTCTGTGTGTTTTGTGTCCAAATATTAGCAGGAAAGACCGACAGAAATCTGTTTGTTTTTGTTTGATAACAGTTGAAGCAGTCTCAACAACTTTAACATGTTGCACATGGTGTTGGTGGAGTTTTAGGTGAACAAAGCATTCTGGGTTTTATGAATGGAAGCAGTTAGAAGCAATGACAAAGTTTCTCTTCTACATGATAATAATTACTGTGAAATTCATGGATTCAGAAGGATCAGTGTGGAAATCATCTTGACATGTTTATCTTCATGAATTTGTGTACAGTGGAAGCACTGTCTGCTGTGTCTGAATCTATAAATGTTAATGCTGTGAGTGTTATCTGAATCCCAGCCTATCAGCAACTGTCTGCATTCCAGCCTTCCTGGCCCGTCTTGGTGTGTTTTTAAATGACCGTGCACTCATTTCCTGCCACCTTTACTGCCGCCCACACCTCCTCAAACTCTTGCCTCTAGTGTTGAAACGGAAGGTCGGGGTTACTGGCTACTGAATGGGTCTCTTTATGTGGGTCTGTGGATCTCTGCAGTTTAACAAAACAGAGTTAATATTTTACATGAAGCAGTGATTCCCATTCAGTGTGATTTGTTAAGTCTTAAGAAGGAGCGTAGTGTACTCGTCAACTACCATCTTCTCTACACATTGTCTGATAATTATATCCAAGACAAGTAAGTGAAGCTTTATTGATATAGCACCTTTCACAGCCGAGTCACAAAGTTCTTCACAAAGTGGCAATAGTGAAAACAATAACAATAAATTAATACAAAACAAATCAAAATAACTACAGTAACAATCAAAATACAATCAGGCAACAGTTACAGCAGATGGTCAAAAGCCAGTTTAAACAGATGTGTCTTGAATTGCTTTTTGAAAGCGTCAGAGGAGATGGCATGCACAGCGTATTTGGACAGGAAGTCAGTTCCAGGGAGTGGGAGCCAAAAATTCAAAGGCATGATCTCCTTTTGTCTTCAGTCTAGCAAGGGGAACAGCAAGTAGACACTGGCCAGAAGACCTAAGGGATCTTCTAGGGATGTAAGGGTACAAACGTTCAGAAATATAGACTGGAGTAGGGCGATAACCCGGAAATTTACCGATACCGAAAATTATGACAATAACCAACATCATTTTGCCCATATCGGTATATTTGGTGTAAAAAAATAAATAAATAGATGAAAGTTGGTTTTGGATGTGTGTAGGTAGGCTATGGTCTCATGTCCCTTTATGACGCTGTCTTACGTCAGAGACATGACTCCACCCCATCCAGTCCGTAACAAAGAGGGAAAGACAGGTGAGGAGATGGAGGATGGTTCAAAAGTTGTAGTAGCTGGAGCGGCGGCTGAAATAGTTAATGTGGGAGGGAGTGAGCAGCTTGTGGAGTAGTTATTGTCCATTTATCGTTATTGAGGTGAACTGCTTAATATATGGTTATATCGATTTGAGGCCATATCGCCCAGCCCTAGACTGGAGTTTAATGATGGATGGCTTTATAGGTTAACACCAGGATCTTGAAATTACCTTTGAATTTGTCTGGCAACCAATGCAAAGAAAATGAAGAAGGGGTGATGTGGGTTGTCCTGCTGGATCTGGTTAACAAACCCAGCCAAAGTCAAGTCAAGTCTTAACTTTTAAGTTGTTAGCTCCTTATAAAGTTTCTTCTGCTGAACACATAAAAACTGTATTTTATAGCTGCGGGTTTTATCTGCAGTTATTTTTATGATCTAACTTGTTGCTGTTGTGAATCCAAAAAAGTCATATATTTGGGTATGCAATAAATATTCACATCTATCTATTTTATTGTTATAGGTTTATTATTCTTATTGAACTCAAAGCTTGGATAACAAAATCTCAGTTTCTTCTTTAATTCAGTGTAAGCTTTTGTTCTGTTTCCAGCCGTTCATGCCCCTGGCAAATCTCCGCTGCTCTCCAGACGTCCACCACTTTCTTTGCACAGCCTTTCTCCCACAATGCACCGAGGACAATGAGGTGATCCGTCCATGCAGAGAGCAGTGCCAGACTGTCCTGTCTGACTGTGAGGACAACATACGAGTCTTTGGGATCACCTGGCCTCCTGAGCTACAGTGTGACAAGTAAGGAACCAACCATTATAGATGATGTGCTACTTTTTCTTAAATGGTCTGATGTAGAGTTTGATTTCTGTTTTCCCAGACTGGACTCATGTTTCCTCTCTCCTGGTTTGGAACTTCCCACAACCACTGCAATGAACTCCCAGTCTGCTAAAAGAGACCTTGGCTTCTGGTGCCCATTGCAGCTGAAGACCAAGCCGGGCTATGGCTCATCATTCCTGGGTGCGCAGGACTGTGCTCCACCGTGCTCCAACATGTACTTTAAACCCCACGACATTGAATTCGCAAAGAGCTTCATTGGCGTCTGCTCCATCATATGCTTGGGCGCCACACTCTTCACTTTTCTCACTTTCCTCATCGACGTCAAGCGGTTCCGCTACCCAGAGCGCCCAATTATCTTTTACGCCGTCTGCTACAGCTTTGTCTCGCTCATATACTTCATCGGTTTCCTGCTTGGAAACAACGCTGCCTGCACATCACAACCCACTGGAGTGGAGACTGTGGTCCTGGGGTCTCAGAGCAAAGGCTGCACTCTGCTTTTCATGCTGCTCTACTTCTTCTCCATTGCTGGAATCGTCTGGTGGGTCATACTCACCATCACCTGGTTCCTGGCGGCGGGGCCCAAGTGGAGCTGTGAGGCCATCGAGAAGAAAGCGGTAGGTTGCTTTAAAGAAGAAGACTTAATCTATAAGATGTCTGGGAATGGTGGATGCTGTTGAAATCATCAATGTTCATGTCGTTTCTCTGTAGGTGTGGTTCCACTCTGCTGCTTGGGGTATCCCTGGGGCGTTGACCGTCATGCTGCTGGCTCTGAACAAGGTGGAAGGGGACAACATCAGTGGAGTCTGCTTTGTGGGGCTCTATGACCTGGATGCCCTGCGTTACTTTGTTCTGGCTCCTCTCTGTGTGGGTGTAGTAGTGGGCCTCTTCTTAATCCTGGCAGGCATAGTTTCTCTAAACCATGTCCGGCAGGTAATCCAGCACGACGAGCGCAACCAGGAGAAGCTGAAGAAGTTCATGATAAGAATTGGCATATTCAGCGGCCTCTACCTGGTCCCTCTGGTCACTCTGTTAGCCTGCTATACCTATGAGCAGAGCCACCGCAGCACCTGGGAGAATACTTGGATCAATGACCGCTGTCAGGAATACAGCATCCCGTGCTCGTATAAGGTAGCTGCAGCTATTCATTTGTTCAAGTTGTTTCTGCTGTGAACAAGTCAAGTTCACGACAGGCTTTCAAATTCACTGTGTTCCTTGTGGGGCTGCTGGAGAATGGCAAAAATCAGAATCACAATTAGGAATGGGCAATATGGGCTAATACATTTATCACGAGAAGATTTGCCATTCTGGCGATGATAATTAAAGTCCAGACAGAAAAAGTTATAATTCCAATCTATACTTTTGACTCATTTTGTCTTGAAAACACCAGTTGGAGTAGTCAAATAAGATACTTAACCACATGTTTAAGATAATGAGCTGCCAAAAACGTCTTCTTCATTACATCGGCCATGTTTGACGAAGTGAAAATGAGAGTTGCGCCCATGCTGTGTTGATGAGGAAGAAAGAGATGTGTCAATCAATGTATAGTACTTAAAGACCCACTCCGATGAAAATTATGTTTTTCTTGTTTTTTTATATGTTCATATGGCATTTTTCTGATGCTACAGGACATATCATGAGAAAACTAAACGCAAAATTGCTTTTCTGAGTATTTCTTCATTTAGGTCGCTGTGAATCTCTGTATTGCAATGCACGTACGAAAGCTAATTGTGATATTAGCTTCCATCATGTCCCTTAAGACATTAGTGTCCGAGAGCTGAATAGCTTCTATGTTACCTGCCTCTTCTACTACACTGGTAATGCTAGGCTATAAGCTAACATAACGAGGAGTGTGCAGAGTTGCACTGTCTCCACCCACAACTCAGAGGTGAATTGCTAATGAGCTACTGGAGCTCTACAAAAGCCCTTGAAAATGATACAGGTAACATGATTTTTGGTAAAAACTTCATCATCTCTAATAGAAAGACTGCTGACAACACTTTAAGTTGTTAAAAGAAAAACGATCGGAGTGGGACTTTAACATGGGCAACACAGCATGGGGTAGAATCATCGAATTTGGATTGAAATAAAATTTGGATTGATCGCTAAGCTCTACATCTTAGTAATGTTTACTTAGTTTGAATATTCTAGTATTGAAACATCAGCAGTTACCTAAAATAACAAAAAAGTCACATTTACATTTATGCATTGTTGAAAAAATGTTAGTTATTGAACAAATAATAATCTGGTCCAGCCAATCCTTTAATGACAGAAGACAGACAAAAGGAAATGAGCGGAGTCACTTCTAAATCTTAAATCGCCAGAGCTTGATTTTTCCTAAATGTGTCTTTATTTTCACAAATCAAATCAAATCACAAAACATCTATCATATCAGTGTGTCTCTCTGTTTCAGACAACAGAGTCTGACCGCCCTGACCTCTCCCTGTTTCTGGTGAAATACCTGATGACGCTGGTGGTTGGAATATCCGCAGTGTTCTGGGTGAGCAGCAAGAAAACCTGTTCTGAGTGGGCCTACTTCTTCAACAGGACTCGCAAGAGAGAGTAAGACCATATGTCTTGTACGGTATGTTCAGATAAAGGTCATGTTAGAAATTTGAGCTTTCATAAGAAATGCCCCTGTGTCTTCTCTAACCCACAGTCCAATCAGTGAGAGCCGCAGGGTGCTCCAGGAGTCCTGCGAGTTCTTCCTCAAGCATAACAGTCGAGTCCAGCACAAGAAGAAGCACTACAAGTCCAGCTCCCACAAGCTCAAGGTCATCTCAAAATCCATGGGAACAAGCACCGGCGCTGTACCCCCCAATGTTTCCGCCGCCGCTGCCTCCACAACCAATCAAGGAATCTCGGCGCTCGGCAATCATGAGCCTTATGTGCAAGGTTCTCTCTCTGAGGCTTCAGTCAGGGAGCACCTTGAGAGAGGCGCCTCCAGCAGGAGCTCCAGGAGGGGGGAGAGGGAAAGGGAGAGAGATGTGGGTGAGAGACGTAACAAAGGGGGGAGCTCCAGTAAGATCAGCAGCCGCTCTAGCTTACACAAAGCTCCAGAGGGGAGGTGAGTAGAGCAGGTGTGAGTTATCTTAGCTTGAATTCACAGGTGTTGTATTCTCTTCATTTTACCTCATTTGAACATTTCTCAGCACAGATTCAAGACGTAAACTGAATATGATACTTTACATGTCAATATAACACACATGTCTGTCTTTAATCAGCTGTGATATCTCATGTGTCCTGGCTGGTTTAGGATGACTCCAAGGAGTGAGCTGTCAGAGGTCAGGCCGGTCCCAAGTGCACAGCAGCATCCAGCTTTAACCCCGTCACACAGCAGCAGTATCCAGGACACCACCACCACCACCCACCAGCTGGGCCACCAGGTCCCTGAGGGGAGCAAGGCCACACAGGACAACAACTCCTGAGACTTCAAAACCACAAACCTTACTGTGCATCCATCCATCTTTAAAACCACTCAAACAAGTTACACTGAACTGTTTAATTTTCCTGTTTCTGTCTCATAAACTCCATCATCAGATTATAATCATGTTGGTCAGCCTGTAGTGAGTGAGTGAATTTTGCTCTGACCATATGTGCATACCTCAGTTGTTCTGAATGTGGTTTGTTTTGAACAGAATGTATGATTATTCAGCGGAGGTAGAAAAAAGAAAGAGTCCTTCAGCTTTACTGAGCTTTTTAGCCTTTATTTTTATACTGTACTTTACTGTATTCCTCTCATATATATCCAACAACTCTCCTTTAATTTTGCATGCATTAAGTACTTTGATTACAGTTTTTAGATTTTAAACTAAATGGCATAGGAAAGAAACTAGTAAATATGCATTATTTATGCACTTATTGTGTTATTACTGTTAAGTCTTCCACTGGACTAGTCGTTACACTGAGTTGCGTTATTTAAGGTCAAGTTATTGCCAAACGTAAAACATTTAGACAAGTCTTTAAATGGCAATCTAACTTTTTAAATGTCTCTGTTCTGTCTGGAGTGGTTGTTTCTCTCATAAACTCATGAAGTGATACACAAGTCTGCTACTCTACAGCTCCTGTGTAAAAATGATGAAAACTACTCTCAAACTTGATTTAGATTATTTTTTTTTAGAGAAGGTTGGATCTTTGTTTCTTATTTTCTTTCTGAAGCAGTATTTGTACTTGTTTCAGATGTTGCTTCTCTTTAACCAACTTCAGAGAGCCTGCAGATGGTTCACACATGTGGTGTGAACATATGTTCTTGGTGTAAATTCCTGTGATTTGAGTCCAATTTAGAAAACTGATAAAAGACTTTGCACTATATGTCATTCGAAGCACAAACATACCATTATCAAGTTTGGGAGGTCATAAACCCCTAAAAGTGACACTTGAGACCTGGTTTGGGAGTCATTTGTAACATGTTTATCCTTCAGACATCTTGTTGCATTTATTGAACAGCTGTTTCACTGCATTGTCTGCTCTGCTGTGTGGGGGGAACTTGATTTCTCACTGTTTTATTTTGGATAACAGGACAACTCCAACGACTTTTATCACATAAGGGAAACCCTGTCTGTGTGTTTCAGGTTGCGGATGAACTGTAGATCATACTGAGATTTTTTAGTTGATGGATGTGGGTTTTATGATGTGCTAGACTGAGTGTTGTCTGTTAGATATTTTATACGGCATTGAACCGTTTTTTTTATACTGTTACCTGCCTTGTCAACTCAGTTTTGTACCAATCCAATGTCATTTTAATAAAAAAAAGAGGAAATTAAAAGAGTGAGTTATTAATAAAGTGAACTCATGTTTAAAGAGGTTAAAGGTTGCACTCAGCCACATAAAAGGACAACGTCTAGTCTCTCTGGCACCCCTTCATTACCCAGATGATCATCCATGAAGATGCCCTTGGACTTTTCTTCAAAAAGAAAAGAAGAAAAAAAAACGCTTCTGGAAGTTGACTGGCTCCCTCCTTTTTTTGTCCTGCCCTCCTAGCTGGCTGGAAGTGGAGTCAGACTGTCGCCTTAGATCTCATAGGAAGCACACACAGACAGACACACAGGCTTCTCGTTGTCTGTTCTATGATGTCTCCTCTTGTTGCCCGTCTGCTGCTCCTTGTCTTCTTGGCGATACCCCTCTATGGCGTGGAAAAGGTGAGAAATAGAGGATACCGAAAGGATCCAGATGCTGACAAGGTGAGAGACAGACCGACCATCCAGTATTCTCGAGATGTAGATGTGCCGTTCCCAGGGAGATGTGTGCGCTTTGGTGAAAGGCTGTACTATCGTTATCCATCGCGTTTTTTTGACGAAACTCGGGCCTAAACTAAAATTAAATGATGTACTCTTTTTTCTCTTTTTTCCTCTTTGGGTTAGTTTTTATTGTGGCATGCATTAGTGTTTCTGGGTAATCATTCAGACTGAATCCCCCACGTGAAAAAGTCATGCTGAGAACTGAGTCGTGCGATCCACCAGCTGGTTCATGGTCCATTTAGTGGGATTATCACTTAAGCCTAACAGTCTCCAAAGTTACCTGGTCCAGGCAGCTCATAATGTGGGCTACTGAGTTATATATTATTTTAGGGGGGTCAGTGGGTTCTCTAGTATTCAAGGTTTGGCTGCTCTCCAGTAGACTGAGGGGGCAGATAGAAATCCCCTAACGGGAAGTGGGGTTCTGCCTGATCCCCTCCTTGTCTGTCTCTGTTTTCTGTCTGTTTCCTAGTGTTCACTGTCGTCTGGGGAGGAAAAGCATTGATACTGGCATTTTTAGCAGGTTAAGGCAGGCTATCTGATATTTGTTAATACTTAAAGATGGGTTCAACAGTTGAAGTCCATTGCAACCACTCACTCCATCCTTAATCACAGCCTGTCGTTGATTGGTATTACATAACTCTGCATGCTGTAGGTGGAGGATCAAGAAACAAAGTGGGCACACACTGACCTCCTCAATCTCCTGGAATTCGAACGAAAGTGAACTACTGAACTTTTGTTTGTATATCTAGAACTCTGTAGATCCCACAGTCTATGGTAGATCCTCCTTCAGCAGTCTGCATCCCCCCACCACCCCAAAAACCCACAGAGCCCAGGCGGTTACTGTTTATTATCCCCCAAAGTCATATTCCACAATTGAGACCACAGCAAACGCATATAATAAAGCATTTTATGTTAACATCTGTATTTAGTGTACTGGAAATGATGCAGAAAAGCCAAACTGCACCTCAGTCTCTGAAGAAAGAAGATCTGCTTATTTGAACCAAATGGTAATCATGAAATGCTAATTTGCATCCTCTCAAGACCCTCTGAATGAGGCGCTCTGACAGCATAACATTATGTGCGCACTCTGTCTGCATGCTGCAGGAGAGCTTCAGTGCTTGCTTCAGTGTTGGCCCATGCATGAAATACTACTGATTCCTCTGCACTTCAGGGCAAGAGCAGCTCGTATGCGTCACTTACAGTAGTGGACTGTGTGCTGTACTAATATCCAGGGGGACTGGATTTTAATTCGTGCAGGCGGCATGCACCGCTATAGAAACAGCAGCCTGGTTTGCTAATGTTGAATTCAGCTGTGAAGCTATGTGGACAGAGGCTCCATTCATTAGCTTGCCTTGACAGTCTCCAAAAGTCCAAACCTTAAATGAAATACAGACCTTTCCCCGCTGGAAATCAACCAAAGGGGATTCATGCTGTGTTTGCGTCATTTTTACACTGAGACACCTCTCAATAGGAGCATGGAAAACGATCCCTTTTGCCTGAAGACAAATTCTAGCTCGATTAGGGCATATGCATACCAACCCACAAACCATCAAAGATTTCCCAGTTTCCTATAGAGACAGTGACCTCACATCTCCAGGTCGCTCCAGCATTTTAGCCTCTTAATGACTCAAACAGACTCCAAACCATCTGTTTCTCAAGCAGCTGATGGAAGAAAACTGTAACTCTCTTTTCAAGCATTTCCCAAATTTAAATAGTCTGAATTAGTGGTTTTACTTTACTCCAGAGACTCCAGTTGGAACTAGATGTTGAAACTAAGGTAAAAGCGCTTTGTTTCTCCCCTTCTTGCCTTAATGCCTTCTGGCCACACGCCCTCTAACTGCTCCACAGCTGCTTGCTAAGCAAAGGGCAACAATGACCCAAAAAGAAAAACACTTTCAAATCCTTTTGGCATCATTGTTTGCTGAAGGGCAGGAAGAAAGCTTACGTGTTAGTTTAAGTCTGTCTAAACTTAGATGGGGAGGTATAATAAGACAGTTTAAAACAACAACAAAAATACAACTAAAAAGAAACTTTACGCAGCTAACCTTCACACTGTAATCTGCTGGTTTGAGTTTGTATTTTTTGAAAAACAAAATACACAAAGTTATCTGGGATCTTCATTGTGTCTCTCCCAGTATGTGGTAGGAATGTTTTGGCAAGCTTCCCTGTCTCTGTGTGTCGTCTGAGCTACTGACTCAGCTTGTGAAAGATCTGTTTAAACAGCAGAAGATTCAGCTGGACAATGAATCACGCATGGGATTTGAGGCGGGCCTCCTGCAAATTTAGGTTGTCAGCGAGCCTTCAGTTCCTCATTAACACACGGTATATCATTCACTTGCTTCATGGCTTTATGGGTGCTGGCTCTGTCTCTTTACCTCGGTCTGAACACAGCTGTATCTGCACTTTTCAGCTCTGCAGCAGTGTGAGTGTTTACACAAGTGGTTGATAGGGTGTATTCTGGCAGCCATCAGGTGTTTGCGGCGAAAATCAGCCCAAACACAGACTTCTCCCCAAGGAGGGATAAATAACAAACCCTAAACAAGAAGTTAGAGAAGAAGCGTCTGCTGTGTAAAACATGCTTCTCATCAGTTACAGCTTCCATCGTGACCTTTTCTTCACCCCGTTTTACAGTTTGGCAGTTGCATGCAAGGTCCGGCAGGCACCCCTGGGAGAGAGGGTAACCCAGGAACTAACGGCATCCCAGGTACGCCGGGCATTCCTGGTCGTGATGGACTGAAAGGTGAAAAAGGAGAGTGCGTTAATGAGATCTTTGAGGAGCCTTGGAGGCCCAACTACAAGCAGTGTGCCTGGAACTCTCTGAATTATGGTATCGACCTGGGTAAAGTAGCCGTGAGTATCTTGATACACTGACTAACAGGTTTCTGACGTCAGTGCAGATTTGCAGAAATGTTACATAACCCCCCCGTGATGCATAGAAGAGGCTGAATTTCTCTGTGGTGTGCTGCAGGACTGCACGTTTACAAAGATGCGTTCAGACAGCGCTCTGAGAGTCCTCTTCAGTGGTTCCCTCAGACTGAAGTGTAAGAACGCCTGCTGCCAGAGGTGGTACTTTACCTTCAATGGAGCAGAATGCACAGGACCCCTGCCCATAGAGTCCATCATCTACTTAGACCAAGGAAGTCCTGAGCTCAACTCAACCATCAACATCCACAGAACATCCTCAGGTATGAGTGTTGACATGGGCTTTGATATGCAGTGGACCACCTGAAACGAGAGTTATCCTCAGTTAGGGCTGGGCGATATGGGCTAAAGTTTATCACAATACATTTTTTTTATCACGATATGAAAAAAGAAATTTGCTTGTCAATCTTGAATGTTCCCGGTTACTCTTAAATGGAATTTAACAGTGCTTATTGGTAGCATGTCTTTTGCAGAACAATAAGCTACTGCATCTGTGAGGACTTTGTGTCTCTTTGACGTTTTGTCGTAAGACGTTGCGCTAGAGAAAGCGGACTGGTCGGCTGCATAAGCGCCATAGGCTCCTCTCTCCACTCAGGGTTTGTAACCTTTTCCATTGTGCGTGTTCTGCCGCGTGGCACTCTCCTTTCCATTGGCTCTTCGTATATTCTACTAAACATGGCAGAATGCTGACAATCAAAAACCATATTGACCGTGTTTTTTATCGGTATAGAGGGCAATTAATTTTCAATATATATTGTTATCGTTTTATTGCCCAGCCCTATCCTGAGTGCAAAGTCATGCTGTGGTATCAAAGTATAAGTTCAGGATTTGAGGCAATATTCTTGGAAACAATTAGTAAGTCTAGCCTTTTTTAAAAGTCACCAAATCTGCCCACTAGTATGTCTTCAACACATCAAGTAATGTTTGGCTCATAACAGACATTTCAATGCTTGGAAACGAGCCCCTCCAGCTGTTTCTTTGTTTCCAGTCTTTGTGCTAAGTGTAGTCTGCCAGCCGGCAGCTGCAATTAAATGATTTTAACTGCTGTCTCCACAAACTCTGACAGAAACCCTCCCTGTTAGATTTTGGAAATTTCATTAGTGTCAGAGAGCGGTAACTGTAATCTCTGGGTGTTCCCTGAAAATTCATTTGCAATATTTTCTCCTTTTCATCCTCCCCAGTTGAAGGGCTGTGCGAGGGCATCAAAGCAGGGTTGGTGGATGTCGCCGTGTGGGTGGGGACCTGTGCTGACTACCCCAGAGGTGACGCATCTACAGGCTGGAATTCAGTATCCAGGATTATCATTGAGGAACTGCCAAAATAAAAAAAAAGCATGCTCCATATAAGGGAGGGACCAGTCTTGGCAGTATAAGAGTATGTTATCTGGCTCTCCAAAATGATCAGGTTTGCTCAGCCGAGGCGTCACAGCATCACTGATGGTAACTTGAATGTTTTATTGTTTTGTTTAAATACTATAATAGTTGACAGACCTATAAAAAGAGGAAACTGTGTCACACTGTTTACCAGAAATAAACTCTGTACTGTAGCTTCTCTGCTTGTGGGTGCTTTAGGTGCATGGTCACCACCAATTAATAGACATTTTGACAAAACACAGACATTTATACTCATGTGACTTGTTTGTATTCATTATTGTTAATAAACTTGTTTTTTTTTTAAGATTTCAATTCCAAGAACATGGTTTTAATGTGTAAGTGCTCTGAAATACAACACACCTGATCCAGCGCAGTCACAAAATAGTATATTTAATGCACTCTATACATCACATGTTGACAATGCAGATAGAGCCCTGTTGGGACTTTGAAATAAAAACTTGAGCACTGCGGTTAGAATTTGTTTCTAGAAATAACAAAAAATCCAAAGAAACATATAAATTATGAGAGAAATGAGTTGATGTGCGTGAATGAAAATGATCTTCATTGTATCCGTCTGTTTAAAAAGGAAAGAAATAATTTAAAAGAGACAAAACTATAAAGCACGCATGCAAATGGAAACCTTAACAAGATATCTGATTAGCAGTTCGTGATCTGCTTTCCATTTTTTAGCATGTCTCCCGTTCAGCTGCCAGCAAACATCACATGTAAACAGAACTATGACAAAACACGTTTACCCTCCTCTTTTTTTCTCTCAACACCAAATTCTTGGTGTTGCATCAAAAACGACAGACCGAAATCCCGACGGTGTGTTCTTTGGCATCCGCAGCAGGGTACGCTTTCCTCACGAGTCAAAGTGTTAGATGTGCATCTGAATGAGAGGCTGATGTGATCTTAGACGCCAAACTATTACACACTAATGGTTCGTGCTCACAGAAATCAGCTGTTGATTCCATTTTCAGTGCAGATGAATTCTCCTTCTACCTCAGCACTGAAATTCAGCTTCATTCTGATTTCTCTCACTCTTTTCAGACGCTTGTGTCAGTGTGAGCTCAGAAGTCTTTGCAGCAGTCCGTGCCGTGCTAGTACGACTCATTTACTCGGTCCCATGAGGAGACGAGACACATTCTCATACACTACAAATGTGATACAGCAAGCAGGGGTGACACGAATCAAGTTTGGGATGATGCCTTTGTAGAAACCGATGGCGCCTTCGTTTCTGCGGGGGGAGAGGAGAAAAGACAATGAATCAAATAGAACACACCTTCATGTAACAGCCATGTTTCGACAGTCCGACCAGGATAGCAGGTACAGCTCCTCTGAGACTGGATCAGTGCAAACATACCTCCATGTCCGTCCGATGACATCAATAACTCCATTGTATTTATTGTGCTGGTCTTGCAGGCGGGCTCGCACCACCTGATACGGGTATGTTGTGGCCACGGCGAATAGTTTGGATAATGCCGCCATTGTGATATACTCCAAGGCGTTCTGTGTGCACAGATAAACGCATGCAGAAAGTGAGAAGCTTGCTGATGAGTCATTTTTTCAACTACAGCTCATTTGGAGCCGAGTCTACATGCACTCAAAAGTTCCAGGCTTTAGGTCGGAGTTTGATGTAAATCTGGGCATGTTTTTGGACTGTTTGTGGCTCATGGGGTTAATGACTCACCAGCTTCTCCTCTGAAGGCGCTTTCCTGTATTTGTTGTAGTCTCTCTTTAGTTCTTCATAGGCCATGAACTGCAATGCTCCATGGGATGTGCCAAAAAGACCAGGAACATAACCCTTTGAAAAGAACGGCTTTGTAAGTCAGTCTTCCAGGAAACACTCGGACATCATGTTATGCATTAGCTTGAAATGAGCTGTTTGTGGCCCTCTGTCTCATCGTAAAATAAACATGTACTCAGGTTTTCCAGAGGATTCTGTCCATAAATAGTCTTGACATTTCGAGACAATCAACTCAAAATTGTAGGATGCTAAAATGCTGCTCCAAAAGTCTGGATGTTATAACAACTAGTTACATGACTCAAGTCCCCTACGACAGCAAATATGAGCTGGTAACGCCCTCTAGAGGTGATTCATGAACCAACACACCACTTACTCTGATCAACCAAAACATTATAACCACGGGTGGGTAAATTTGATTAGCAGTGGGTGGGCTATGATGAGCAGAAGAACATTTTGTCCTCAAATTTAATATGTTGGAAGCGAGAAAACTTGGCGAATAAAAGGATGTGAGGGACTTTTACAGGGGCGAAAACTACGTCTGATGGCCAGACGACTGAGTCAGAGTGTTCTCAATACTGCAGCTCTTGTGGGGTGTTCCCAGTCTGCGGTGGTCAGCGCCTCCCAAAAGTGGTTAAAGGAAGGACAAACCAGCTAACAAACAACAAGATCATCATGGGCCACAAAGGGAAAGGAGGTTGGCTCATCTGATCTGGGCTGAAGTTGCTGAAACAGCTGATACTGTAAGGGACTGATAGTGGACCTGAGAAGGACAGAGACACCAGTTCCTGGGTGTCAGTGTGGAGATTGTGGAAGACTACAAGAACAAGAACCTGGGAGTGTACTTGGGTAACAAACTGGACTAGTCTAAGATCTCTTAAGCTGTCTTCAAGAAGGGCTTCAGCCGTCTGTACTTCCTCAGGAGGCTGAGGTCTTTAACATCTGCAGGACCATGCTGAAGATGTTCTATGAGTCTGTGGTGGACCAGTGTGATCCTGTTTGCTGTTGTGTGCTGGGGCAGCAGACTGAGGGAAACAGACCCTGACAAACTCAACAAACTCATCTGCAAGACGGGTAACTTTGTGAAGGTAGAGCTGCACTCTCTGACGGTGGTGACAGAGAGAAAGATGTTGGACAGCATCCAACACCCACTCCATAACGTGCTGGTTAAACACAGGAGCACATTCAGTGCTGGACTCAATCCCCCTAAATGCACCACAGAGCCTCACAGGAAGTCATTCTTACCTGCTGTGACCATCAAACTTTATAACTCCTCCTTCTGAGTCTCACACACTCGGACTGTCCCTGGGCTTACTCTCATGTAGCAGCTGCAAACTTCTCCACTGCATAAAATTACATTCAACCGTGCAATCTGTTTGTAAACTAGTCCAACTTTAATGATCTAAAAGTACAATACTGATAATAACATTGTTTTTAAGCTACACTGTGAAACACTCTGTTAAACTGTATAATACTCAGTGCAATACCTAATGCTACAAACTGGTTATGTATACACCTCTTACTTTTTATGCTTGTACACAGCTTGTTCTTAAAGACAGCACTTTATTAATAGCTTCATTTCTAATATTCTGCACGTTTACTAATCATTGCAATTTCTAATTTATTCTTTTTAATTCCTATTTTTAGTGGTCAGGTGTGAATAGTGCTGGTATCCACACCAGAACTGATATTATATTGGCAGATATCATAATATTGATGCTAGAACTATACATTATATTAATTATATTAACACCTCAGATTTGCTATTTTCTTTGTGCCTAATCAGAGGTGACCAGATGTTCCTGCTTCAACAACAGTATATATGGCTTAAAAAATGCTCCAAATTATACTCTGAAGATGAAGATTGAAGATGCCATCACTAGGGATGGAAAAATGCCTCTTGCATTTAGAAAAAAAGACATAATGAAATTAGGTGAGACGATGCCCATACACCATGACGTCAAACACCATAACTCAGCCTATGTAGTCTCTCTCTCTATCAGGAGCTCTGATCTTTATGATACTAAAAGTCTGTTCTCCTTCACTCTGAGCTGGATCTTTTCCAGTGGTCCCCTTATAGATTACACTGTGACATTTTTATTATTATTATTATTACAGTGGACCTACTCACTGCAGACACATTACTGGAGCTTGCAAACATATGCTGACACAACCATGTAGATGTGGAATTGATATAATAAATATACATTTGCATCTTTGAAACGTTGATTTTTTTGACATAAAAATTCCTCAGACTGAAGTCTCACGGCTCTTCAATATAACTAGAAATACACGAGGGAACAAATGTCACCAACGTGATGCATTGTGGGATTTATACTTGGGCTAATACTGCTTAGCAGTGGTCTTACCAATGGAACAGATTAAGTGCAAATCAACTGCACTGCACTTCTGACTGTTGGAGGAATGAAGCACATCTGTGAACTGACAATAAGCACATGAACGCTCACGCCAAGCTGTAATAACTGTGATGATGTGATCATGTGAGTGTAATGGGGCAGCTCCTGGTCTCCAAAGAGCTCAGTCTATTCGAGTCTCTGCTAGACATGTTGGAAAAAAACCCAAGTCTGATCCTACCCTGCAACTTCCAGGACTTACAGGATCTGCTGCTAACCTTAATAGTTCTTGCAGAGTCCATGTCTTGTCAGGTCAGGGCTACTTGGCCTTGACTTGACTTCGAGGCAGGTGGTCACTATCTTGTTATTGGTTTGAGTAATTTTAGCATAAAAGAAGAAGAGGTGCTGTTGTACTTCCTCTACTAAACAGCTCACCTATAATTTAAAGGGATATTCCGGCGTAAAATTAATTCAAGGTCAAACACACCGTAACACCGAGTTAGACACCCCCTTGTGAGATGAATGTTGCCGACTGCTTGCTTCTCTAGTTATACCAACTTTTTTAACAACTGCAGGATAGCAATACACAGCGGTCTGAGGCAAATAAGGCAAAGCTAAAAAGATGTTTGATAGATAGTACTATGGCTAGGACCCTATATGTACTGTTGATGAAGATAGGTGCTGTTCTGAGCATTATTTGTAGCTATAGAGTGGCGTTTCGGTTGAGGTTTGTTTATGGCTCCTCAGGCCGCTGTGTATTGCTATCTTGCGGTTGTTAATAAAGTCGGTATAACTAGAGAAGCAAGTGATCGACAACATTCATCTCTCCAGGGGGTGTCTAACTCGGTGTTACTTTGTGTTTGACCCTAAATTAGTTGTACGTCGGTATATCCCTTTAAAGGAGGTGTTATCAAATCCGATGATATGCGGAGGTCTTACCTTGTATAGTCCTCGCAGCCCCTCATGGCGGTAAATCTTGATGAGGGCATCAAGCATTCCCCTGTACTGTTTACTGGAGGGGTCAGCGTTGTACTGCAGCACTAGCCGGGTCTTGGTCACCCAGATGGGGTTGGTTATGGTGAGTGTTAGGATGCCTGAGGGCAGACAGGGAGGCATTTAGAGACTCTGTAGTTAGATACCCATTAACTAACATGGTGACAAGTGTGGTTGTTGAATGTATGTAGTTAAAACTCGACTCCCTGTCTTTGTCAGACAAGATTGAGTGGTTTGGTTACAGCTGAATCAAACTTAAAAGAGACATGGTTCTCATGAGAGCTGAGTAGGGGAAGAAAGTAGTTCCAGACTTAGAGACAAGTCAAGACTTATCCATAATAGAAAGGCCACAATTATATCCTGTGCCTGAGATCCTTGCCTCTAATTTTGGGATATAGCTGTGAGTCTTCCTTAGTCTGTGAAGCAAGAACTAAACCCTTCAGAGTAATTTAAAGTAGCATGTCTTAAATAAAGATGTATGAAGGTATTTTATTCAAGTGACAGTGGCTCCTACCAACTGGAAAAGCATGACTGATAAAAATCTAATTGTGCCCAAGAAATGTAACTCAATGAAAACAGCTGCCCTGGCTGACATCCCTTTTTAAGCATAATTTAAGCCTCTAACCTCATTTGGCCTACAGGAAACATACACATGTGACTCCATGGGAGCGAGCACAAGGGGTTATCTGCCTCCTGTCTGCTCAAGCCAGCTTGGGGCAGTACTATCTTGCTGTTGTTGTTTGCCTCAGGACGGTTGTGTGTCAGCAGGGCAGCAGTGTCTTGATCTATGTGGGACTAACCTGCTTGGGCTGCGGACACCAGGTGCTCTGTGGCGCTTAATTCAGTTTGACGGCCCTCCTTCGTGTAGCTTTTGATGGCGTTGTAGCTTTGAGGTGAGAAAGTGAGAATAGTTTTTAAGTCATGACAAAATGACAAAAATGTATGAATGATAAAACAGGATAAGAAGGTATTGCTTACGTACAACAAGAAGTAGAGACCCCAGGATGCTCCTGCACCCCAGACATTAGGTGTCACTCCTTGGTAAAGACCCCTCAGTCCCTCCTGCTGCCAAACACTCCTCATACAGTGAAATATGCCACTGTACTTAGGCCGTACATCTAATCCATCACTTACTACATGGAAATGACACAAATTACATGTACATTAGTATGAACATAAAGACATTATCTAGCAGTGATAACACCAGGCTGTCACTAACATGCTTTCAGAGCATATGGTGTGATACTGCAGACACAGCATAGTCATACATTCAACAGGTTTAAGCTGACGAGAACTGAAGTGTTTCAAGTGACTTAAAAGACTTTGAAAAGATAAACAAGTGTTAATAAGTCGTTTTACTCTCATGTCTTCTTGTACCTGCAAACCTGATTTTGACCAGATCCAGAGGGTGAAGCACCAGCGTTGATACAACTCCTCCACTGAGTCCTGCCACCAGGTTTCCTATCCTCACATGGCTGAAAACCTGTTTCACATGCCCACCTAATGAGACAGCGGGGACTGGTTTGCCGGACAGCCCTGTTTCTGACACGTTCACGGGTCCATGGTTTGGAGCAGAGCTCATGTTTATTGGTAAATTCCTCCGCTAGCTCCGCGCGCAGCGTGAGCTCTCTGTTGGCTAAATCAAGGGATCGTCTACTTGTAAAAACTTGTCTCTGCTGGAGTTTCTGAAAACGCCACAAAAACGAGACTAACTCCAAATCTCCACACTGACACTACACCTAAACCACGTTGCTGACATGCGGTAACACCCCATGGCCGAGGTAACATTATCCAAAATGTCAAACAGTAGTGCCGCTTGCTCGACCTTGCTGCCAATGTCCATTATATCAGTAAGAGGTAGTGCTTCCGGTCTGACCCTTCAAAATAAAATAATCTAAAGCAAACCTTTTTATTCATTTTCCCGTGAATTTATGTCATGAGTAGAGCCCGACCGATTTCGATTTTTTGGGGGGCCGATCCTGTCCACTCGGATTTTGTGTATTGTGAGTAAAGTTAGGTCCTCTGTGCTAATATAGTTATTTAAATTGATAAAGTAACTGTAAATTCCCTTGGATGAGGCTGTGCTGAAAAAAAAATGATACCAAGCACGGCAAGATAAACCGTTTTTAAGGGGAAATATGAAGGTAAAATTAAACGTAGTTAAAAACGTCCAATTATACTCCAAACTCCAGAGGACTAATGCTTTGACTGTATAGTTTTTAACAAATTTTTCATTTTTTATTAGTTTACGGCTGTCGCTGTTTTTAGTTTGAAAAATAAAAATATCGTTTCCGTTTTCTCGAGCAGAATTCTGCAACTTAATATCTCTTCCGTCTCATCTTGTGACGCAACGAGGAGGTGTAGACATCCCACAATGCAACGCGTTACCTTTGACCCCTCTTCCCCAGCACATGGCTAGCGGTTGATCATTTTTCTGAGTGTTTGATTTGATCATAAATCTGTTTATTAGTGTTTGATCAGTCTGTCTGCTGCCAAATGAAAGTCAAAGTCCTCTCGAGAAACCCGGATGATTATGTCCGAGAGACCAAACTGGACATTCAGCGGGGTGAGTGTACAGGACTGTTTGCTACATTGACTACCAGCTCGGTTTGTGTTTGAGGTGTAGGGGAGAGTGGGGTAAGATGAGACATGTCTTCATATTTCGGATCACTACATCAAGGCGTTCATGGTTACAAACATAACTTTCTTGATAATATGGCATGCCGAAAAAGTGGTCCCCTATGGTCAACTTACCCCGTGTATGTTTGGGGTAAATTGACCATAGGAGCGGGGTAAGTTGAGCTGTATCTCTACAACCCCCCCACTCTCCACCCCAACCCTCCCTTACCTTCTCTCTCCCTAAATAACAGTCACTTCTTCACATTCATGTGTATTTTTATCTATTATACATTCTTCAACTGGTACAATAATTCTTTTTTATTATTATTGCATTTAAGTGCTAAAAAGCTGTTTTGTTCTTTTACCATTTCCAAACAACAGGGGGTGGCTCAATTTACCCCTCTCTCCCCTACATGAGTTGAATTGTCCTAAAGTAAATGTTCCCTTTGCTCATAGAGGAATAATAACTGTCTTATATTAGTTCCCAGAAACTATGACCCTGCACTCCATCCATTCGAGGTGAGCAGAGAGTACACCCGGGCTCTGAACGCCACCAAGCTCGACAGGGTGTTTGCGAAGCCCTTCCTGGCCTCTCTGGATGGTCACAGAGATGGAGTCAACTGCATGGCCAAGCACACCAAGAGCCTCTCCACGCTGCTGTCTGGCGCCTGTGATGGGGAGGTAACTATTTTTGCACCATGTCTAACCAGACGTATGAACTAGCTGTAAGCATGGAGGTGTGACAAGCTTCTTCACTGATGTTTGATTTGATTCACAGGTAAAAGTGTGGGATCTGACCAAACATGAATGTGTCCGCACGCTCCAAGCACATGAAGGTTTTGTCCGGGGGATAGTTGTCCGCTACTGTGGGACGTCTTTCTTTACGGTACCTGCTGCTAGTCCGTCCTTTAAACCCTGAGCCTCGCTAAGACAACAGACTGTTTGTTTTTCTAAATCTTTGTCTGTCTCGAACAGGTCGGTGATGACAAAACTATTAAGCAATGGAAAATGGAAGCGCCAGGTTACGGAGAAGAAGAGGAACCACTCAACACTGTCCTTGGCAAGGTAAAGTCACCGGGTATTTGCTGTGGTATTATGATTACAGGCAGCTGTGGCTGCATCATGGCGAGAGAGGTTGTGCCTGAAGCATCCCTTTGGTTGTACTGAGGATGCTTTTTGTCCCTCACAGACGGTCTTTACAGGACTGGACCATCATCAGAACCAGGCTGTGTTTGCTACATGTGGCCAGCAGGTGGACATTTGGGACGAGCAGAGGAGTAGCCCGATCCGCTCTTTCACCTGGGGCGTAGACAGCTTCAGCTCTGTCCGCTTTAACCCTGTGGAGGTGAGACACAGGCTGCTTTAATGTGCTTTTCATCCATGTCAACACTCATATACTTAAAACTTACTTAAAATAAAACTTGATAATAATCTTGCTGTTATCTGTCCCACAGACTGAACTCCTTGCAAGCTGTGCCTCTGACAGAAGTATAGTTCTGTATGACATGAGAGAATCAGCACCACTTAAAAAGGTAACCCCCACCTGCTGAAGTTCCTGAAGTAAAGGACCCTTCCTCTCCTGTTTCTTTGTGGCGTAATGTTAACTTGTGTCTGTGTGTTTTCCTTGTAGGTTATCATGAAGATGAGGAGTAACACGGTCTGCTGGAACCCTATGGAAGCTTATTACTTCACATGTTCAAATGAGGATTACAAGTAAGTTGAGGATTTAAGGTTCTTACTATGAGAGAGATTCACATCTTTTTTCTCTTGGCATGAGCTGGCTCTGAAACTGAGCTTTGCCTTAACAGCCATAAATGCCCGAGCGTGCACCTCGCAAAATGCAGAGCTAATGCAAGATCCCATCATTGTGTTACCTTTTATGTTTAACTAAAACACAACCTCAATTTTGATATGTGACTTTGTCTCGTCAGCCTCTACACATACGACATGAGATACCTGGACCGGCCACTCACAGTGCACATGGACCATGTCTCTGCAGTACTAGATGTGGATTACTCGCCCACTGGAAGAGAGTTTGTATCAGCAAGTTTCGACAAAACAATCCGGATCTTCCCCAAGAACGCAGGACACAGCAGGTTAGTACAGCCCAGAGCATCAAAACCAAAAACACGAAATGAAGCTTGCTTCTTTAAACAATTTATCTACATCTGATTAAAAACGTTAAATAAAACAAATCAGTCCTCACACTGCAAATATCATGTCTAAACAGATCCTGGCTGCTATTTGATATCAGCTCTGTTTTAAAATGAAACAGTTTGTTGTTGCTTCTGACAGAAATCCCTCTAAAATGTACCGTCTAAGATAATCATGTATCTACCTGCTTGAAAAGGCCTTATTTCATTATGCATTTGATAAATGTCCCCTTTTCATTGTTTAATTTAAGGGAAGTTTATCACACCAAGCGCATGCAGCACGTCATCTGCACAAAGTGGTCAGCAGACAACAAATACATCCTAAGTGGTTCTGATGAAATGAACATCCGGCTGTGGAAGGCCAACGCATCTGAGAAGCTCGGAGTGGTAAGTCCCGCCTCCTCCTCCTCCTATATCATGTCTGCTTAATAAATCCTATTAAGAAAAGTCAACATCAAAGCAAAGGGAGCTTGTTGCTTCTCAGCAGCTTGTTGGTAAACAGTAAGAGTTGATCCGCGCTCCAATAAAACAAGTTTTTTTTCGCTCAGCTGTCCTGCTGTACACGGTTTCTCTCTCTACTCTGTCTGTCCTGATATTGTTGTATGAGCTAGCTGCATCCTCCGACACTGCCATGGCCCTGGGCCCACCTCAGCAGGGTAAAAGTGGGTGCTGATGCCAGGGGCAGCGGCATGATGTTGCCAAATGCCTTGATGGATGCTGACTTAGGGAAGAATCACTCTCAATAAGTACAATGTATCAATTGGCACGGCTGCCATCCTAGCAGGTAGAAGTAAATAAAAACCTCAAGCTCGTGTATTTTCTTATTTTCTTGGAAAGAAACTGTCAAATATTCCTATTTCTTATGCTTTATCTTCAGACTTTTTGTGTCTTGTTTAACAATCACCATGTGCGACAGTGAAGACTGTGTAAGCAGAAATGATCGCCTGGATGCTATTTTATGCTCGTCTGTCAATGAAGCTCACATAAAATGCTGGGAAATGTTCCAGTGCCCCAAATCTCTGCAAGGGCTGTGTAATAAAGATCAATAACATCCCATGTGCCATCTCCAACAGCCATCATTCATTCCTAATCGGACTCACTCTTGCTTATTCTCTTAATGCAGCTTCGGAGTGGAAAATTGGCCTGCTTTTGGCACTTGTTTTACTGTCACTGTGTTAGAGATTTATCCGCAAGCTTTGCACTTAAAGAGATCAGACAAGGGCTGCTCCTATCAGCAGTTTAAATCGGCCAATCACTTAAAGCAGGCCACTCCGAACATAATGAAGCATTAACAATCAAATTGTACTGAAAGGGTCTTTAATTATCAAGAAATGCTGAAATGCTAGATCGAGGCTTTGTCTGTGTCTGTAGGCATCACGTTGGATTAATCAGGACTCCCCCTATCAGCTGCTGCACAGTTTCATACCTCATTTTTACATGAGAAACCTTTGACCCCAGAGAGAAAAGTCCAAAAATAAAGATATCTTGAACGAGATTAGCTCTGATAAATGTGAGGAGGGTTGAAAAGAGAGGAAGCAGTGAGTTACCAAGAAGATGGCAACAACTTAGCATGCCAGCATGACTCATTTGAGTCCACAAACAAATTGTGTTTAAAGGAGCTCTCACTGCTCTATGTTTGGTCAGGGCTGAAGTAAAAACTTTGAAAAGTTTGGGTTGTTCGATGTCGCAGTAGTTGTTTTTGATGATTGCTTTACATCAAGCGACAAAGTAACTTTATTTAAAAGACGTCGTAATGAGTAACAACCCCTGTCCACAGGCTGCGGAGCGAAACGTATAAGCAGCCAGCTACACTGCCTTTAATGCTCACTCAGTGTATACACTGAAAGTGTTCAGTCACTGTAGTGCTGTGTGCTCACTTTTGCATGAACCCAATACTCAAGTCAAGCAAGTCACACATGCAAGTCCGAAGACGACTTGTGAAGCCTGAAAAGTGTGGGTGTGAGGGATACTGGGTCCGTATGTTGATAGAGTAGATGTCTGTATTTGTTTAGGACACAAGTACAACTTTAACTCTGAAGGGTTTGGTTTTAGCAATATTGTCTTTCAAGATTCATCAGTCTTAGTCAAATCCAACAAAGAGTGCTCTTTGTTTTGTTTGTTTGCAATAATTCATTTAAATTCATGTCACAGTTGTGTGTTTTACCGTGTTTTTTCAGTGGAGATTATTTCTGGCATGTGCTGGCCGTTGGCTTCACTCTCTACTCTGGCAAAACTGTGCTTGCTTGTTTTCCTCGGTCTTCCAGAGTTTTCCAGGTCTTGGTTGAGCTCAGTGAGATCAGTGTGTAAAAGACTGTGAGGGTCCTGTTTCAGTGGATTTCCAAACTTTGCCATGCTTAAGGACCCCTGCAGCTACTGACCCTCTGGCACATATCAAGACATAAATGATAAAAGTCCTTATTGTCATTCATGTTTACCAATCTTGTCATCACTGCAATCAAACACACTCCTAACAGTGTGTACTTCTTCTGTTATAAACAACAAAACCAGCATTGACAGAACACAAGGCAGTATATTCCTCTGTAACAAATACCAACTTTTCATCAAATCCAGTTCAGCTGGTGGTTAGCATCGAACAACATTCTTCGAAGGCCTTTTTTTCTTTTTTTTATTACACATGACATTTACATCTTCAAGGCTAATTCTGTCTATTTTGTTTTTTTACATCCCCTGTTGTAAAATCTGATAATATCTCTATTTAACAAAGAAAGTACATTACACAAAGGTTTGACTGTGGCTTACTTCAGCAGCATGAGCCTGAAAAAAAACACAAGCATATTTTCTTTTAATTTTCTCACTTAAAGTTGCTGAAATGACAATGTCATAATAAAGATGTGTACAAATACTGATACAGTCATCGTGGTAGGTAATACTGGCACTTTACATTCTTCTGTTTAAGATTTGGTTCATGGGACCAGAATTCAATGACCTTCACACAGTTGTACTTTTTATGCTTTTTCAATCCTTTGTCACTTCAGTGTGTTCTGTTATGAGAGCGCCACCAGATGTAACACACTGCTGTGCCTCAAAATGAACGTCCGTAGTCATGTTTTTATAACGGCTTTTATATTAAAGTAAGTGTAGGTTTCATGTGCCCCACTATCAAAACAAAATCACAGGGACTCTACAAGCTGATATCCACTTTTTGGATTATATTACCATTGTTGAGCAAGCTCATCATGTGTGTAACGAGGGGAATTAGTTCAGCCGACAGGATCAGCGTCTGACAGCTCTTCTACAACAAATTGAATCTGAGACAAATCATTGCTTTTAATTAGAATAAAAGCCTTCCAGGAGGGCGGCCTTGGCCAAGACCAGCCTGAGAAGCTGCCGGGTTTTATGAGAAAGACCGAGGGATGCTGTTGAGCTGGTGTCTTCACTTTTTAACAGACATTGATTCACTTTTCAATGAGTACGTGTCAGGCTGAAATAACTGCTTACTGCTCAGACAAGGGGTGCTAAGATTACAAATTTTAATGGTATGATTATTCGTCTGAGTGATGATTATGGTTTTACTCTAATCATGGTTATTAAGCATTCATCAATTTTGCAACATTACAAATGTGTAAAAGACTTCATGCTGTTTTGCTGCTCTTGTATTTCTTTACTTGAAAGCCAAACTTTCCCTGAAATGCAGTTGACCCCGACACATTTATATTTGATTTCATCAGCCCTCTAGAATAATATCCCTCAGCTATCATTTGTCATCTTTCCCACAATGTCCTGATCAGCTGTCTGAAATACTCGGTTGAAGTCAGTGACCTGACACTGACTTAGTTCATTCTGTCAAACAGGTCTTCTCTGTAGTGCTTGGAAATGCCCTCTCCCTTTGTGCCCCTTTCTCGTGGTGTCCCCCAGGGATCTATCTCGGATCCCCTTTTATTCACTGTATACATGCTCCCCCTAGGGCAACTCCTGCATAGGTATGGTGAGGACTTTCACTGCTATGCAGATCACAATCAGCTCTATGCTTAATTAAAACCTGGCAACACTGATGTCTCTGACTGAAATCAAGAACTGGATGTTTGAAAATGTTCTACAGCTGACAGACTCCAAATCTGAAGTTATTGTCATTACTCCCCCTTCCCTGAATTTAAAGGGATATTCCGTTGTAAATTTAAGTTAGGGTCAAACACACTGTAACACCGAGTTAGACACCCCCTCCAGAAAGGAATGTTGCTGACTGCCTGCTTCTCTAGTTTTACCAACTTCAGCAACGACCGCACCATAGCAATACACCGCAGTCTACATCTCCATGTGCAAACCTCAACCATAAATGCCACTCTATAGCCACAAATAATGCTCAGAACAGCACCTAACTTCATCAACAGTACATATAGGGTCCCAGCCATAATACTAGCCATCAAACATCCTTTTGGCTTTGCCTGATTTCTTTAGCAAAGAGACCAAACACAACTTCCACTCTCCTCCAGCCGCTTGTTTGTAGGGGAGCCCTGACGAGTTGATCACCGAGTGCAGCGGAGTTCCGCTGCTCAAGGAAGAAAATTTATGATCATTACTTAATGGAAAAGCAATCAGATTTTTTATGTATCTTGTTGGTGCACTGCAGACGCAGTAGTTCTTCTGCCTTAGCGTCTCGGTCTGATTTCATTTCCATGAAGTAATAATCATTAATTTTCCGGTGTACTCTGTGATCGACTCTTAAGATTTTTAAAGCCTCTCTTCCAATTCTCCTCTTTATGCACATCTCCTTTCAGCATCTCATACATTTTTGGTCTAACTAATCTATATTTTCTTGTGTTGTAGCTCGGCCCAAGAGAGAGGGAGGCCAGAAACTACAATCAGAAGCTGAGGGAGAAGTTCCAGCACCATCCGCAGATTAAGCGCATCGCTCGTCATCGACACTTACCCAAGAACATCTTCCATCAGAGCAAGGAGCTGAGGATTATGAAAGAGGCTCGCCGGAGGAAGTATGCAGCCCTTACTTTACTCAAAAAGTTGTGAATGAGCTGATTTAGGTGATGCTGACTCAGGCTCCTGTCAGCTTAGGTCTGACCTGTGTAGTCACGGATGAGATCGCCCTCAATGACATGGTCTCAGTAGGACTTACTCATGTACAGCTGTATGGTGGATTGATTGACCCACTTAGTTCTGCTTCGCTGTGATTCATAGCTCAGTCTGCAAGTTTGTTTTTCCTAACTTGGAGTATTGTTACATGCCAGACGTGTTTGACTGTGGATGAGTTGTTCGGTCAACAGTCTGTAATTCCTCTGCCTCTCAGTTTGCCGATCCGTTTCTTCCTCTTCACTACATTCTTTCCTGGTTATTCTTGGACGGCATTATTTACTTCTTCTCTTGTTTTCCAGGGAGAGTAATGTCCGGAAGCACAGCAAACCAGGAGCTGTCCCCGTAGTGTCTGAAAAAGAGAAGCATGTTTTGACTGTGGTCAAATAGGAGCAGTACGAAGAAGAGAAGACAGGAGGACCACAATCGAGAGAGAAGGTGGAGACCAATACTACACCAACATGGGACATTTCCAGACTGTTCTTATTTGAGAATAAAAGGTGTCAATTCTGCATCATTTTAAAGTTTGAGGACACAGACTGTAAATACATGAACAACACATCTTTTTCTTCCTTTATCACGAATTTTGGGTGTTTCTTTTTTTTTTCTCCAGACCAATTACAGGTTCTTTTTTTTATGTGCAAGTTTTTGTTAAAAGCAAAAAAGTTTAAGAAGGTGAGTTTACATGAACCAGTCATGACAAGTATGTTGTATTTATAATAAACTTCTTAACCAAGAAATGAGAATAAAAAATAATGCTGTGAAATAAAAATTAGGAGAAAATTATCTCTATTTCCCAAATCCAAAGTCAACACTAGTTTCACTCTTATTTGTAGTGTGTTACAACAGATCACTGAAATGGTGCTAATTTCCCTAAAGCCCTCATAAGGCTGAGGCTGCATCCTCTTAACTCTGTCCTTCAAATCCAATCAGTGCTCACCTGAGAGAGAGAAAGAGAGAGAGAGGGGGAGAGGGAGAGGGAGAAAAAAAGAGAGAGCTGTCTTTGGGAAAGATCCCAGATCAAGAAGGAGGACTTCCAGAGTGTGTTAGTTTCAAGGAGTTTTAATAGAAATAGCATTTGGTGATCCATAGAAGCGTTATGTTTCCAAACTACAAAAACGTAATTGAGGTTTTAGAAACTTTACTTTACAGTTAAAAGTGAAATTTGGAGTCTGGCTAAGTTAAGGACATATTTTGGGTGCATATACATTTCTTTAGTACTAGTGCAGAGCCGACCCAAGCCTCAATGGCAAAATTTGATTTTCAGTCCCTCTATTTCTGCCAGTAATATTGATTGTTGATCATTCACACACCTTCAAAAATCTCTTTGATTAACATACCCTGACATGCAAACATATCTTTATCTTGGCGTTTTTTCTCTTCTTTCTCTTTCTTTTCTCTGCTCCTGAAGGATATGTCCTTTTTTGCGACATTGTTTTGCCTCACAACTACCTGCTCTTTGGATGCTCAGTGCACATTGCACAGCAGAAGGCACATAACGGTAGTGGAGCTTTGACATATCGGCAGTAAGAATCATAGGCCTACATCAGCAGCAGCACTAAAATGTTTTTATTTTATTTTAATTTTACAGCATATATATATTTGATCATACAGAAAGCATCTCATACATGCAAAAATAAAAAAATATGAAAAAATATATATTATATTGATTGCTTTTGGGGGGCCCCTACTGACTGCGGGGCCCGAAGCAGGCGCTTTGTTCGCTTATGTCTTGGGCCGGCTCTGGATTGGTGTAAATGTTATTCTCTGGATTTATTGATTTATGTGTTAAAGAAGTGCCATCTTGGCCATGTTGACCCCAAACCCTGATTTGACTGAAAGATGTCAGAAGAAAGAACAGACAAAGAAAAGAAAAAACACCGATTCAAAGCAGTCACTTTCCACATTGAATGAGCTTGAGCCAATATTTTGTCTATCTTTGCCACTTTATTTTGAACTAAATACAAAATTTGTTGTACATGTCAAGAGGAGCGTTATCCAAAGCGCACACGAGCCCTGCTTGTGTGTTTACCCTCGTATTTCCCACGTGTCTCTCTCACGGAGCTCATGATCTGGTTATGAAATATGCAGCATGCTCCTCTGTGTTGCTCGGGCATCCAGTCCGTGTTTTTGCGTCCACTATCTGCTGTCAATGAACATCCAGCGCGTCCTTTCAGCTGTCTTCCTCTACGTATTCATCGCCCCGCCCCTTCCTCCTAACTGGATTTTTTTCCCCTCTACACCCCCCTCCCCCCTTTCCCCCTTTCTCTCTCTCTCTCTCTCTCTCTCTCTCTCTCTCTCTCTCTCTCTCTCTCTCTCTCTCTCTCTCTCTCTCTCTGTCATTGCATCCATTTTTGTGCATTTAAGAAATCTCCAAGAATTACCAACCTGGAGGAAAGCGAGCTAACCGGAGTGACAGAGGAGGGTAAAAGGACTCCAAACGAAAACAAACAAGGACTGAGCGGGCATCATCTTTCTATTTCAACATGCGAGGGAAGCATCTCTAAAGGATGGCAGCGATGGGTTAGACAGGATTTATCATGACTGCAAAATAAAAGGCAAGAGGTGTTGCTTTTTTAAAAAAAATCCTCTGTATTTTTTACCCTTTTTCACTTGATTTTTCAGCCTTGGATGGGGATGGAGGCTTGTTATTGGAATACCTAAAGGTTGTAGCCTACAGCCTCTTCACTCCTGCTTCTTTTAAGGGCATCTATTTCTAATCCAGAGCGTTTTCTATTTTAGGCATTTCCATGTGTAAATGTGCTGCTGTAGCTGCAGCGACGTGAATATTTTGATGCCCGTTTTGCAGGCAGCGCTTCTGTGAATGTGATCACTTTATTATGATCTCCTAATAGACGAGGATGAAGCCTGTAATTAATAATTTGACGCTTAATTCTGCAGCACAGTGTAGTGTGTGTGCATGATACTCCAAAGCAAGATGTCATGCGTCCCTGTGCCACGGTGCCCACAGCGTGCCCAGCCGCCAATTTGAATTTTGTCGGCATGACATGTAAGCGAAAATGCTGCTTTTTATAGTTGATGGTGCTTTTCTCGTTTTGTAGCCACTGTGTGTAAAGATGTCTGCTCCACTCGGGCCCCGGGGCGGCCCTGGCCCTGCTGCTGCTGCTGCTGCTGCCTCAGCGGCCGGCGCCATGCCGGAGATGCCGGACCTCAGCCACCTCACCGAGGAGGAGAGGAAGATCATCCTCGGTGTCATGGACCGACAGAAGAAGGAGGAAGCGAAGGAACAGTCGATGTTGAAGTAAGAATAAGCGGGGGATAAAGGGAGGCTGAAGCTGCTGCTGCTGGTGCTGGTGGTGGTGGTGCTTGTGTTCAACCCCGGGTGTTTGTGAGTTGTTGTTACAGTGTGAATATCTATCATTGTGGAGGAGCTGGAGGATCATGTTGCTTTGACATCCAAGCTAGAGATGAATCTCCCCCTCAGCTGTATGAGATACTTGATCACAATGACTGAGTATAATCTAATAATGCGGCATATACACTCCAGCCTCATTTCCCTTTACTATGCTGGAGCTGGAGCTGTACTATAATGGGGCTGGGTTAGCAGCAGCCGACGCCATTTTCACGTAAAAAGCACGCCAAATTGCTTAACCTTTCCCCACGAACGTCACCGAGATTACACAATATGACACTGGAAAGATCATTTAAGGTGTCCTTTGTGGCGATGGCGCACGCGGGGTGTGTGTGAATTCAACGTTAAAGTCTCGGTGGATCCTGCCCCCAACCCCCCACTCCCCCCCTTTGCTCCCCTTGTGTACAGATGTCGCTCGGAGCTGTTTCAGCACCACGGCGCTGTCCACTGTGGGGTTTGAGTTTTTAAGGTGGACCGCACTGTTTCCGCCATCATGGCTGTGTGAGCCATTTCTCCGCTCTCAGATGGGGAAATTCTCACCTTTATCACCATGACACGCTCATGCAAACATACTTAGCTGATGTTTTGATGACTGAATTTAGTGTTTGACCTTTTTTATTGTTAGCAGACTGATGAGAAGACAGGGATTTGGAGATGTGGCCTTAAATATTTCTAACCTGGTGATTTTTTTTTTCATGGTTTCCTTCTTGATAGTGAACTGGGTGCACATGCTTGCCTTTCCACGAACCAAGAGAGATTTTGCTTTGAACATTAGACTTAAATACTACAGATATATCAGGATTTATTGGGCTGATAACCAAGGAGTAAGCAGATCCAAATTCCAAGAGATCTCTGGCAGCTAGTGTCCCGAGAAAGGATATGTGCCACTATCACTGGGCTCTGTTTTAGGCCTATTGTGGCAAATGTGTCCACCGTGGAAGCATTCTTAATGAAACCAAAGTTGTGCAATCCCTACCTAGTGCGGCTGCATGATAAACATGACTCATGTACTCCAAGACACAGCTACCTCAGCTACTGCTGTTACATGTTGTGTGAATCACACGGGCCTTCTCTCCTATCTCGGGGCCCCCTCCTCCCCAATAGCGTTTTTTTTTCCCCCCTCATTTCTCTTTCTCTGAGGTAAATAGGATTGTCAGGTTTAGTCACTCTTAGTCCGACTGTGATGTCAAAGCCTCATCGTGACTGGGCATGGGCAGAAAAGGGACTGACTAGCTAGTCGACTCTCCTCCATACTATTAGGTGACTCTTATTGCAGGCCACAGCAGATAAAAGCAAAGGAGAGGTCAATCTTTGGGTGCATATATGCTAAAGTTGCTGGTACACACTGCTAACACTAATAGGTGGGGTTAACATAAAGAGCGGTTGACCCCACCTATTTGTGTTTGAGGTATTCTGATAAGTCTAATAAGACCTCTTGACCTCCTCAAAGTAAAGTTTAATCCTTTATTCAGCAGGACTGTGTTGATTAGCTGCCATGTGTTCTGTCCATATGTATGAGTGACTCATCGTGAGTCATCAAAACAGCGAATCCCCCCCTTTCTTTACCTATGAATCACACCAGCATAGCATATCTTAAAGCAGCATTAATATTCTCAGCCCTGGCATAGGTACAACTGCAGTGGATTAACTTGTCACCGGATGTTTTTTGCATTTTGAGCAGTGTTGGAAGCAAACACCCACTCTGCAACATTCAAACCTATAACCCATGCGTCTGAACTGTCGCATTCATGATCCAAACCCGCAACGGCTCGGATGGCTTTGCAAGGAAGTAGCAGTTTGAACATCGAAGTGTGTAATTTAACAGAGGGAATCCTGGGAGGATAGAGGGATGGAGAAGAGAGAGAGTGAGGGAGAGAGAGAGAAGAGCCTCCAGCTGCAGGGCTTGCCAACTTGCTGTCATCTCACTGGAGGTGCTACAGAGAGTGTGGACGGAAATCCAGAGCTGCTGACTTGCATGTAATTAGCTACTCTCTCTCTTAGCCTGCTCATACTTATCAGGCTGTTGTATGTGAGGATCTGTGAGTTGAAGATGTGCTGCAGCAATTAGAGGGAATTTGACAAATTACATGAGGTGGCGCTCTACTCTACTTCATTTCCAGAATTCCTCGCTTCAAAGTTTGTTAAATATGTTGCATTGGCAGTGTTTTGAGTTCAGATGGCTTTCTATGCATCACTTAATCTCTGAGCAGTACGGTAATATGGTGGTTATGGGACCCCCACCCCCACCAGACTCTGTTTCCCACAGGCAGACATCAGCTGCCTGTGAAGGGGTGACCCACACAATGCCTGGGGCGCCACTTCTCCTTCTTTACTGTTCCTCCAGTCCTCCATTGCTTACTGGGTTCTTTGGTGGCAAAGGAGGTGTCAGGTGGAGGTAGTAATATACTCCACTCAGATTTTTCTCTTCCATATATCTACC